CAAATTAAAGCCGAAAGACCATACTACTAAATGCAGCCAGATGACTATAAAACTAAACTCAAATAACTGCAACTCGCCACCAAAGACTGAACTCAGAGCTAAGCGCTGCACAGGGCCGGCGAGAAAAACAAGTGGCCATAAAATATAATAAAAGGAAGTGCTTAAAACTACCAACAGCGGCAACAACAGCAACAACAACTTTGGCTAAGACATTGCCGATTGGCTCCATTCGAGGAACTGGGCACTGGGAACCTACAGTGTAGGGAGCTGGGCGCTGAGAGCTGCGAGGCTGCCGTGGCAGGACTCCTTAAACATAGTTGAGTGTCTAAATTTATTACCTGCGATCTAACACGATTTCTCGCACTTGTACCTACAATAATCATTATATGCAAACACACACACAAGCACACACATGTACTCACAGGCGTAGAAATTTACAAGCGCCAAAGCCTTTTGCATATGTGGCATGCAACAAAAAACTGAAAAACGTAACAAGTGCAGGCACAGCATGAGAAACTGGTCTGATCCAAGCTGCAGATGCATTCAAAGTCTAACTATAATATATATAGTTTATATATATATATATATATATATATATATGTGGATATATGTGTTGCATGCATGCAGTTTGTTAACGTATTATATAATTTGTTGGAAACTGCGCGGCGAGATGCCACCAGCCATAAGTTGCTGCTGTTGCATTAATGAGCTGCGTTTGCTAACAACAACAAAAGAAGTAGCATAGTCATAGTCTGATCCCAAAAGCTGAAAAAATAGAATCTTGTTCCAGAGCTTGCTACAAGACTAAAACAAAAACAAAAGTTATATTAAAAGTTTGCAACTAAAATTTTTACGTATTAATAATTTTATAATGTTTTTTTTTTTGTGGTTCAATTTTACTTTTAAGGCGCTTAGAATATAGATTAAAAAAGTCAAATTAAAAATAGAATTTAATACAAAATACTAATCACTTTTAAGGAGCTGTTTTTTAATAAACATTTAACTCATAGGCACTGAAGCAATCTATTTAAAAAGATTAACAATTGTTAAATTGTTAATTATTGTTAAATAATTAGTTTAAATTTAAATAAAATCGATGACAGAGTATCATCCAGTCGAGCCATGGCAACGAATTCACTGCTAAAGCGTTGCCACTAGTTTTATTTTGTTGTTTTTTGTTATGCTGTCAAGCCAAAAAACCAAGACAAACATCGCACGACAACAACAACAACAACAACGAGAGCAGCTAAAAAAAAAACAGAGGCGTCTTGTCTATAAATATTTTGTTGCTGAAGCTGTTGCTGTTGCTGTTGCTGCTGAGCGAAAGATACAAAAAAAGAGTATACATATAAATATATATATATATGTGTGTGTGTGTGTAGTATAAAGAAAGGCAGGCATGAGATTACAATCGGTTGTAATAAATACCTTAAGTATCACATATATCAGTAACCCAAGGACGTGCATCGTAAGTCAAGCTGAACATTATTATTAAGTGAAGCCACCAAGCGCAGTCGACGACGATGCGGCAGGTGGATTGGAAGGGGGAGGGGGGCAGTTTATTGCTGCTGCAGCGCCAGGCAACTTGACTTACGTGCAACAATTTAACAACTTAATTATTGCTAAACTACGTCAGCAACAACAACAACAGCAACAACAGCAACAACAACTGCAACAAAAACTGCAACAACAGCATATAGACATAAATAAACAACGGTGCGTATGAGTAATATTGCAAGGAGAGAGAACTAAAATCGTGTGGCTGAACGAACAGCAGAAATAATAATAATAAACCTCGATGGCCACTGCAAGTCTGCCGAAAAAGATTGCAATGCGCGATATACACAAAAGATGATCATCAACAGCAGCAGCAACAACAACAACAACAGCATCAACAACAACAACAGCAGCAGCAGCAACTCCAGGCTACTTGCTTGGAAGGAGCAGTGAAAGACGTAAACTGGAACGGGAACGAGAGAACGAGAATGGCAATGGAACGTTTCGTTCGCTTGTCATTGAGTAATCTATCGACAGCTTGGCGAGGGTAAAAGAGAGAGAGAGAGAGAGAGAGTGCGAGAGAGAGCGGGAGTGGGAGCGGGAGTGAGCGAGAGAGCTGTGTGTGTGAAAATTAGCATAAAAACGCAATTTTTGAATATTAATGTGCAGTTTGCGGTTGGCAGTTGCTGCATGCAGGCGCTGTTTGGCTGCTCTGCTGCTCTGCAGCGAGGCGCATTGCGTGCCAGTCAACTGGCAAGAAGAAGAAGCAGCAGCAGCAGCAACAACTGCACGAACAACAACAATTGCAACTGCAACACTCCATTTGCGCCACTTGAGTTACTCGTTTCGCGAGTGGGGTAATCAGATCCTCGGGCATTGATAACGACGCTTCACTGTACGCTGAACGCTATCGCAAAAAGAGTTGCAGTTGCCAGTTTGCCTCGTTGCATCTTTCACTTTTTGCTGCCTTTTTGCAGCTATGTGGCACGCATTGCCAATGGGCCCAAAAATACAGATTAAGGATTATTATTGCTGCCTCAGTTGCAGCTTCAATTGCTGCTGCTGCTGCTGTTGCTGCTTCTGTTGCACAGCATGAGAAATGTTTGTGTCATGTTTTGTGGCCGTAATCTGAACGGAAAACAGAAAACAGAAGCAGACAAAAAGGTTCTCTTGTGTAATGCGTCGCATGCAACACACAAGCGTTGCTCATCTATCTCGCAAACAGGTGGAATGCATCTCAAATCTACAAAAAAAAAAAGCAAAAAGATTGTCAAATTCCTTAAAAGTTTGCAAATCAAAGACAAAATTAGCAAAGCATTCAAGCAATTATTTTATTCTTTATTTTATTTACTTAACAATTAATGCTCAATACAGTTTTACATATTGAGTAATATTTAATTATTGGAAATAATAAATTAAAGCAATATTAAATATGACATTTTTAAGCGAATACTTGTAGTACACTTAATGGATCGCGTTATAGTCCAATTATTTCAATTCACAACAGTCCTGATCTATAATGCATTTTCAACATTTTATATTTAAAACCATGATTTAATTTAAAACCTTCAAAAATCTCTTCAGTTTTAACAAATTTCTTAAATTAAAACGAACCAATAGCAAGCAGTTTACAAAGCATTGCACTACTTGCTGTATTCAGCAGTGCACTGCTTGCTTGTACCAGCAGTGCAAAAGTGATGTTAAAAATAAATAATACACTATTTATATATATGTATAAATAATATGAAAATATAAAATAAATATTGTGTTCTTTCTAGCCGAGTTTTACTTGAATAGCCACATTTATGGCTCAATAATTGCAATAAGTTTTGCAGGGCTTCAAGCTGTTACGCCACGAGCGGACAGTAGCGCAACTAACTTGTAGTTTACTTCTTTTAGTAAAAGTTTGTTGACTGGCCACCAGAGAGCGCTGGCACCTTAGCTGCTTAGCCGGTGCACCAACCAAAATGACCTTGATTCGATTGAGATAAACAAAAAATAAATGCAGAAATGCAATATTTGTTTACAATTTAAACAAGCTTGATAAACAAATCGTGATAAATGCACCCATTACTAGACAATGGTAATTTCAAAATAATCAATAAGCAAACAGTCGTCGCGACAGGAAATCAAAGTGCGCAGATAGCAAAGGCAACAACCCACAATTATTTTGAAATACCCAAAAAATCAAATCTTAAACTTAAAAATAGACAAACAGTTCAATGACCCAAAAGAAACCCGTTTTAAAAAGTGTCTGCAACTATTTGCCACAGGTACTCATAGTCGTTAAAGCGAGAGAGTAAAAGAAATGTGGGTCAAAATAACTTTCACAAAACGCAGGCCGATTGCATTTGTGGGAAGCTATTTCGACCTTTAGCCAAATGACGTAGTCAATGAGTATTTTTACACGGGCAATTGTGAAATGCGGGAGCGAAAGAGATAGAGAGAGCGAATGAGTCAGCTGATCGCAGTGAATCAGTTGCAAGAGAGAGAAATGTGTGTTGGAAGTCACGAGCGCCGATTGCGCTTAGCTTTCCATTGTGGTGGTTCCACAACTCCCTCTCTCTCTCTCTCTCTTCAACACTCTCAAACTCTCTCAGGTGAGCACAGTGCGTAATGACGTCATGAGTTGATCAACTTATGCTAATTCAATTATACGATACACTGACAAAATTTGCAAATGACTTTGAAACTATTCCAGATTTGTCTAGTGAAAGTTGAAAATTTGATATTTCAAATTTCAAATATATTATTATATTCTATCTTCGATCTTGTCTCGTGGCAAAAACACAAGGAAACTAATAACACATCTGTCTGCAGACAGCAGGGTGCAGATTGGAACGCAGCCAACTTCTATGAGAGAGAGAGAAGGAGGAGGAACGAGAGAGAGAGAGAGAGAGCATCTTGTGCTCATGTCCCCCTCTGCTGTTCTTAGCTGAGTGTGATCAGCGGCACGTGGGCAATGATCCACAAACACACACACAAACACATAGGCATCAGCTGAGATGAATATTTCCACTAGATAAATTTATACGCATTGGAATGGTAAACGAGCAGCGCACGTGGCAAACTCCCCCACCCCCACAACTTCGGGACTAAGCAAATCGAATAAATCTAAAAATAAATTCGACAACCGTTAGACAAGCAAGCGGCAGCACAAAGGTCACCTTGAAAGAGGCCCACTCACGCACTGTGGAATGAAGTCGAGAAACTCTGCAGACAGAGAGAGCAAGAAAGAGAGAGAGAGCGAGAGAGTAAGAGAGCGAGGCAAAAGCGAGCCGGCTTCCAGTTCGCTCAGTTTCACATTGCTGTTTAGGCCATTTCGTCATCATCCTGACGGCAGCTGTGTGTGACGCCGACGTCTGCAGCTGCTGCGCCTGCTGCTGCGCCTGCTGCTGCTATTGTTGCCTATACGCATTGAGCGCCGACAGCAGCAGCGGCGGCGTCGGCTTTAGCTACAAATATCCAGCGGCAGCAGCGAAATTCCAACGAGTCTGCCGTGGAGCACAAAACAGTTCGCAACGAGCACGCAAAGTGAACGGAACGTCGACGACCTCAACGCAAATAGAGGCGCCAAAAATATCCAGTGAAACATTTTCAAGTGCAACAACAACAACAACAAAACCCAGCAATAAGTAAGCAACGCATGAAAAACAAAAAAAAAACAACACTGATAAAAATTAAGTCTACGGAATGCATAATATTTAAATAATGTTTGGGCTTTGGGGTGAGTGGTCTCGTAACCCAGTCGAAGTGCATTCAACTCGCCCTTGGCCTTGTGCCACAACGGGCACTTCCTGTTTGCCACTTGGCACATTGATTTCACTTTCATTTTCATTTTGGCGCATGCGCCATTTTCCAAAAATGCCCACACACAGCTGTGCCTCCATCATTTTTGTGGAAACCAGCAATATTTGACATTGGGAGAAGGTCATTTAATTTTTGGTCATCTATATTAGCTACTTTGTGGCAAGCTGTCTGTCCGCAACAAGTGAGTGCCTCCAGTCATGCATGACTATAAAAAAGTACTATGATCTCATGCTGCAGTTAACTAAATTCCAAATGAGCTATCAAAACTTTGCGACAAATAACAAAAAAATGTTCAGATAAATTGAAGCAGATAATTGCTGAACAAATGAGATTATATACTGAGTATTTTCTAAAGGGGTATTTTTTAAATACATAAACATACATAGATATATCGACAGACTCTTCTACAGGGTATTCCCCAGTTCATATCTCTCGACCAACCCATTCTAGGTAATTATATGTATACATTTATATTATGTGGTTTTCAGGCATTAACTCATGATATATCAACTAATTTGCACATGTTGCAATTTTAATCAGAAATCGCCCAAGTTCAGGGTGAGGGCATTTGTCATAAGCGGGTTTTCTAATTAAAAACGTTGCATAGATAGCGAAAAATAGTAATAATGATTATGCAAATATTTACATATTCGAGATAAGTAGCCAATAAATATCGCTAATCTTATCGGCAATATATTGCAAATATTGACAACAGATCATAACAAATTCGACCCATTACCTAAATCTACTTGTAGGTCATAAATTCTATATATAATTTGTGCATAGCTCATTTGAAACGTGTGCAACTTGAGCAAAATTAGCAATCATTTCTTGGTAATGACCATGATTATTGGATTAATTAAACAACCACAATGAGCAATCAATCGATAAGAAATATTGATTGCAAATTGTTCACTGAGTCCATCAATTTGCGGAATCATTATCACAATTTGTTTCCGTGTTTTATCCCCAAAGCTTGACGCAACTTTCTTGAATGTTTCTTTTTGTTGTTTGTTTTTTTGTTTATAAAGTAAAGTAAAAAATGTAGATAGATATAAATGTCCATTAGGGGTTAATGAGTTTTATTACCAGCGCCAAATTGAATTTGTGTGCGGCATGTGACGCAGTTGTCTTCCCATGTCACAAGTGCGGCACATATAAAAGTGACAAATGTGCGCAAAATATAAATTATAATTTTTTTTTTATTTTCGACAATGTTACGTGGAGGAGGCTTCTTTTCAGCTGCTTGCTGCGTGTTGGGCACTCGGCAAATTTATATTAATATGACCTTCGTCAAGGTTAAACCACAGCGACAACACAGAAACATATTTCTTTCGTGTGTGAGTGCCCCAGATTTATGCTACTCTTACTTTTACTTATACTTTGACTTTTATTCAAATTGTGTATGGCATAAATTGGAGAGCACGTGACTTAATTTGATTAAAACTAAATGATTGCTTTACGTGTTCTCTCTTTTAGCGATGACCACCGTTAAGGAAAGCCTCTTGGCTCAGGTAGCCGAAACTTTGCCCAGCTCCGGGCACAAGATCACCGTTGTGGGCATCGGCATGGTGGGCATGGCCAGCGCCTTCAGTATTCTCGCCCAGGGCGTCTCCAGGGAGGTCTGCCTCATCGATTGCTGCACCGACAAGCTGCAGGGCGAGCTCATGGATCTGCAGCATGGCTCCAACTTCCTGAAGAACCCACAGATCACGGCCAGCACCGATTATGCTGCCTCGGCCAATTCCCGTCTGTGCATCGTCACCGCCGGCGTCCGCCAAAAGGAGGGCGAGTCTCGTCTGTCCCTCGTTCAGCGCAACACCGATATTCTCAAGAGCATCATACCTAAACTGGTCGAGGTAAGTTTAAATAAATATGTTCACTCATGAATAACGCTGCCAGATCCCAAGTCCCAAATACTTCGAACTCGAATTACTTTGATAAACTGACGCGATTTTTAATTTTTTTGCATACTTGGCTTTTTCTGATTTTCAATCAAATTTTATGAATATAAATTTAAAAATATTAGAATTTTCTTTAGCATAAAAATGTATCCTTTTCAAAGAGTAATTCTTCTGTTAGATCACGCATTAATACCATATATTTTCATATTTACAGAACAGTCCCGATTGCATTTTGCTGATGGTCTCCAATCCCGTTGACATCATGACCTATGTGGCCTGGAAGCTGTCCGGTCTGCCCAAGAATCGTGTCATTGGCAGCGGCACCAATCTGGATTCATCCCGTTTCCGTTTCCTGATGTCGCAGCGTCTGGGCGTGGCACCCACCTCCTGCCACGGCTGGATTATTGGCGAGCACGGCGATAGCTCTGTGCCCGTCTGGTCGGGTGTTAATATTGCCGGCGTGCGTTTGCGCGAGCTGAACCCAACCATTGGCACCGGCTCGGATCCGGAGAAGTGGAATGAGCTGCACAAGCAGGTCGTCGATTCGGCCTACGAGGTCATCAAGCTAAAGGGTTACACCTCGTGGGCAATTGGTCTCAGCACTGCCTCCCTGGCATCGGCCATCTTGCGCAACACCAGCAGCGTGGCAGCTATCTCCACATCCGTTATGGTAATTAGCATAACTAAAAACGAATTCACAATTTGGCTAATACATATATATTTTGTGCAGGGTGAACATGGCATTGATAAGGATGTGTTCTTGTCGCTGCCCTGCGTCCTGAATGCGAATGGTGTCACCTCTGTGGTCAAGCAGATTCTCACCGACACCGAGGTGCAGCAGCTGCAGAAGTCTGCCAATATTATGTCTGAGGTTCAGGCCGGTCTACAGTTCTAAATATAACTAGCTAAACTAAACAAAAAAAAAATAAGTAGATCACACATACACACTCACACCGAGCAGAACTAATTTTAGTCAAATTTGAAGTTCAATTTGGATTTGGGAGGACCAGTGAAGCAGAAAGTATTCTTGACTACCAAAATGATTTGATTTTTTAGTCGATTTCTCATCTTTATTTATTATTCATAACTCTTTTTGTGTTTGTTACAAATAAATTGTAAACAATTTAGTTTTATTTTAAAAATGAAACACGATTTGATTACTTTTTTGACAACTCTCTCGGGAGTCCAATTTGATTACTTTTTGTGTTCGACATCTGGGAAAATGTTGAAAGAGAAAGCATATTTACTGGTGACTCTCTCCAGGAAGTCCAATAATAACCAAATCTACCTCATTGCCGTAAATTTTGAATAAAAACGCACGCGACAAACGAGCGCTACTCAAATTTACAGCAAATGAAACCAATTAAAGAAATTTAAAAAATATATGTATGAAAAACTATATAGTAAAAATTTTACATTTAGCACCTAGTTGTTTTTTCGCACTTATCAAAGCAATTATATATATGTATATGTATAAATATCTGTATCAAGAGTAAAAAACTTCAATGAAAAGAATCCGAGGCAGCAGAAGCGGCACTAAAAACAAGCGTTTTCTTATTGAGGCACGATCCACGTTAATCAATCGACAGCAGTCTGTTTACAGATAAATGAAACGTGCAACGACAGAGAAGCTTATCTGGTATCAGTTACCCCTATCCCCCATCCCCCACCTTTCCACCCACGGCAGACAAATGCTAGACAGAGCAGAGTGGAGCAGCTACAACAACCAAAAATCTCGACTCCCCAATTCGAACGTGCTGCAGTCAGCAGAATGCAAAAGCAACAAAAAAGTTCAAGAAACAAATTTCAACTGAAAGTCAACGGTAGATAAGCTTTGGCTAGAGCAGCGATAAGAAGTGTTAACTTGGCTATATAAGCAGTTAGCCGCACACTGAGCATTGACAAATGGTCAAGCGATGCTGCGGAAAATGGCCAGAAAAAACACATGCAGCTGGACAGGATGGTCGCTGGGTCTCTGCCTGATCGGGCTGTGGCGAGTGCAGCAAACGCAAGTGGAAGCGGTGGCAAGCATCGATCGCATACAGAAACACAATCTGCAGCTGCTGGCAGAGCAACTGAATCTCGGCTGGCGTGCTTTCTGTAAGTGAAGTGAAAGATCAAACTTAATCTTAAATCGAGCTATAATCATCAGCATCTAATGTCTAAGGTGATGCGCCCGTTGATGAGGGCGTCATGTCACTCTTCGAGGGCATCAATCCCAGCGATGCCCGTCTGCACGTGATGACCATCACCAATCAGAGTGTCCAGCTGCCCATCAAGTCTATACCAGAGCTGCGTGACTTCGACATCAAGCCGGAACGCAAGACTTTGATCTATGTGAATGCCTTCCACACGGCCGATAGTTATTTCAGTGTGCAGGAGCACCTGGCACTGTTGCAGACAACGCGTCGGGATCTGAATGTGATTGTGGTGGACTTTGCCACACATGTGGCACAGTTATACTACACGGTGCGTCATCATCTCTCTGTGCATGGCTACTTCATTTACAAGCTGTTGAGCGCCTTGACGGAGGCGGGCATTGCGCCGGAGGATATCACCATAGCTGGACACTCGGTGGGCGCCAATATTGCCGCCTTGGGCGCTGATCTGTTTGCCAAGAGCAGCAAACGGCTGGTGGGTCAATTGATTGCCATCGATCCTGCCACCATGTGCCGCACTACCGACATTCTTGTGCGACAAACGGTCGCCGGACGGGTTGTGGTGCTGCACGGCGAGGGGGATGTGTTTGGTGTGCGTCTGCCACTTGGTCATGTGGATATATATCCGAATGGCATTGGCTACTTTCCGCGCAAGAAACTGCAGCCGGGCTGCGACAGCAGGATCTGCAGTCACATGTATCCATTTGTACTCTTTATGGAGGCGCTCATCGAGGGCGTCATGATTCCGGCCACCAAATGCGATAACTGGGCCAAGTTCCGGCAGGGCGTTTGCAGCTTCGAGAACACTATTAACATTGGACTGAAATATCCCAGCAATGCGAAGGGTCTCTATTTCTGTATGACTCAACCGAATCCACCTTTCACCTACATGGAGCACGGCTTGAGATATCAGGCAAGGCGGCCGGAAAAACAAAATACGCCCAAAGCTTAGCATCGCTTTATTATTAATTATATAACTTAAATATCATCTTGTTTTTACATGCATAGTATTATTATATGCCATATCTATTTACTGAGTTGTTTCATATCCATTAGGATAAAATAAATATATAAAGATAGAAGAAGCAAACGACTGAAAGTTACAAGTTTTCTGAGCAGCCACTAAATCTTTATACTCTTGCTGAGAGTATTTCAATTTTACTGGGAACTACATATATTATTTATCAGTATTACTAGCTGAGTCGATATCAGTCTGTCCGTCTGTCAGTCTGTTTCTATGTAAACTACTTCCTGAGTAGCTAGCTTGATAAAACTTGGCATGTATCCGCCTTGTGGCTGCACGCAGTACTATGACCGAATCGGTTATATATAACATATAGATGTCATGGGAACAAACGGTCGAAAGTAAGTTCCTGTAAAACAAAATGTTTGTACATTAAAATATCGGAAACAAACCTACTATGCCTATTATTAGATTCCTCATATTTGGGCATAAAATCATCCACATCGAACGACTAAATCATTATTATGCTACTATATCATAGGGCTCCCATAGTTGGGCATAACACAAGGAACAGCCAAGATGTGTGTGGGTTTTTTAATAAAAGAACGATATTTGCAAGCAAACTCGAACCTAAAAGTATGCCACACAGTGCTGCATGTACAACAGTGCTGCCAAATTGTATCTAAACCAATTTTCAGCTTGTAGGAATATCTACATAAATAACAAGAGTAATGAAACACTAAAAATTGTATACTGTAAGTTATATTGAGTAAATTATAAATAATGTGTACTAAAATATTAATATACAAACAGTAAAATTAATCATTTTATTTAAATCATTACGAAATTATTGAAATCCAACAATGGTTGCACGAAAATATTAATTTCAATCAAATAAATTAAATAAAAATATATTTTAAATAAAGAGAATTAAAAAAATGTAGTTACTTTATTTTAGTTCACTGTTCATGCTGCCCTGGCTTCAAGCACAATTCTCACTCTCAATCTCTCTCTTTCTCTCTCTCTCTCTCTCGCTCTCTCTACCTCTCTCTCTCTCTCTTGAATATTATCACTCCCTCACACACACCGTCTTTCGCTCTCTTGAAAACTGTGGCTTGATCAGTTGACCATATTGTGCAGTCTCTCTCTCAGTCGATGTCTGGCTTACAAAGAAAAACAGCTGATGCACACGCCACATACAACAGCAACACACAGCACACTGCACACTAAATACACACACACACACACAGACACACACTCTCCCGCACAGAGAGAGAGCAACAATGCATGCTCACCTGTGCCACACACACACACACACACACAGCTTCAGACACATTTCGGTATGGGGGAGAGCAAGTTTTGTCTACCTGTTGCCTGTTGTAAAAGAAAAAAACGTTTTTTTTCTACGGCTGAAATTGTGAGTTAAGAGCCGCCTGTGCTCGGGTCTGGAGCGCAGTTTAGTTGTGCTTAGCGTGCTGTCAAGTTGTGGCCGTTGCCCGTGCGTAATCGAATCGGAATCGAATATCGAGATCGGCATCGGCATCGGCATCGGAACGAACAGTTAGCGATAAACCCGTCATCGTCGCAGTCGTCGGTATGTTACAAAGCCACTGAAAACTGAAGCTAAAGCCGCTTTGGCAGCTCCCAAACCTCTCTCGTTGTCCACTCGCCTCGTTGATCGTGCGGAACAATCAACCTAGCGACGGGGCTAGATCCGAAAATAAAATAAATATACAAAAAACAAAAAAAAAAAACAAAAAACAGACGCATTTTGTTGCTGTTATTATTTTTTTGTTTTTTGTATTTATGTTGTTTTGTATAATCTAAACAGAAGTGTGTTATATACACGCATGCCACAAACACACATATTTATATATGTATGAAATGTTTGAAGAATTGAATACGCGTTTTCTGACACGATACAGAAAATATGCGCAAGTGCAGCTAGTTCGTTCTGTGTCTAAATACTTACAATAAGCGATCGCGTAAGATCTGGCCACAGTTACAGATACACGTAGACGATGCGTGTATCCATTGACTGTGAGTCTCCATCTACATTTACATATACACATATATATATATATATAAATATATATATGTATCTGTATCTGTATCTGTATCTGTAATCGTAAGCGCGTGTCTAAATGCCTTCTTAAACCTGTAAAGAAACGCTTCTCAGTCGAAGCAGCATTTTTAAAGGTGTTGGCGGTATTTATTGATTAGGCGGAACGACAGAATGCCACACAGGCCAAATTCGGATGCAATGTTTCAATTGAAATTTGTGAAATGTGCTTGAAAACTGACAGTGGAGACGACACAGCAATTAAAAATATATATGTATAGAACTGAAAATAAATTAATAACAATGCTATTTGAGCAACAACATGCGATGGGGCAGCAAAATGACCAATGAATAATTGCAAATTATTAAATAATTACAACTTAAATAGTAAACGTAAAATTTAAAATAATTTACAAAACATAATAGAATTGATGATTCCTAATTAATGATTAAACTTAAATGATGTAACTACAAAAAATATATTATTTAAACTGTTATTTGCCCAATAGCGCTTTTTAATAAACGAAACTGAAAAAATGGAAACACATTTACAAGTATACATTTCAATCATTTAATAAGCATCATTAATTAAGCCCAAATTAATACGTCAACAATGCCCAATTAGCTTATGGAAAATAACGAGCCAACAATAATTTTATCTATCGCATTTTTATTGTGTGCTAATCAAGCCGAGAACTCCCACTGCTCAAAGTCGCGCCAAGCGAACGGCCTAAGAAAAAGTGCAAGTGTGCAAGTTTGGTCGGCGATCCGATTGGAAGTAAGAAAGAAAAATCAAAAAAATAAAAAAATCACCTACAATATTAAAGTATTAAACTCAATTTGAGTCATTGTGTAAACAAAATTCGATCAACATCGTCGTCTTTTACGTCAAAGAAAGTGAAATGGCTAACGGATCGCGAAGGCACACAATATACACAATATACACATTTAAATAAAATTAGTCATCGATCAACGTCACTGTCAACATTTGCTTTGAGGCCATGGCCAACATTTCTTTGCTTGAGGCCAACAACGGGCAGAAAAGGGGGCGAGGGAGCAGGTCGTATACGCAATTTACTTGGCATAATGCAATTTGTTGTCATCGCAAGACGTTAACTTTATCTCAACTCAACAAGCGATGAGCTGTCAAGCCCAGTATTTTGTTTAACATATCTTGTGGTTTTAGCTGATATCTTTCGGACAGTTAGACTGTTTATCTTTAACTGCAGAGTATGTTCTTTATTTTTTATTATATATGGGGTCATTGATTACAGTTTGCTTGAGAACAACAATTATCATAGATAAGTTGATGCCTTACAGTAGCACGTAATTGCTGTCTAATAACGTTCGCTTATTTGGTAACAGGCACGTGGCTGTCCCTAAACTGTTCACAAAATAGTCATAAAATGTCATTTAGTTGCCTAAACAAAAATGTAGAAAAACAATCAAACAATATGTGCATATTGTATTTGTGTAATTCTCGAGAATTGTGTCAAGGGGCAGCGGGCGGAATTAGCCAAAGCTAATGAATATTTAACAGATGAAGAGATGCATTTTAAAGTCGGCATGACTATATTCAAGATGCAATTCAAATGCACAGCTTCAGGCCCCGGAAACCGGTTTCACGTTAGTCTCTATGACTATTTAAAATTCTACACATTTCACAGATTAACTTCGAGTTGATGCTAACACTGGTGTGCGGTGTGTTTATCAACAAAATTAACGCGTCTTAGTGAAAATTGTGTCCACTTGCACATCCCTCAACCCCCGCTACCCGACCTCAACCCCAAGCCCAATCCCACTGCATGGCAGTTAACCAGTTTTAAGTCATAAATATTATAAATATTGACGGTCAGCAATACGTTATGCAAATATTTGCAGCTTTAAAAGTGCTCTAAAGATACCTGACTAGAGACAAAGCGTAAATGTATAACTGTAGAGCAACAGGTTTGTAATACTCAATAATAAAAACATCCGTTCAAATTATCGCAGACGCAGGCACTCGATTAATCAAAATAAGATTTCAAACCGAAGCCACAACACCAACTTAAGTCCCCCACAAAGCGAAATGGCAAACATACAGTCAAAAATCGGCGCTGACTTGGCAAAAATATAAAAAAGTAACAAGAAAAAAAATATAAAAAGCAGTCGAAGTCGAAGTCGAAGTCGAAGTTTTCGACAATCTCAAGGTTTTCAGCAGTAAACACCCAAAAAAAAATAAATAAAAATCAGAAAAGATGAGACACCAGAAACGCGTCCCATATAAATAGCTTGTGTGTGTGTGTGTGTGAAGTACTTTGTGTGTGCGTACGGGGAAATCCTGGCCACAATCTGAACTTTAAGTGCACAACGTGTTAATAAATACAAAACAAAGGCCATCAAGGGCCCACGGCAAAAGTACAAAAAACCCAATTCAACAAAAAAAAAAGTCATCAGCAAAATAAAAACATAATTTCAACTATTTAGTTACACAAAAATTTCACCCAACAAAACTGAAACACGAAGTGCATTAAAATCGCATGCAAAAAGCAATCAAATTATGTGTAATATAGTAAATAAAAAAAAAAAGCAGCCAGCTATAAAAAAATAAATAAAAAAATGTTAAAATGCCGTCGAACTGTTCGAGACGTGTTGGAATTTAAGTTAAGCTATTTTGTTGTTGCTATTGTTTTTTATTTGTAATTATTTTGTTTGCAGTGTATTTGCATGTGTTGCATTTGTGTTGGTGTACAATTTTACAGTTAACTGAACGTGTGTGTCGCGCTCGACGCGCTCTCACTTATTGTGTTTCAGGCTGAAGAAGAAGTATTGCCGACAAATTCACCTGCTTTCAATAACAACAACAACAACCACAAGAACAACAACAGCAACCAAGAGTGAACCTTCACAGAACACTGTTGTCTGGCTGTTGTCGCCAGACACAGCTGTCAATGCGGCGACGTCGAGTTCGATGCCGCCGCTGTCAATGACGCGTAGCCAAACTAAAATCGCCTAACTTAGCCAAGTCAAACAACAGTGAACTAAATCTCACCTCAACAACAACAACAACAAGAACAACAACAGCAACAACATCAGCAACAACCACAACAAAAACACAGTTGCAAAATGACTGTCTCATATGCGGGCGAGGTGCCGAATGGCAGCAACTTTGGCTGCTTCTGGAAGATCCTATGGAAGTGAGTACAATCGAAGGTCTTTCGCTATTCCCATCTGGGGCGTCAAGTAGCTTGTAGTAGAGTCTGTGGGATTTTTTTCGTTAGTCATAGCTCGCCAGTGATTTAAGTGTTTGCTAGAGTAATTAACAGCACACATGTACAGCAACCAGTCACAGCAACCAGTGCCCACTGTCAGCTGTTGTTGGGTGTATTTATTATTTTCGAACTGAGTTCGCTTTAATTGTTTCCAAAGTGCAGTCACTCGTAACCGGCACACATAGAGATTACTCCCGGTACGGTCAGTACTCACTGTACCATCTCTAGTTGGAAGACAGAACGAGAACGAGTCTCGCTGGAATTGGATGTTTCAGTTATGCAGAGCTCGAATTATGCAAAATTTTAATTCGAAATATGAAAATATATAAAATCTTAGCCTTTTAATTGTTTAACAATTCAAATTATACGTTATAATTATAAAAATTAAGTATACGTTTATACAAGCAAACAATATAATGCCATTTAGGGTATTAACGGCATTTTTGTTCACATTAAATTTATGACACAATTAAGTATTTAGCATCAAAAAGTCAACTTTGAAAGATTTAGTAGACATCCGTCTATGTACACATATGTGTCAGTTGTATTCAATTATGTGATATTTTATTCACAATATTATGTAACTAAAAATTACATTTGCAAATAATTGAACATTTCGGGAAAAACCAAGTTGAACAACTAGTAAAACTGACAGCAGCGATTTATTATGAAGTAAAAAAAGCTTAAGTAAAATATGTATATGTTCAACGTGTTAAGCAAAACATCGCTAAGACCGAGAAACTAATTTGCATTAAGGGACATACCAGAAAAAAAAAATAATCAAATATTTAATATATCTCTGAAATAAGAGACAAGGTTTTTGAGACGATTTCGTTTTGTGTCTAACACACATAAAAAAGTTGACTGTGAACCATCTCAACTAACGAATGACTTCCCATAGAATAAAGCAAATATGAGTGGACTTTAATTGCATACACGTGTTGCTTACTACTTCGAAATACTCACTCAAACCACTTAAGTCAATAAGCAGCTAAGAAGAGAATATAATAATACTTATCACGCAACACGCTGTGGATGCCAAGTCCACCCATATTTATTATTAACATAAAAACCTTGATAACTTCGGACAAAGCAAAGAGTCTAAAGCTCAGCATCGAGCCGCAATTCCTGTTTTAATCTCAATCAAACGAAGCGGCGAGGTTGTGCCGATCATTATAGCGAATATATCATATCAAAAGTAAACAAAACCCAAAACAAATTCATTGGAACTGACATGAGACAACAGACAAACAACAACAACAACAAAAGTTGCAGAACTAGCGACCCATTAAGCACGAAATAACTTAAGAAAAAAAATACAAGAGAATTCGACACATGATGCGGTTGATTTGTAGGGTGTTACTGAGCAATAGCTTCAAGGAAATGAAAAAAAAAAGCAACAACAACAACTTAATAGTTGCAAGCTCAAAGTCGAAGCTGTTCATTGACCAAGTGCCTTTTGACAGATTTGTGTTGATCATAAAACTGTTTCAATACACTTAAATATTTCTCCATCTCGCTAATCTTTTATTTTATTTACTTATTTATTAGATGGCGCGGCAGCGTTTACAAATTAGTCTGGCGCGAATTAATCGCCTATTTGTGTTTATACTATACCATAAATGTCATCTACAGATTTGCGCTAAATCCCAATCAGCAGACGTAAGTATGCCTTCAAGATTTATGACACATTGTGAATGATTATATTACTCATATATTTTCTACTCTCAGCCTATTCAATAAGATTCGCCTATATTTTGCGCAACAGGGCGAGAATTTGCCCATGTCCTTTGTGCTGGGCTTCTATGTTAATCTGGTGGTCAAGCGCTGGTGGGAACAGTATCGTCTACTGCCCTGGCCCGATACGCTCGCCCTGTTCATTAGCGCCGCCATACCCAATTCAACCGGAGGCGTTAATGTAAGTGGTCACACCTTAATTGATCCGATGAGTTGACTTTCTATAAATACTTATATATATATAGAATGAAACGGGTCGTCTGATGAGGCGCAACATAATGCGCTATATGGTCCTGGCCTATGTGATTACCCTGCAGCGCATCTCGCTGCGCGTCAAGCGACGCTTTCCCACCACCCAGCATCTGGTCGATGCTGGTCTGATGCATGAGTCTGAGATGAAAATATTCGAGGCGATGAATCAGAAGAGTCCCATGTCCAAGTACTGGATGCCCCTCGTCTGGGCCACAAATATCATCAATCGGGCGCGCAAGGAAGGACTAATTGCCTCCGATCACATTGTGCAAACCATACTCGTAGAACTGTCCGATATCAGACGGCGCCTGGGTGGCCTCATTGGCTATGATACGGTCTGTGTGCCGCTCGTCTATACACAGGTAAGAGTGTGGGTGATTTTGGGGGTGGTTGTGATCAAAAATAAGTGCAAAAACGCAATTTGATAGGGGGCACCCGGAATTGAACCGGGGACCTCTCGATCTGCAGTCGAATGCTCTACCTCTGAGCTATACCCCCAATATGATATAATTCATTTGAAGTGCTCATTTCATCAGCTCGACAACTCCGCTGGCCTGTGTGTCTTTGAAAGTCGAGATAAGATTTTGAGCGGATGCTTGTATTTGAAATAAACAACTTTAGCATTAAAGATTTCTTTCTGTTTCCGTTTCAAAGAAACTAAAATACACCAAAGCAAATCTTAAACGAACCTTTCTACTAAAGTCAAGCTTTTAATCATTTAATTAATCTCAGCAAATTTAATTAATTCAAATTACTATTTGTAGGTTGTTACCCTCGTGCTCTACACGTATTTTATAGCCGCACTGTTGGGTCGCCAAATGTTGCCAAATATCTTGGATCGTAATGGCAGGGAGGATCCCGATTTGTTTTTCCCATTATTCACCGTTTTGCAGGTAAGACACACTCACAGAAAAAAAAAACAGGAAAAGAACACGGTATTCGAAATACAATTATTTAATTAGCACGTTTCGCTTTATTTACCATAAATCTTAGAAATTTCCACGTCTCGCCATTTTTGCGAATTGTGGCAAAAACATTGCGGTTTATTGGATCATTAACGCAACTGAAACTGAAACGCAAATGAGGCGGCCAATGTGGCTACTGCTAAACGTAATGGCAACACCTTGTCAACGATGATATGACTTTGGTCAGAGATATCAACATGTACTATATCGTTTCACGATATGTACTTGCGATATATATAAACATAAATATATTTCCCATTTGCCTTTTAGTTTCTGCGGTTCCCATCGCACACAGGCAGATTTCAAGTGTTTTTTTTTGTTTTTTGTTTATTTTTTTTTTGTTTTTTGCGTTATGTAAACGACTTGCAGTCACGTTCAAAGTAATAAATTGGCATTTTCGCTTTTGAGTTTGACGAAAGGCATTTCTCGACTTGGATAAAAATCAGAGACAGGTGTTTTTCAACCACCTCATTAATAACTGTTAATTTCGCTAGCAGCCAACGAAATGCGAAACAAAATACTAAAAAACTAACGAAAAAAGTGAATGGAAACGCTTTCGATGTGAATTCATTCGCACATATATGGACTTGTATGTGTGTAAACCCTACATGGGCAAACACTTAGCTTTAATTGAGTTAACTTAATGATTATTTTGGTTGGTTTTTAATTGTAATCTCATCGCTTCGTATTCACATCTACAGTTCGTTTTCTTTGTGGGCTGGCTGAAAGTGGCCGAGGTTCTAATCAATCCCTTTGGCGAAGATGACGATGATATTGAATTAAATTGGCTAATCGATCGACACATAAAGGTGAGTCTATATACAGACTAGACTGACACATTTAAAAGATAATAAAACAACCCTTAGCGGAAACTTAGATTATAATTAGTCGTGACTCAGAGCTAGCACATATATTTCTTATAGCTTCCCCATTTCTTAAAATGTGCTTAAAAAAAAAAATATCCTCAAATTAAAAACCAGTATTAGTAAAAATTCATGTCAGCTTAAGTCATTTAGCGCGTATTCGACAGAAAAATTGTTTAAACTTAATTTTTAATTGGATATATTCAAAAAGTAAACAAGTGCCGACACATCGCGACGTATCTCAACAGAGACACAAAAATCTATTTAAATCCCACTTGCCTCTTAAGTTTATAATATACAGCTTGTAGAAAAAAAACCAATTGATAACCGTAACGTAACTTAACAATTATTTTGTCAAGCTGGCTCACAATTTATTAACAACTAACTTAACAATTGCTGAAAACTGTCAACGTTTTTGTAGTGTATTTTAGAGGCATCCACATTTTTAGGTTAGTATGCCATATGCCAAAGTAAGCAACTATTTCAGCCTGCTGAAAGGAAGAAATAATGTGTTTTACCCGCAAAAAATATAAAGATGGTTAAACTTAAGTGGTAGCAAAGGTTAATAGAGTTGGTAATAAAGGCAAAAACTCAAACTGCTTACTGATTATGATAAATCTTATAAATTGGAATTATATAAATGAAAGTGACAAAACATAAATCAGAATTCAATATGCAACTTAAGCAAGTCAAAAGTTCAGCTTATTTTGATGATATTTTAGGGTATTCTTTAAAGTCGGTGTTTTGTTACCTTAAGTTGCGAGAGGTTTTTTCCATGTGTACCAAATGTATACGTACACTCAGAAAAACAAAACAACACTAAATTTTAGAGATTCGCAACACTTTTTGTGCCAAGAATAAGAAACCTTAGAAAGCATATTTCTTACCCAGAAAGTATATTTCTGAAAATCAGTGTTTTTTCAAAGAATCAGAGTGAGCAATTCTACTTTTTAGGAACTTATTTCATAATAGAAAATATTTCAACAAATAAGAAAAAACGGACTAATTTTTTTTAAAATATAGAACTTATTTCGAAAAATAAGAAATACTTTCCAGTTTTCAGGATGATTTTCATTTCTTTCTAAAATTCAGGGAGTGTATGCGAGTATGTTTTTGCATGTGTACAAAATGTATAGGTGTACTTATGTTTGGGTGCATGTATGTATCTCTGAGTTTGGGGTCTCTGCTGCTGCTGGTAGCTTGCAATTATTTACAAAGCCAACGGCAACAATAACAACAGCAATACATTGGCAAAAGTAAATTGAAAACAGGTTTTCTGTAGAAAATAAGTAAAAATAAACATTGAAACCTCTTTTGTAGAGCTTTTTTATCATTGACTGTTTTATTTTTGTGTTTTGTTGACGGTTTCTGTTGTGCTCAACTTAGGAGCAGCGTTTGCATTCTACATTGAAATTTTGACTAAATGCATTTGAAAATGTGGTCATGAATATGCGCACAAATAAGAACAAATGGGTTAATTAATATTTAGCTGTTTAGTCTGAATAGCATTGTTGCCAATTTGTTGAAAACACGCGCAAACGTGACACTTGATCATGAAAAGAGACCACAACTTGAGAAGTGGAGCAGTAAGAAATGTGTGTTTGATAAGTTTTCAGCTTGTGGGTTGTGCTTTTGCATTATGAAACCAATAAGAGGCAAGAAAAATTTCACTTTTTCTTTTGTTTTCAAAATGGGGAGTGGGCCGGCCCATCGACTCCAGTGTTCGTGTCTGTGATGTAATTAGGTGTTTTTTTGTTTTTGTTGTTGTTGTTGTATTTTTAGTGCTTGTATATACATTTGAAGTGCGGCTTCTGTGGGTAGACATCATCAGCAATGGCAAACACGTTGCTTTTAAACATAATGACGCTGACCGCTCCACTTTCGATAATTTAATTTTTGTTTTGTTTTTGGCACGCGCTAATTTCTAAACGATTTCTACAGGCCGCCTACATGATTGTCGACGAGATGCACGAGGAGCATCCGGAACTGTTGCGCGACCAGTACTGGGAGTGTGTGGTGCCCAAAGAGCTACCCTATACTGTCGCCTCAGAGCACTATAGACGGGACGAGCCCAAGGGCTCGGCGGAGAAGTACAAGGTGAAGAAGGACGATGCGATGTATGCCAATATAATACCAGGCGGTGGCAAACGAATGCTCAGCGACGATGTCTATGCGGACTATGTAAGTATGCTCAGAGCTCAGAGCTCAGTCGGAATTCTATAGCTCTTGGCATTGCAGGAGAGCGTGGACACGCCGATGGTGGAGAGGCGAAAGAATAACTGGCTGGTGCGTCAGCTGTCCCGCATGGGCTCCATGCGCAGCCAGTCGACGGCCTACTCCTCGGGCGGCATGCCCTTCAATCGCAATCGCTTGAACTCGGTTTACTCTAGTCCCGAATCGGGCATGCCATTGTCCATCCTGCAGCAACAGCAATTGCAGCAACAGCAGCAGCAACAACAACAGCAACCTGGCTCGCAGCAGCAGAGCAACAAGCCAAGTCTCTACGAGAAGTTTGTGCACCGCAAATCGCTGCGAGCTCAGCGCCAATTGACAAAGCAAAGTGAGTAAAGAAAAGGATAGAACTTATATATATATGAACGACTACTAATCCTAACAACTAATCCTAACCCAAACAGATTCCAAACTTAATGGCCTAAATATGAATGTGCCCAAAACGCGTCCACGCATCCCAACGCCGGAGGTAACCAAGGATGGCAGCACAAATACGGGTAAGTTTGTTGCTAGATCTTTTCGCACAAGTCAACTCAACTCAACACAAAACTTACAATAAATTGCACCCTGTAGCGAGCAGTGCCGTTATAATGGCCCCACAACAGCTGAGCACGCAAAGCACTAGCGGGTTGTATCCCTCGTATAGCAGCACAGCCAGCGGCACTAATTTGCACCAGGACAGCGGCCAGGTGCTGGGCACACTGCTGCTGTCGCCCATCAAAGAGATGGATAGCACATCAACCAATAACACTCTGATTCCAGGGCACCCAGCAACAGCAGCGCTCGCCCAGGCTGTCATGCCCACCAGATTGAAGGATGCCTACACCACAAGTAGTAAGTCGCGAACGTTTGCTAAAACTCGAACTGCGTTCTCTGATCTATCCAATCTATTCTACAGCTATGCCAACGGATTCGAATATAACCACATTATCGTTTCCATTCACGGTGGCCACCAGCGCCGGTGATTCTCTGAGCATTATGCCACTGAACGCAAATGCGCAGTTGCCCACAATAACAACCACTGCGAGTGGTTATGATCCCAACGATGTCATCACCACAATACCCGTCTCACTTTCCATACAACGGACACCGTCCAGCGTATCGATTGTGGAGCTGAACGGTGCCGGTGGCGATGGTGCACCCGATCATAGCAGTGGTTCCAGCAACGGCAGTGCTGGCATCACCACAACGGCATTGCTCTCAGTGAAACCACTGAATGGAGCGGGGAATATATCGCGGAACAACAGTTTCAACCTAAGCCTCAATCTGCATGATCCGAACTTTCAACGCTCCTCCGTACGTTCGGCAGGACCAACGGATTCGGTAGATGCCAGCACATCGACGATATCGCTGCATCGGAGCAAAGACTCGGCAGCAGGTGCATCTACAGCTAATGCCTCCTCGGCGCCATCAACGCTGGCCAAGCACAAGCCAGAGCCAAAGACGGGCGAGGTATATGTGTAAAATTGGATCATAATGTTATAGGATATAAATTTTCAGGCATTGTTTATAGCCGCATTGTTTGGCTAGTTAGCTTATAAGAGCAGATAATCCGTCCAGATGCGGATTTCTTTAATGAACAGAGTTAATAGTTAGAATTAAACACACTTTGGCCATAGCGCCACCCGGAACCATTTCTACGATATTATTTTGTTGTTGTGTGAAAAATTGCAGAGAAGCGATCAGAAATATAAGTATCAAATAGTCTAAAGTTAATCTAGCTTATGAAGAAATTTGCTAATCAATTTGAGATGCGTATATTAAAATTCCCTTGATCTTCTATCAACATATACATATATACATCTATAGGTATAATATGTATAATGAATTTTAATATGTAATTCTCTATCCTTAGTGTGTATAACTGTTACCTAATGATAACTGCAATTTCAATTTGTTTCCTTGGCGCTTGCCATATTAGGACTAGATATTAAATTACTTTAATGCATAATAAGAACTACATTTATTAAAAATCCCTATCGTGTAGGCAGTGTAAATATAAACCAACACAATATGTGATATGCGATTTTTACGTTTTTAAGTCGAATAGTCTTATACATAAACCATAGAGTAATCCAGCATATCTATATCTACATATGTATATGTACATAGGTCAACTATAAAATTGTCGCCTTTGTAAATAAGATGATAAACTATCTATACCTATCTATCTATAAATAAATACCTAGATCCATTAAAACTAAATGTTAAAGTTCATGGTCACTTATCACAAATATTTCAATCAATTTAGGCCACTGAGGTAGACTCACTGAAACCTATCTGAAGAAAACCCACACTAAAAATGAGGTTGCTAAGTATTTGCTTCATTTTCAAGTATCGAAACGCATGTAAAATCTAGATATATCAATTAATGAGCATTATTAAGCAGATTAAAATAATTTCAGTTGATTTTGTTGCAAGCTAGAATCACTCTTGCAGTTTGGCTAAGCGATATGCATTATAGTATAAGAGCTTGTGTATAAGAGTTACTCAAACTAAGACAACGACTGGCAGTTAACGAACTCTCAGCCAGTCCGATTGAGACTCTTGCGAGCAAGATCAATTAAAACTGGGAACGCACTGAATCAATATCGCGTTGAGGAAATTTAAATGGAGAGCATTCGCACGATCTGCAGTCAGTCGCGCTGGGAAGATCGAGTGTAACAGTCCACAGTTTGGAGGAACAGCACTTAAGTATATAAAAACTTCAAAATAAACCGAAAAGGATACAGTGCAGTGTTAAAGAGGTGAATATGCTTAAGAGGACTTAGGAAGCTGAATAAAACCACAATGAAAGAGCTGAACGCAAAGATCAGTGGGAATGTTCTTGTTGTAAATGAGTCTGTTGTAGTTTATGCAACAATCTGTGACATATTGAGTATGGCACCTCACTTGTTAACCCCGGAGGTCAATAACAGAAACGCCAGAACAGAAAGCAAGAATCGTGCAATGCGATTTTAAATGATTCTCAAAGCGATTCCTAATTGAATTAACCTTTCTGGCGTCTCGTCGTCTATATACCAAGTATTTTAGTTGTTGTGCGTGCAAAAAAAAAGAAGAAAAAATCGTGTTGAATCGCCGATTGAATACCAATATCGAGTTTAACTTTGTCCAACTGTCAGTTGCAGTCATGGATCACGACGAGCCATCGATCACATCAAGCGACGAGAAGTTAGTGGAAGAAATACCAGTGGCAGCGGGCCTGGAGTCCACACCACCGATTAGCTTCTGGCAACTGTTTAGATTCTCCACGTATTGGGAACTATTTTGGCTCTTCATTGGATTTGTGATGTGCTGCATCAAAGCGCTCACATTGCCCGCTGTGGTGATTGTATACAGTGAATTCACCGCCATGCTGGTGGACAGGGCCATACAAGTGGGCACCAGCTCAACGGTGCACGCCCTGCCCATCTTTGGGGGCGGCAAGAAACTGTAAGTTAAGTGGTGGGCTTAAAGCAAACTTTTTTGAGTTTAATGGTTGTATTATGTTAAACAGAACGAATGCGACACGCGAGGTGAACAATGAGGCACTCTATGACGACTCCATATCGTATGGCATATTACTAACCATTGCTTCGTTCATAATGTTCATATCGGGCATATTTTCGGTGGATATATTCAATTTGGTTGCCTTGCGACAGGTGACACGCATGAGGATCAAACTCTTTGAATCGGTAATGCGACAGGATATTGGCTGGCATGATCTGGCCAGCAAGCAGAACTTTGCCCAGAGCATGACCGAGTAAGTGAAGAGAATTTCAGCTTGTTATTCAATTAATTAAGTATTATATGGTGTTCGTTCTGCACACAGCGACATTGAAAAGATACGCGATGGTATCTCTGAGAAAGTGGGTCACTTTCTCTATCTAGTCGTAGGCTTTATTATAACGGTTGGCATATCCTTTGGCTATGGCTGGAAACTGACACTAGCTGTGAGCTGTTATATACCGCTCGTCATCGCCGTCAATTACTATGTGGGCAAGGTAAAATCTACCAATTAGACCCGAGCTCAGCTCTTAATAACTTGCTTTACACACAGACACAAGGCACTTTGACGGCACGCGAACAGGAATCGTATGCAGAAGCCGGCAATCTGGTGGAGGAGATTCTAAGTGCCATACGCACTGTGGTCTCCTTTGGCGGAGAGAAGCAGGAGGTTGAAAGGTTTGAGAACTTCCTGGTGCCCGCCCGCAAGGCTAGCCAGTGGAAGGGCGCCTTCTCGGGATTGAGCGATGCACTCTTGAAATCCATGCTGTTTCTTTCCTGTGCGGGTGCTTTCTGGTATGGTGTTAATCTAATTTTAGATGATCGCAATGTGGAGGATAAGGAATACACGCCAGCTATTTTAATGATTGTAGGTGTGCCAATTGTTACAAAGTATACAAAATCACTCTCCCAAATCTATAAAATCAATCCAGGCGTTCTTTGGCATCATTGTGGGTGCGGATAATATTGCTCGCACTGCTCCATTCCTCGAGTCCTTTGCCACGGCACGTGGCTGTGCGACCAACCTGTTTAAGGTCATCGATCTGACCTCGAAAATCGATCCGCTGTCCACAGATGGAAAACTCTTAAACTATGGCTTGCGTGGCGATGTCGAATTTCAGGATGTCTTCTTTCGTTATCCCTCACGTCCGGAAGTTATTGTACTCCGCGGCCTGAATATCAAAATTCGGGCAGGTCAAACTGTGGCTCTTGTTGGATCTTCGGGCTGTGGCAAGTCGACGTGTATACAGTTATTACAGCGCTTCTATGATCCCGTTTTTGGTTCTGTGCTTTTGGATGACTTAGACATACGTAAATATAATATACAATGGCTGCGCTCCAATATTGCTGTGGTGGGTCAGGAACCAGTGCTCTTCTTGGGCACCATAGGTAAAATGGATATTGTTTTTACTTCCATACATATTTATTACATATACTTTTATCAGGACAAAATATTAGCTATGGTAAGCCGAATGCCACGCAGAAGGAGATCGAAGCAGCTGCCACACAAGCGGGCGCTCATGATTTTATTAGCCATCTACCCGAGGTAAGTTAATCTGTTTCTAAAGCTCGATTCTAGCTTATTCTTGATCTTATTCCATGTAGAGCTATCGCACACTGATCGGTGAACGTGGTTCGCAGCTCTCTGGTGGTCAAAAGCAGCGTATTGCCATCGCTCGAGCTCTCATACAGAATCCCAAGATACTACTTCTAGATGGTGAGTAGAGGAAAGAGTGTTCCACAAACCAAGTACTGCTTACAATTCCATTTCATTGCAGAGGCAACCTCTGCATTGGACTACAACTCGGAGAAACTAGTGCAGCAGGCTTTGGATTTGGCTAGCAAAGGACGCACCACAATTGTGGTTTCACATCGTCTCTCTGCTATACGTGGTGCCGATAAGATTGTGTTTATACACGATGGTAAAGTATTTGAGGAAGGATCACATGATGATCTGATGGCACTGGAGGGTGCTTATTATAATATGGTAAAAGCTGGCGATATTCAAATGCCGGAAGAACTCGATAAGGAGGAGAATATAGACGAGACCAAGCGTGAGTAACCAGAATCAGCAACTTAAATATATAACTACATCGACTAAGAAAAACTTTATATACAGGCAAAAGTCTAGCGCTCTATGAAAAATCCTTTGAAACAAGTCCACTCAATTTCGAGAAGAACCAGAAGAACAGCGTGCAGTTCGATGAGCCCATTGTCAAGTCCCTTAAGGAGAGCAACAAGGAAAGGGAAAATGAATCCATAGAGAAACCAAACTTCTTCCGTACCTTTGCGAGAATTGTGCGCATCTCACGGCCTGAGTGGTGTTATCTAATCTTTGGAGGCATTGCAGCGATTTGCGTTGGCTGCCTTTATCCCGCATTCTCGATTATTTTTGGTGAATTCTATGCGGCCCTCGCCGAGCAGGACGAGAAAGAGGCGCTCAGTCGAACTGCGGTGCTGTCGTGGGCCTGTTTGGGCATTGCGGCAGTCACTGGCCTGATCTGCTTCCTGCAAACCTATCTCTTTAATTATGCCGGTGTTTGGCTAACACATCGCATGCGAGCGATGACTTTCAAGGCAATGGTCAGCCAGGAAATTGGCTGGTTCGATCAGGAGCAGAACTCGGTGGGTGCACTATCAGCACGTTTGTCCGGTGAAGCGGCTGGTGTACAGGGTGCCATTGGCTACCCGCTGAGTGGCATGATTCAGGCATTATCAAATTTCATAACGGGCATTACGGTATCCATGTACTATAATTGGAAACTGGCGCTGCTGTGTCTGGCCAATTGTCCGATCATTGTTGGATCCGTCATACTCGAAGCAAAGTAAGTTAAACGTTTAACTGAACATCTGCAAACTTATCCAACTTATTTGTAGACTGATGTCCAACGCACTGATTCGCGAGAAACAGGTCTTGGAGGAGGCCTGTCGCATTGCAACCGAATCTGTGACCAATGTGCGGACAATCGCCGGTTTACGACGCGAAGCTGATGTCATTAAGCAATACACAAAGGAGATTCAAAATGTGGAAATACTCATACGACAGAAGCTACGCTGGCGCGGTATTTTGAACTCGACAATGCAGGCATCGGCATTCTTTGCCTATGCCGTTGCACTTTGCTATGGCGGCGTCCTCGTCTCGGAGGGTCAAGTCCCCTTCCAGGACATCATCAAGTGGGTGTGCACAAAGTAACCCAGCATTAGTCGTATATTAATGTTTTTGGTAATTCGGTTTTTTGTAGGGTATCCGAAACGCTGCTTTATGGCTCGATGATGTTGGCCCAATCACTGGCCTTTACGCCAGCCTTTACAGCCGCCTTGGTGGCCGGTTATCGGTTGTTCCAGATCCTTGATCGCAAGCCCCGCATTATTTCGCCCATGGGCACGATAAAGAATACATTGGCTAAGCAGCTAAATCTCTTTGAGGGTGTGCGCTATCGCGACATCGAATTCCGTTATCCCACTCGGCCAGATGCCAAAGTTCTAAATGGTCTTGACTTGGAGGTGCTGCAGGGTAAAACTGTTGCCTTAGTTGGTCATTCCGGTTGCGGCAAGTCCACCTGCGTGCAGCTACTGCAGCGCTACTACGATCCCGATGAGGGTAGCATTGTAAGAAATTACATAAGAAGATTCGATGTATAGTTATTCTCTATCTTCTTGACATCCCTGCAGCACATTGATCAGGATGACATTCAGCATGATTTGACGCTGGAGGGTGTACGTCGAAAGTTGGGCATTGTGTCGCAGGAACCCTCGCTTTTTGAGCGCACCATTGCTGAGAATATTGCCTATGGTGACAATCGTCGATCTGTGCCCATGGCCGAGGTGATTGCTGCTGCCAAGAGTGCAAATGCGCACAGCTTCATAATTTCATTGCCGAATGGCTACGATACTCGGATGGGCTCCAGGGGCACTCAGCTATCTGGTGGTCAGAAGCAGCGGCTTGCCATCGCACGTGCCCTGGTTAGGAACCCCAAGATCCTATTGCTAGATGAGGCCACCTCAGCGCTGGACTTGCAAAGTGAACGGGTAAATTAGGCAAACAAATATTCTTGTTCCTAGAATCCTTAACTCTGTTTTACAGTTGGTTCAGCAAGCTTTGGACGCCGCCTGCTCTGGACGCACCTGTATTGTGATTGCCCATCGTTTGTCAACGATTCAGAATGCAGATATCATTTGTGTGGTGCAAGGTGGCCGAATTGTGGAGCGTGGCACGCATTCGCAGCTAATTGGTCTGGGCGGCATCTATGCCAAGTTGCACAAGACCCAAAAGAGTCACTGAGCTTCTCCTTAATGGAATTACAATTTTGTTTAATGATTTTACCAAAGTTAAGATTTATTTACTGTCATATTTTATATATCATTATTTTTTCAATAAACCATCTAACAATTTTCAATGTAACTCTAATGATATGTTTTTTATTGACTGCGGCAGTAAGGCAAAAATTCGTTGTAATTGTTTAAAGTCAACAGGCGATTCAAAAATCCATTGCACAATATGAGGCTTCAAGCAAAATATAAGGCATAAAATCAGTTAATAACTTTTCTATAATTAAACACAGACAGAACTCTCCGTGCAACTAAGAAAATCGTCTCAAGCTGCATAATTGCACTCTACATGTCATTTCAGATAACAGTATCTCAGTATCTTTATATCATCAATGAAAATGTTGCTTAATTAGAATATTTTACATCAATTGTATTTTATTATTTGCACGACAACACTTGATAAGAGATAAAACTAAGACCGCGGATTCATTGTACTGAATATTCAATAAACTCCCTTTATGATATCAAACACTTATGTAAATTGATACCATTAAGATATATCCAAAACTGATAACAGGGAAGTCAGTCTATCAAAATAGAGAGGCTTCTTTTCAACCGTATCTAATCTCATTGAGGAATTTAATGCAAATTTCCAGACATTTATTTAAAGAACCTCTGATGACCTTTAACATATATAAAACTATGCACACCTTGATGAACGTTGCATATCTGGAAGTCATGCAGAACCTTGAGAAGAATCAATTTAATTGGTATTTATTAAAATGAAATAAGAGAAATTGCAAAAACTGCGAGAGTAGAACACATTTCCTATCGAGAACAGATGTACGCTCTTTCGGCTGTTTGAACATTAATAGAAACTGAATTGATAAAAAACGAACCCCTCAGTTGCAAACCCAACAGTTCGAGTCCACATTTCAATCGGAACGGTAACAGGCGGAAGACCCTCAGAAGTAACACCACAGTGCTGTGCTCATCAATTCAAACCAATCAGTTGAACGCATAGATAAAATTCAAAAACCAAAGATCATAAAATATAGAGTCACACAGACTTTTTAAAGTTCTTCAATACTCGAACGTGAGAGCTGGTTGCAACAGATTCATTTGCTATACACGAACGCTAACTACTAATTAACCCCGAGGTCAAATGCTTATAGGCGAACGCTTTGTGTCATAAACTACGTCAATGGCGTCAGAGGAGCCCAATATGAATGATGATACGGATACTGCAACTCGGGCAGAACCAAATAAATCCAAGGCCAAGGAGCCGGAGCTGAAAACCGTGAACTATCGACAGCTGTTTCGCTATGCTCGCGGTCCGGATTATCTACTTCTGGGATGTGCCGCTCTAGCGGCTATGTTGCATGCATTCGTCTTTCCCGTAGCTATTATCGGGTATAGTGAATTGGTGGCCATGTTTATCGATCGGAGCTTGGGCATTGGCACCAGCTCGGGCACCACGGCTCTGCCCTTGTTTGGCGGTGGAAAACAGCTGTAAGTCCAACTACAGAATCGCGTTTTTGCCCAACCCCCTTTGTCAATTCTCGTTTGCAGCACCAATGCCACCTATGAGGAGAATATGGATGAGCTGCGCAAAGATAGCGTTGCATTTGGCATAATCATGACCATCGACTCGCTGGTCATGTTATTTTCCGGCATGGCCTTTGTGAACATCTTCAATCATCTGGCTCTCGAGCTGACTGTGCGCATGCGTCGGGAGTTCTTCAGGGCGACAATCAGACAGGAAATTGGCTGGCATGATATGTCCAAGGATCAAAACTTTGCTGTTCGCATAACTGAGTAAGTTTTTAGCGGACTACGAGTAGGACTTTTAGATAACTCGAATTAATTCACAAGCAACATGGAAAAAATTCGCACTGGCATCGCTGAGAATGCGGGACATTTTTTGACAATTATATTCGACGTGGCCATAAGCGTAATCATATCCTTGGCATACGGCTGGAAACTGGCATTGGCCATGTTCTTTTACATACCACTCACTATTGTCGTTAATGCAATGATTGCGCATGTAAGTTCAGAGTAAACATTTTAATTATTATCAGTAATCCTGCTAATACTAATGCTATAACAGTACCAAAGCAAGCTGACAGCTCGGGAGCAGAGCTCTTATGTGCGTGCCAGCTCTGTGGTGGAGGAGGTCATTGGCGCCATACGCACAGTGGTTGCTTTTGGCGGTGAGCGTTCCGAATCTGTGCGCTATGAGAATCTGTTGAAGCCCGCACTCACGGCTGGCAAATGGAAGGGCGCCTTCTCCGGTCTCAGCGATACGGTTATGAAGGCCATGATGTTCATAGTGGGTGCTGGTGCCTTCTGGTATGGTGCCAATTTGATTCTACACGATCGTGCCACCGATATACCCAGCGAGGAACGCGAATATACGCCGGCAATTGTGATGATTGTGATATCGGGCATTATTGTGGGTGCCAATCACTTGTCACGCACTTCGCCATTTCTGGAGACATTCGCCATGGCTCGTGGATCAGCGAGTGCCATTTATGATGTCATCGATCGCGTCTCTGTTATCGATCCGCTCTCCAAGGCCGGCAAAATCCTTAACTATGGACTGAAGGGAAGCATTGAGTTTCGTGACGTGTTCTTTCAGTATCCCGCTCGTAAGGACATCACTGTGCTGAGAGGACTCAATCTGATTGTCAAAGAGGGTCAAACTGTCGCTTTGGTTGGCTCCTCGGGCTGTGGCAAATCGACCTGCGTACAATTGCTCCAACGCTTCTATGATCCTGTTTTTGGCCAAGTCCTGCTGGATGGCGAGGATGTCCGAAAATACAATATCAACTGGCTGCGCTCCAATATAGCCGTTGTTGGTCAGGAACCAGTGCTATTTCAGGGCACCATTGGTGAGTTTAGCTTCCAATATATAGTTGCAATCTGTACATAAAAATAATTTCATTTGACTACAGGTGAAAACATTCGTCATGGTAAACCTGAAGCCACCCAAAGAGAGGTTGAAGTTGCTGCTAGGGCCGCCAATGCTCATGAATTTATCACTGCTCTCTATAAAGTAAGATGTGTAAGAGACTTTTGGTTCAATATTTAATCTTTTCCCTACAGGGTTACGATACGCATATTAGCGAAAAGGGTGTTCAGCTATCCGGCGGACAACGTCAACGCATTGCCATAGCCAGAGCACTCATACAACAACCTACAATACTTCTTCTAGATGGTAAGCCTTACCCTGTGGAGAACGGTTCAAAATTTTCCACAGCCTCAAAAATTCAACCGATTTTCAAAAGCCATGTTTGATCATGGCTTGGTCTCAAGATTAATATTGCATTCATATTAATGTTCACATTTCTGGATCGGAGAATTCATATAAAAATTATCCGAAAAAAATTGAAAATTGAAGACAAAAAGCACCCGTTTTATTAACTACAGTAATCATTCCCCACAGAGGCTACTTCGGCACTGGACTATCACTCCGAAAAGCTGGTGCAAGCCGCTTTGGACAAGGCGTGCATGGGTCGCACCACGCTGGTCGTATCACATCGCTTGTCTGCCATCAGACATGCTGATCAAATTGTTTACATTGAGAATGGCAAAGTGGTTGAGCAGGGCACTCATGAGGATCTAGTGAAGCAGCAGGGTTACTACTACAAAATGGTCTCTGCCTACGAGTATGATGATAGGGCTGATGAAGTGCTGAATGAATGCGAAGAGATGAAATCTCAAGAAATTGAACAGTTTCGCAGAAGCTCACTTAAATCCCTGGATAAAAATGCCGAGTTTCAGATGAAACGACTAAATCTGAACCACTCACAAGCTGCTGACGATGAAGAGAAGGCGAAGTGCACAAAAAGCATCAGCTATCCGCGCACCTTCTTGCGTGTTCTGATCTGGGCACGACCAGAGTGGAGTTTCCTGGCCATTGGCACCGTATGTGCCGCACTTTATGGCTGTTCCATGCCTGCTTTTTCTGTTGTCCTGGCGGAACTATACGCCTCGCTGGCCGAACCCACCGATGAAGCAGTGCTGCAGCACAGTTCATCAATGTCGATTATCAGCGTTGTAATTGGCATCTGTGTGGGCATCTTCTGCTTCGTGCAGACCTTCTTCTACAATCTGGCTGGAGTGTGGCTTACCTCACGAATGCGGTGAGTTTAGCTATAACTATGACAATAGCTATAACTATTTGAATTCAATAATCTGCTTCTCAAACCATTAGTTCCAAGACATTTAGATCTATAATGAATCAGGAAATGGGCTGGTTTGATGAGAAGGAGAACAGCGTTGGTGCTCTGTCGGCTCGGCTATCGGGAGATGCGGCCAGCGTGCAGGGTGCCATTGGTTTCCCATTGAGCAACATTATACAAGCATTGACAAACTTTATCTGTAGTTTCTCCATTGCCTTCTCCTATTCCTGGGAATTGGCGTTAGTCTGTTTGAGTACAGCGCCATTTATGGTTGCGTCTATAATCTTTGAGGCAAGGTTTAGTGAAAAGTCAGCGCTAAAGGAAAAAGACGTGCTGGAGGAAACGAGTCGCATAGCTACGGAGACGATTGCACAAATAAGAACCGTAGCAGCTCTGCGTCGAGAAGAGGAACTCATAAAGGTATATGATGCAGAAGTGGAACGGTATCGTCTGCAAATCAAGAGTCGCTTGAGATGGAGAGGATTGGTCAACTCGCTGGGCATGACCCTCATGTTCTTTGGCTATGCTGTCACCTTAACCTATGGCGGATTCATGTGCGCCGAGGGAAGGATCAAGTTTGAAGTTATTATGAAGTGAGTGAATCAGTGCACTTGGAAAGAGAGCGCAGCTCTAAGTTTACTCTTTTAGAATTGCGAACACAATGCTTTATGGCCTATTCATTCTGGCCCAATCCTTGGCCTTCACACCAGCTTTTAATGCGGCGCTGCTTTCGGCCACACGCATGCATGAAATCATAGACCGGAAACCCTTGATACAGTCCCCAAATGTTGTGGAAAATGCTGGCAATGGCAACTATAACTACAAGACGAATGTTGTGGAGCAGGGCGTCAGTTATCGTGAGCTCAACTTTGCCTATCCCTCGAGACCGAATCACTCGGTGTTAAAGGACTTTAATCTGGATGTGCTGCAGGGTCAAACGGTTGCCCTGGTTGGTGCCTCCGGTTCCGGCAAATCTACATGTGTTCAACTCCTACTGCGCTACTATGATCCAGATGAGGGCAAGATAGTAAGTCAAATTCTGTTAAACTTTGGATCCATTTCTGTATGCTTATTTATACCCACAGCTCATTGATCAGGAGAGTATACACCAGGACATGGAGCTAAAAACTCTTCGTCGTCGCCTGGGCATTGTGTCGCAGGAGCCGTCGCTCTTTGAGAAGACCATTGCGGAGAATATCAGCTATGGCGACACCTCACGCAACGTGCCCATGCAACAGATCATTGATGCAGCCAAAATGGCGAATGCCCATGATTTCATCATGACATTGCCCGCCCAGTATGAGACCATGTTGGGATCCAAGGGCACACAGCTTTCAGGTGGACAGAAGCAACGAATTGCCATTGCACGAGCCATGGTGCGAAATCCCAAGATACTGTTGCTTGATGAGGCCACATCAGCATTGGATATGCAAAGTGAAAGGGTAAGCAAATATTTATTATCAATATTATTTGAACAACAAACTTGGCTTACAGGTGGTGCAGCAGGCGTTGGATTCGGCCTGCTCTGGACGCACCTGCATTGTGATTGCCCATCGATTGTCCACCGTGCAAAATGCTAATATTATTTGTGTTATTCAAGTCGGACGCATCATTGAGCAGGGCACACATTCCCAGCTGCTCGCCAAGAATGGCATCTATGCCAAATTGTACCGCAGTCAATCGAAAAACAAATAGTGCACAAAAGTATGCAGTAAAAATACAACTTAGCCAAGACACACACCAGCGCGCATAAGACTATGCTACAGATTATTTCTATGTACACTAATTGGAATTATGATACGTAATATAAACTGCCGAAAACAACAGCATTTTATATGGAGATAGTTAAAATCTATAGTCCGGGCTTGAACTTGTTATAAACTCTGAACATGTATAGAAATACCAATTAATATTTATTTCGGCCATCTTAATTCACAAATTCGTCCAGCAAAATGTAAATAAATTTAAAATGTAATGAAAAATTATAATAAATTCTTTTACATTCCACAAAAAAAAAATGGTTTTTATCTCTTTTTGCAAATTTGGTATATGCCGCTGGATATTCAGCATTTTTATCTAATCATTGTTTATATTAAGCAAACCTATCTCAAGGTGCTTCAATCCAAATTAAATTTGTGCACATTTCAGTTGCGCATTGCGCTTTATATTGTAGGTTTGCCTTTGAGAAGTTGTTGTCTAGTGCCCGAAATGTTCATAAAACAAATATTGAGCCTCTGCATATTATTTTTGAGTATGTAATGTGTGGATGAATTGCCCTTATCTCAAATAATGCGGTATTTATTTAGTCTCCACAGTTGTAAGAACTGATGAAGATGGTCAAAATGTAAAGGGGCAAATTAACATTTGCCCGCTGGAGACATCCTGTGTAAGTGTGAATGAAAGCAACGCCGTCTGCAGATATGATGACAACAAAGGATGCATACGAAAATACGAATCCAAATGTCACTTGGATATTGCAGCCTGCCGTGATGGAAAGGGTATGTATTTGATAACCTGGCAGAGAGTAAAATTATATGCTGTAGTTGAACCAGTTTCAACCTAATTTGTCAATAAATCGCTCCTGGTATTGGATAAATTCAACTAACTCCAACTCTAGCAATCTCTACTGACGACAACAAAACTTAGTTTCCACGCGCGAATAAGATAAATTGACAAAAATCCTTCATTCGGGTCAATAAGTTATGTAAATAAGGCGTCAGAAATGTCTCTCTGAATTGGTCAGACATTTCATTTTGAATCCATAATGCCAGCCGCAGGCGTTATTCTTAATTATGCAAATGAAAACAATGTATTTATTTTATCTATAACCTGAAGCCTCGTCTGTTACCGAAAGATTAAAAACTAATTTGTTATTTTTTTTCAGACTACACCGACTACAGTGACGTATACTGCACAATGGAGACATTCATTTGCGAGGAGATATTGACATTTGAACGGTGGACCATCTTCTTTGGTCACGTGAAAGATTGATACGTTCCAACGGTGTGAATAAAGGCGCTGGCTTTCAATATTTCAGAAACAATTAATTAATCTGTTGAGTGGCGATAAGTAGCTACCATTCAAAAGTATTGTATCTCTTTCTTTTTTTTTTTTTGTCTGTCACCAATGACGTCAAACGTATTTGCCCACCAATCAGATGACCAGCTTGAGACAGAACGACGCTGCGCCTCAAGCCCCCTTTTTGATCAGCTTGTTTTTGTTTTTTTTTTTTGGCAATACTCTTTTGCATAATCTTCGCATGAGTTGCCAGTTAAGAGCCGGTCAATAGGTTGATGCGAGTACGGACATTTATATAAAATGGGGGTTCCTCTGAGCGGCGGTCAGTTTATCAGACATTATCAAGACAAACAAATCATTTTCTTTTGCCATGCGTCTAACAATTTTATTTGGTTAGTAACTTGAGCTCGTTGAGAATCGTTCACATATGATTATTACATTTTTAATAAATTTACAGCGATAAGCTTAACCCTGGTCATGGTCGCTAGTAAACCTCTCTCATCATCACAGCAGACCTCGAAAGAAAAACAGCAAGAACTCTACAAGCAATGGCCAGGCGTGGAAGATGAACGATTTGCCGATGCAGAAGTGGATAACGCCTATGAGCTGTACAAGGAGAAAACAAGAAAGCCAAACATTCTACAAAATTCACATAAAGACAAGCCATAGTAGTTCAGCTCACCAAAGTTGACGAATGGTTTGCTGTGCTTCATTGTGTTCAAGCATATACGGGTCTATAGGCGATATAGTATAGTAGTATAGTTTTAATTCGGTATGGTATTAGTAAAACGCATAAATAAAAACAATTATTTTTGGTGAAACGTGCAAATGAGTTGTTCCTATTGCATTCCGGCCAAAGATCACGTATATCGTGACACTCTTGTACATATAAAGTTCAGCTTCACACTGACTAATCAGTTCAGTTCAGATTGGGCAAGTGTCGCAAGTGAAAATGTCGCTGGCCAAGTTCTTAACATTGTTTCTTATCAGCAGCGCTCTGCTGCTAATTGGTAAGTGCAAATCGTTGGAAGTTTTACTTAATCTAAAATGATGTCCCCTTATAGCAAACGGAAGGCCGCTGGACGACTTTAGCATTGAAGATGATCGCATGAATGAGATAGGAAAAGACTTTGGCAGAAAATGGATAATGCCAAATTTGGAGCGTATTTTCAGCAGTGCCGAAACGCAGACGACAGGGAAACGCACCGAAAAAAACACAAATAGCATTGAACCAAGTGAAAAAGAGACCACAACGAGTTCCAAGCATGCCCATGGCATGATCACGTCCATGATGAGCTTTATCAGTAGTGTTGTTAACTTTGGCCGAACTATGATACGTAATGAATAAAATAAAAAATATTTTTAAATTCTGCATAAAACTACGCTTAGCTGTGTAATGTAAGAACAAAAAACAAAATTAAAAAACAAAACTAAAGTAAGCCTTAAAGTTTAAGCAGCTTAGTGCTGTGTACTCTACAAATAAATAGTTTCTCAAATTTATGCGGGGATTTTTAAAAGTCTCCATAAAATATATCACAGTCATGGAACTATTCTTGGTTTTTAATGTTGTCTGGCCACATGATGACGTGTAAAAAATTCAAATTTTTCATCAAAATCAGTTGAATACGTCATGTGACGTCACGGCTGACTTGTTAGCCAGTATGCTAATATGTACTATGCTAGCCGGTTTTACAATCGTTTGTTTGTTTTAATAATAAATAGAGACCTTGCATAGACTGCTGTTAGCCCAGAATCTCCTTTCCGCTAGTTCTCGTTTTATTGAAAATCTTGGGTTTTTCTAAAGAAACCATAATCATATTCAAAATTGATTAAATTATTATTATAATATAAGAAGCTTTGCAATTTAATATCTCGCAATTTTTCCCAAAATAAGTAATTCCCCCCAATAACAATTTAATTTGACTATAGCCACGTGTAAATCAATTTCGTAAAAACCGAAAAACTAACAATGCAGAACAGTTAACATTTAGAAGCTGGCTACAAAACATTATTAACGGCAAAGATTGCACAATTCCAAAACTTAAAATGAAATCGAAAATAAAACAGAGTCTTAACGGCAACCGTTGATTGAGCAAGCAACACGCCGACTGACTAATGGCACTAAAAGCTGCGATTGCAGCCACCTTATAAACCAGGTTATAAATATACACAAAAATACACACATATGTGTTATTCTTGGCATTACGTTCTCACTTTTATTTAAATGCTTTTGTACATTGTACTGACTGGCGAGTTAAAAAAAGAAATTTGTTTGTGTGTGAGCAAAAAAAATTTATTGAAGCCCAAAGAAGCAGATTTAATTAACATTTTGCTTGACATATAGTGTGTGGGTATAACTGGATATAATTCTGGGCAGGTACATGTGTGTGTGTGTGTGCATGTGTGAGTGTTTATATATGTGATTAAATTAAACTTCGTCGCTAATTCGCCTCGAGCAAATGATATTTAAACATCTTGTTCAGTGAATACATATTCTGGGACAGCTCATTGCAGACACGCACAACGCAGCCTTTTGCGGCACATGCAACGAAGGAACAATAATAGGATTTTTAACTAGGCTAGGTACACAAACACAACAAAATGAAACAAAATAAAACACTAACCAATTAGATATTTAATCACTTTTAACAGCACCATGACGAGAACTTGCGTCGATGCACACGCGCCGAGATTTAGAACCAAATTGAACACGAAATCCGAAACTCAACTGCGGATAAATAAATGAAACGCAGTCCAGCCAGGTGAACGTTGACGCCGCGATGCACAGTGGGGCCAGTTGGCACTGCATTGGGCAAAATAGTAAGAACAATGCTTGGTAACATAATGAATTAACAGCAAATGTTGCTTGTCATCGTGCTTGATTGGGCTGTTAATTGAAGTGTTAATTATATAAAGCATAAGCACATTCAACTCACAGCCTATTCATATAACAATAAAGGAAAGAGAAAAAAAAACGGAGGCTGCTAAATAATTTTGCAGGTATATAAACAGTGGATTACTGTGGGCCACTGTGCGCAGCCAGAAAATCAAGAACTTCATGTTGATGTTGCAATTGATCTTTAATATATGAAGTAAGTACATATGTACAATTCTACCAATATATATCTACTAACATTATGTTTTTTTCGGCAGGCACTTAAGCGCTTATTTGCGTGAGTTGCAAGAAACAGCAGCAGTAACAACAACAACAACGGCAACAACAACGGTGACAAGCAGTAAGCAATACGAATTACGTCATCAGAACTCGTTTGCATCCATGGGGCTACCGCCTGCACAGTGTGGCTGGCGCACAAGATATACGAGTAAGATTGAGGCCAAAATCTATTGACACTCATTGCCGTCTTTATCAGTGCGATTATTTCTGTCATTGCAAGAGTTGCAACCGAGAGTCGTAACGCTCGGCTGCAAACCAGTTTCTTCTCTCTGTGGCAATTCCATCGCACTGCTTGGCGACGACTATCAACAAGTGACAACTGGCAACTAACAGTTGCCCGTCGAATGCGCTGTCGTTGCACATTGGTCATGAATTTCTACAGTATTTTGATCGTGATTTTCAAAAGCAATTCGAAACCAACTTCGCAGGTCGTTTCTATAGCCATTTAATAGGTATAGCAGTAAACTTCAAGTTTTTTTAATTTGTTTTTCAAGTGATTGTAGGTTGAGTTTGGTTTCATTTTTGGATATGCATGAGTGCGAAGCCGTTATTCACCTTCAGTGCAGTTATTTTGCACAAGCACCAATTGAATGAACAACTTTTAGTTTAGTAAATTAGTAAATTGGTTAATAAATTGTGTTTTAACTGATCGCGTAAATATGCAAATTGATCGATCAGTCTTATTCGAGAAATTGATTTTAACATAATGGAAAAACCAAAAAACGTATACTTTTGATTTTATATAGATTGAAATTTATGCCTATAATAATAAATAATAAAAATGTTTTCTGATTAGAAATCACTTTCGCGACAGTGTAAGAATATTCCACAAAAACAGAAAAACCCTTCGCTGAGCAAAGAATATTAACACACTCATTATCTAGTTTGGATGGGAAGCGTGGGAATATGTCTTTCATAAATGACAACACTGGCGAGGCGACAAACAGCGGTAAACATTTTCCAAGAGAAACAACAAGTTTAACTCTCATGTTTAGCTTCTATTTCAGATCGCACTATTAAAAGCCGGCCGGCGTTTTGCCTCAGAGAGCGGGAGAGCGCACCAAAAGAGAGAGAGAGAGAGAGAGCTCATACAAATACTGGAAATGTAGAGAAGAAAAATAAACAAATAAGGCGAGCACAACAAACGGCGTTGAACGGCGTTATCTCAGCTCTCAGCTGTTCGATGAAGTAATAAATGGGCCGGGATCGCCGGCAGCCGACTGACGATCGTCGTGCGAGCCGAACAGTCGAATCCACGAATCCGTCAGCCACTTCTGATGCAGACATTGTGATTATTCTTTTTATTTTTTTTTTGTCTGGGTACCGAGGAAAACTTCTCGCTGCATGAAGTTCAGTTGCTCGCGACGAGCCATCCAGTGCGGTTGGATGGGCTCTGGTAAGAAATAAATAAATAATAGACGAGAAAGTGAAGTAAAAAGTGGAATACATAAAAGTGAACTGTAAACCGGAAGTAGCCCAAGATAAAGGATATTCAAGTTACAGCTGAGCTGCCAGATTGTGTGTGTGTGTGTGCTAGTGAGAGAGTATAGCACAATGGGGTCAGGTGCAGCCCCATTCTGTGCTATGGGCGTGGCCTTTGCTCTGTGCCTGCTTGTCGCGCTTTGTAATGCGGAACTGACGCCGCCATATTTTAATCTGGCCACGGGTCGCAAGATTCATGCAACTGCCACATGTGGCGAGGATACGGACGGACCCGAACTCTATTGTAAGCTGGTCGGAGCGAATACGGAAAATGATCACATCGATTATTCGGTTATTCAAGGACAAGTAAGTTAGGAACACGAATTGTATAATTATTTCCTATGTGGCTCTCAAAAACTCACCATAAGATTTCATTTCGTATTGCGAGTATACACACACAATTTTGGTGTGTGTTTCTAGAAAATTGGTTTTATTTTTGTGTGATGCTGCATTATGAAGTCCCCAACGTGCCACATGTGGTGTACATTCAAATTTGAAACTATTTTTAAACATGATACGGAGCATTTTGAAAAATAACATGTGTTTTTTGTTTTTTGGTTTTGTTTCCTTCTAGGTCTGCGATCATTGTGATCCCAATTCGCCGGAGAAGAATCATCCACCGGAGAATGCAATCGATGGCACCGGTTCCTGGTGGCAGAGTCCGCCCTTATCACGTGGCATGAAATTCAACGAAGTCAATTTGACCATCGATTTCGAACAGGTAAACAGCCAGGAAAGAAAGGTGCCCCAAAACAAAAGAGTGCCACACAAAAAAAAAAAAACCAAAACAAAAAAAAAACCAGTCGATGCAACGATTTTGTGTGTGTTCCTTTCCTATGGGTTGAGGTTCGATCATCTCAAACTCAGAGACAGAGTCAGTCTGGGGCACGTTTGGTCAGACAGGCTGCATGCTCGTAAAATTAGTGAGCGCATACTTGCTTTTGAAAACGATTTTAATGGGTTTTCATTTCATTTTCGACGTCTGCAACGGCGACGTTGCTTTTTTAGTGAAGACACAGCGAAAAATCTTGCTGAGCTGTTGAATTGAATTTTTTGTTCTTAACGCTGGTTCCCTTTGGAGTTACGGGTTATCAGCTCGTTATATGTACAAGTTCCTACACACACACACATAAATACATACATACATACATACATATGTGTGTATTTATGTTGGCCTGTCTCCCCTTACATGTTCTCTTAGAAACTGACACACAGAGGAGCATTGACTTTTGTTTGGGTTTGCTTTGCTTGTAGCGATAAGCAGCTAAAAAATGTTGTATGAAATTAAAAGATTTGTGAAGGCTTCTTGTTGCCCAGCATTTGAGCAATTCAGATGTACATGTATATATATATATATATATACATTATGTTACTGATAGCAGGCAATAAGAAACTATAGTCGCAGCCCACGCTTATCATTAAAAGTCGTGAATTGTTCTATAAAAACTTTGGGGTCACATCACATTGCGCACATCTTATCGCACTTGCAACGGAAACGCTCCAGATCATGGGGCTGTAGCTGCTTATAGCTAAGCAAGCCTTTTGGTATCGCCAGCTACAACAATTACATACCATACATACATATATGTATTTCTACTTGGAGCACTTATTTGTTTTCTAGTTGGAGAACGAAATGAGATCATCCAATAGAATGCAACAATTGCACATAATTCTTAACTCACGACGAACTTTGAAAATAAATGTGACTAGCTGAAAATAACTATTCATGAAGATATATCATGTATATAGGTTTCAGTCTTAACTCTAACATTTCAGTATAGAATTTTATGAAGCTATCAGCTGGTCATCTTATGTATGTATACGCTAACTAAATATTTGATAAGTATATAAGCCAGATTTATAAACACACAAGATCACAACTGTAAACAATATTTGTAAGTAGATATGCATATATGTACATATCCGCAGCATATGAACATCTATATATATATATTTCTACATTTGCTTCGTTTTCAATTGAATTCAAATTGAAAGCAAACATAAAACAAAATAAACAAACATTCAGCGGACGCAGATAAATTTAGTACACTGGAGAGCATGGAGTTAATTCTCTACAATGATCTCATGCAACCTCTGTAGATACAATATATATACACACACACACACACACAGACACATATTCACATGCACACAGAAATACACACATTTCTTATATGAACGCTACGCTAATGAATTTTAATGAATTTGCTTGTGGCCTGAAATGTGCTCGTGGGTAGAAAGATTGTGGAGTGGTTAGAGAAGATGTACTCCAGGAACTTCAATGAAAGTCTTAAGTATGTGTATAGTTTGTAACGCAAACAAAATACCAGAATAAGGAAAAGACTTTAGCACAAGTTAAGCGAGAATGTGGCATTGAAAAGCCGCAATAATAATTTATATGATAAAAATAAGAAATCTCCCAATTCAATTATTCATTTTTCGATTCAAACAGTCTGCAATTTTGCTAAAAGATATTCTTTATTTAAGTTATAAATCTTGTTAACAACAATTTCCAACAATTTTAGGAATTCCATGTGGCCTACTTGTTTATACGCATGGGCAATTCGCCGCGTCCCGGTCTCTGGACGCTGGAGAAGTCCACGGATTACGGCAAGACCTGGACACCCTGGCAGCATTTCTCGGACACGCCCGCTGATTGTCAGACCTACTTTGGCAAGGACACCTATAAGGCAATAACACAGGACGACGATGTGATGTGCACCATGGAATACTCGAAGATTGTGCCGCTAGAGAATGGAGAGATACCGGTGTTGTTGCTCAATGGCCGACCCTCATCCACCAACTACTTCAACTCGACGGTGCTGCAGGAATGGACACGTGCCACCAATGTGAGAATCCGTTTGTTGCGCACCAAGAATCTCTTGGGTCATCTGATGTCGGTGGCACGACAAGATCCAACGGTGACACGTCGCTACTTCTACTCGATTAAGGACATCTCGATTGGTGGACGTTGCATGTGCAACGGTCATGCCGACACCTGTGACGTCAAGGATCCCATTAGTCCAGTGCGGATACTCGCCTGTCGCTGCCAGCACCACACCTGCGGCATTCAGTGCAACCAGTGCTGTCCCGGATTCGAGCAGAAGAAGTGGCGCCAGAATACCAACGCCCGACCCTTCAACTGCGAACGTGAGTCGGACTATTCACCTACTCACAGAGAACGAAGCTAATCCTTTTTGATTTGCAGCCTGCAATTGTCATGGACACACCAACGACTGCATGTACGATGAGGACGTTAATCGCAAGGGTCTCTCGCTAGACATTCATGGTCACTACGATGGCGGTGGCGTCTGCAAGAATTGTCAGCACAATACCGAAGGCACCAATTGCAACAAGTGCAAACCGAAATACTATCGCCCCAGAGGCAAATACTGGAACGAGACGGATGTCTGCAGTCGTAAGTGCTTCTCTTAGCTGGCAGCAATCCTGCTAAACACATAAGAAACTTAACTTTATATCCATTTGCTGGCAGCTTGCAATTGTGATTTCTTCTACTCGACGGGACACTGTGAGGAGGAAACGGGCAAATGCGAGTGCCGGGCAGCTTTCCAGCCACCCAACTGTGACTCCTGCTCCTATGGGTACTTAGTGAGGCTTCTGTGTTCAATGTAACCATTTTAATCGTATCAACTTTCTTAGTTACTACGGCTATCCTCAGTGCCGTGAGTGTGAGTGCAATTTGAATGGCACCAATGGCTACAATTGCGAGGCTGTCAATGGCATTTGTCCCTGCAAGACTAACTTTGCCGGTGCCCTGTGCAAGGAGTGCGCCGAATCCTATTACGGTTTCCCCGAATGCAAAGCCTGCCAGTGCAATAAGCTTGGCTCCATCAATAACGATTGCGACATCGTCTCCGGTAATTGCACCTGTCTCAGCAATTGGGGCGGAGCTCAGTGCGAACGCTGCAAGGATGGCTACTACAACGAACCGACCTGCACATGTATGTATACAAGATACAAACGTATATTCTGGACTTGAACTTAACATTTGTTCATCCCTGATAGATTGTGACTGTGACCATCAGGGCACAGAGTCCGAGATCTGTAGCAAGGCGTCCGGTCAGTGCATTTGTCGTGAAGGTTTTGGTGGATCACGCTGCGATCGTTGCTTGCCAGGATATTACAATTATCCATCCTGCAAGCCGTGCAATTGCTCGACCACGGGCAGCTCAGCGATCACCTGTGACAACACTGGCAAATGTAATTGTCTGATCAACTACTCTGGCAAGCTGTGCAACATGTGCAGTGCTGGCTTCTACAACTATCCGGAGTGCTTGGGTAAGTGGAAGACTAAGCTGCTATCAGCCAAAATCTATAATGATTATTTTCAGCCTGCAACTGCAACGAGCACGGCTCGGAAGGCGTCACCTGCAATGAGAATGGATGTTTCTGGTAAAAAGTTGAATGCTGAAATGTTAGGCGTTATTCTATACGTAATTACTCCAATTTCAGTAAGCCCAACTTCGATGGTCGCCAATGCGAGAGATGCAAAGAATCGTTTTACAATTTCCCCGCCTGCGAGGATTGCAATTGCGATCCGGCTGGTGTGATTGAGCAATTCGCCGGCTGCGGTTCGGTGCCGGTGGGCGAGCTCTGTAAATGCAAGGAGCGTGTAACTGGCCGCATTTGTAACGAGTGCAAGCCGCTCTACTGGAACTTGACCGTGAGTAATGCGGATGGCTGCCAGGAATGTGATTGCTATATAGATGGCACCGTTTCGGGCCTGGACACTTGTGCGCCCAAATCGGGCAAATGCCACTGCAAGCCACACACGATGGGTCGTCAGTGTCATGAATGCCGAGATGGCACCTTTGATCTGGATGGATCCTCGCTGTTTGGCTGCAAGGATTGCAGTTGCGATGTCGGTGGCTCCTGGAAGAGCGAATGCGACAAGATCAGCGGCCAGTGCAAATGTCATCCGCGTGTCACAGGACGTGCCTGCACACAACCCCTGACCACTCACTACTTCCCCACACTGCATCAGTTCCAGTATGAGTACGAGGATGGATCACAGCCATCGGGTGCCCAGGTGCGCTATCAGTACGATGATGCGATCTTCCCGGACTTTAGCAGCAAGGGCTACGCCGTTTTCAATGACATACAGAACGAGGTGCGCAACGATCTAACCGTGTTCAAGTCCTCCGTCTATCGCATTGTCATCCGCTACAAGAATCCCAACGAGAAAAATGTAACGGCCAGCATACTCATCCAATCCGAGAATCCCCTGGAAGTGGATCAAACGTAAGCATTGCCACATAATCAATTTCAAATTCATATTTCACATGAGTTACGTCTGCAGCGTCAAGGTTCTCTTGCGTCCCACAACCGAGCCAGAGTTCGTCACCGTTTCTGGCCCCAAGGGCAATGTGCCCTCGGCTGTCGTACTCGATCCAGGACGCTATATGTTCACCACCAAGGCGAACAAGAATGTGATGCTGGACTATTTTGTGCTCCTGCCGGCTGCCTACTATGAGGCATCGATTCTGACACGCCACATTGCCAATCCCTGTGAGCTGGGCAACATGGAGCTATGTCGTCATTATAAATACGCAAATGTCAATGTCTTTGAGCCCGCCACTACACCCTTCATCATCGGCGCCAATGGCAAGCCCACAAATCCCACCGAGGTCTACACTGATTCGGAGCATTTACAGATTGTTAGCCATGTCGGCGATATTCCAGTGCTCAGCAATACTCAGAAGGAGCTCAACTATATTGTGGATGTGCCGCGCAGTGGTCGTTACATTTTTGTCATTGACTACATTAGCGAGAGAAACTTTGCGGTGCCCTACGATGTGAATCTAAGGCTTGGAAATGATCCGGATTCCCATTCATCCGTCTATCTGTATCCCTGCCTCTACTCCACGGTCTGCCGCACGCCCATCAATGATGACGGTCGCGAAAAGGCCTTCTACATCAACAAGGACGATCTGCAGCCAGTTACTATTTATGTGAGTGGTGCTTTCTCTGACTTTTTTTGACATTTGTCCATTTTATATAATGCATCTTGTATTTCCAGGCGGACAATGATGATATCTATCGCGTGCCCATTATATCGGTGACTGCCATTCCAGTTGAACAGTGGTCCATTGACTATATCAATCCCAGTCCCGTTTGTGTCATACACAATCAACAATGTGCAACACCAAAATTCCGTTCGGTGCCCGATTCCAAGAAGATTGAATTCGAAACGGATCATGAGGATCGTATAGCGACAAACAAGCCGCCATATGCCGCATTCGATGAGCGTGTAAAGCTGGTGCACCTGGACAACAGGCAGGATGGCTCGATTGTGATTGAATCCAAAGTGTCGGAGCCACATCGCTATGTCATACTGGTCAAGTACTATCAACCCAATCATCCCAAGTATCAGTTGACCTACACATTGACCGCTGGCAAGAATCAATACGATGGCAAATTCGATATACAACATTGCCCATCCAGCTCTGGCTGTCGTGGTGTTATACGACCCACTGGCGACGATTGGTGGTTCGATATTGAGGACGACTTCAAGTTTACCCTGACCGTAAGTTAATTATACCAATCGGTTGTTTAGATTGGGTAAAGAGAGTATTGTCAATGTTACAGAACCCCCGAGCACAAGGCGTTTGGCTAGACTATCTGGTTGTTGTGCCTCTGGATCAATACAATGACGATCTGCTCGTCGAAGAGACTTTCGATCAGACCAAGGAATTCATCAAAAACTGCGGTCACGACCATTACCACATCACACACAACGCGAGCGAGTTCTGCAAGAGCGCTGTCTTCTCTCTGACAGCCGACTACAACAGCGGAGCCTTGTCCTGCAATTGTGACTATGCCGGCTCCACGAGCTTCGAGTGTCATCCATTTGGTGGGCAGTGCCAGTGTCGCAAGAATGTCATCGGTCGTCAGTGCACAGCTTGTCGCACAGGCTACTACGGTAAGGGAGCAGAAATCTTTTTATTTCTCATTAATATTAATTGTATTTTGTTTTTTTTTATAGGCTTCCCCGATTGCAAAGTTTGCGATTGTCCCAGCACTGCCATGTGTGAGGCCACCACCGGTGAATGCATGTGTCCACCGAATGTGATTGGTGCCTTGTGTGACAAGTAAATTAACAAATATATCCAGACGCCAAAAGATTAGATACTCAATTGCCATGTCTTCATTACAGATGCGCACCGAATACATATGGCTTCCATCAGGTGATTGGCTGCGAGGAGTGCAACTGCAATTATATGGGCATCGCAAATGGTAAACAGCAGTGCGACATGTTGAACGGTTCCTGCGAGTGTCGCGACAACATTGTGGGTCGTGCCTGCGATGGCTGTGCCCATGGATTCTATGATTTTCCACGCTGCAGCCGATGCACCTGCCACAAGCCGGGCACTGAGCTGGAGGTGTGCAATAAGATCGATGGCAGTTGTTTCTGCAAGGAGAATGTTTTGGGACGCGATTGCGATCAATGCAAGGATGGCACATACAATCTGAGGGATGACAATCCCGAGGGCTGCACCACTTGCTTCTGCTTTGGCAAAACGTCACGCTGCGACAGCGCCTATCTGCGTGTCTACAATGTCAGCCTGATGCGGGAGAAGGCGGTCTACTCGGCTGATTTCCACGCCAAGAACATCGAGTTTGAGTTGTGGGAACTATCGCCGAATGAACTGGTTCTCAACGAGACAACGCTACAGGCGGACTTCTCCATCAGAGAGTCATCCGATCAACGTGTCGCTTATTTTGGCGTACTCGACTATCTGCTCAATCAAAACAGTCACATTTCCGCTTATGGTGGCGATCTTGGCTACACTCTCTACTTCACGTCGGGCTTTGTGGGCAACGCCATTGTCGCACCGGATGTGATCTTGCTCAGCGCAGATCACATTCTCGTACACCAGAGCTACGAGCAGCCCAGCAGCAATTTGCCATTTAAGAATCGCTTACAGATGGTCGAGACTAATTTCCAGACGCAGACGGGCAAGTCTGTGAGTCGTGCGGATTTCATGATGGCACTGCGTGATCTCAAGACGATCTTCATACGTGCCAATTACTGGGAGCAAACGTTGAATACACAGCTCTCCGATGTCTATCTAACACTCGCCGATGAGGATGCCGATGGCACGGGCGAATATCAATTCCTGGCCGTGGAGCATTGTCACTGCCCGGCTGGCTACACGGGCCACTCTTGCGAGGACTGTGCGCCTGGCTATCATCGTTTGAACAATGGTCCCTACGGCGGCTATTGCGTGCCATGCGACTGCAATGGCCATGCCGAAACCTGCGACTGTGCGACGGGAATCTGCAAGGATTGCCAGCACTCAACGCGTGGCGATCACTGCGAACATTGTGTGGCCGGATATTATGGCAATGCCACATATGGCACACCACACGACTGCATGATCTGCGCCTGTCCACTGCCCTATGATTCCAATAATTTCGCCATCGGTTGCGAGATCTCCGAGTCGGGCACCGAGATCCATTGTGAGTGCATGCGTGGCTATACGGGTCCCCGCTGTGAGGCCTGTGCAAATGGCTTCTTCGGCTCACCGGAGACGCCCGGTGATTTCTGCAAACCCTGCGAATGCTCCGGCAACATCAATCCCAACGAGCAAGGCTCCTGCGATACACGCACCGGTGAATGTCTGCGCTGTCTGAACAACACCTCGGGTATGGCGTGTAATCTTTGCGCCCCGGGCTTCTATGGTGATGCCATCAATCTGAAGAACTGCCAGAGCTGTGACTGCGATGAGGTGGGCACCCTGCAATGTGATCCGGCCGTCGGCAAATGCAAATGCCATGAGAATGTCATCGGTGAACGCTGTGATCGCTGCAAGCCAGATCATTATGGCTTCGATTCCGGCACCGGTTGCCGTGCCTGCGATTGTGGTGCTGCCTCCAATTCCACACAATGCGATGAGCACACAGGACACTGTAATTAATACCAAACTGTTAAACTGCCATCAGATCTGACATTTTTCCCCTTTTTAAATGTAGGTTTCTGCAAACCTGGAGTTACGGGTCGTCAATGTGATCGCTGCACTGTGGATCACTGGCGCTATGAGAAGGATGGATGCACACCGTGCAATTGCAATGAGGGGTATTCCCGTGCCGGCACCGGCTGTAATCCACATACGGGTCAATGCGTCTGCCTGCCTGGTGTCATTGGTGATCGCTGTGAGGCATGTCCAAATCGCTGGGTCCTAACCGAAGATGGCTGCATGGAGTGTAACAATTGTCATCATGCTCTGCTCGACGTCACCGACAAGTTGCGCTATCAGATCGATGGTGTGCTACAGGATTTCCAAACGGTTACTATGGCTTTCTTCACCAGCCAGAAGCTAAACTACTACGACCAACTGGCCGAAGATCTGGAACCCAAAGTGCGAGCACTGGAACCGAACAGTGTCAACCTGATGCCGTCGCAGGAGCTCAACAGCGAACTGGAGGCGGCCAGCAAAGCCTACGCCAAGCAGGTGAATCAAACGCTGGGCAATGCATTTGACATACGCCAGAGATCGGGTGTGCTGCTGAAAAATGTATCCGCTGTGCATGAGGAGGCTTTGAACAGCGTAGACCAGGCGAAGGCTGCCATTGTCGCCGTCGACTCCTTGTCACAGAATCTGGAAGCAACGGCTAGCACCAAGATCGATGCTGCTCTGGAGCAGGCGCAGCGCATTCTCAACGCTATTAATAGCACCCAAATCGAGCTGCAGTCCAATGAACTGGGTCTGGACAAGGGACGACAGCTGTACGAGGATATCACTCAACTGGTGGAGCCCATTCAATTGCAGAACCTCAGTCTGAATGCGCTCAAGAATGACATTGGTGAGTTCAGTGACAAGCTGGAGGATCTGTATAACTGGAGCGCTCAATCGCAGAGTCAGTCCGGCGATGTGGAAGTCATAAATGTGGTCAATTCGCGTTCATACAACAATTCCAAATTTGATACGGTGTCCGAGCAGCAGCAGGGTGCCGAGAACAACATCAAGGAAGCGGGCAACTTTCTGATCAACGGAGATCTGACACTCGATCAGATCGACACCAAGCTCGTTGCTCTGCGCGGTGCACTGCAGGAGCTCAAGTCGGTGAACAAGGATGTCGATGAGTATCTGCCAGAGCGCGACATGCAGCACCAGGAAGCCGATGAGCTTACCCTAAAGGCGGAGCTACATGCCGCCGAGCTAGACGTACGCGCCAAGGATCTGGCCAATCAATATGCCGACATGACCGCAAGCGCCGAGCCAGCGATCCAAGCGGCCACCGCATACAGCACAATTGTGGAGGCCGTCAAGGCAGCCAAACAGTTTAGTGAGGATGCCATAAATGCGGCGGGCAATGCCAATGAAAAATCCGATGGTATTCAGGAGCGTGCCGGCAGTGCTGATATGGAATCTGCGGAGCTGTTGCAGAAAGCTCGTCAGGCGCTGGTTAAGGTGCAGGATGATTTGGAGCCGCGACTCAATGGTTCCGCCGGCAAGGTTGAGGGTATCTCCCATCAAAATGCCGCCACCGATAATCAGCTCAAGGATATAAATATACTCATTAAAAAATTGCCGGCGGAGACGCAGCGTGACATGTGGAAGAGCTCGAATAGCAATGCTAGTGATGCCCTGGACATCCTACAGGATGTACTCGAAATCCTCAAGCCTGTTAGCTCGCAAACGCCCAAGGAGCTGGATAAGGCGCGCAACATTAGTCGACTTGTGGACATCACCAACAAGGACATCTCGCAAGCCAACAATCAACTGGACAACGTGGTCATCTCCATACCCACTCTTGAAGATCGGGCCAACGACATCGATAAGCAGCAGCAGAACTTCGGTGAGAAGAGCCAACAGCTCGGCGACGACATTGAGCAACTGAAGCGTCAACTCGAAACAGCTCGACGCACTGCCAACAGCATCCAGGTTGGCGTCAAGTTCACACCGAGCACCGTGCTGGAGCTGAAGACGCCAGAGAAAACGCCACTGCTGGCCACCAAGACCAAATTGTCGACGTTCTTCCGCACGAAAAACCCGGATGGCTTCCTGCTCTATCTGGGCAATGACAATAAGACCATTCAGAAGAATAACGACTTTGTCGCCATGGAGATTGTCAATGGCTATCCAATCATGACCATCGATTTGGGCAATGGACCCGAGCGCATCGGCAGCAGCAAGTATGTCGCCGATGGCAATTGGTATGAGGCCATCATCAATCGCGTGGGTTCCAAGGCCGAGCTGACCATACGCGAACAGTTGCCCAATGGCACTGTGACGAATCATGTCGTTGATAAAAATTTGGTTGGCACCAATAATGTGTTGCATGTGGATCGCAATAGTCGATTGTTTGTTGGCGGCTATCCAGGTGCGTCCGACTTCAATGTACCCGATGACATAACGACCACACCGTTCACTGGCGAAATGGAGAATCTGCGCATTGGCGATGAGAATGTTGGTCTCTGGAACTTTGTCTACGGGGAGGACAATAATCAGGGCGTACGCGAACGTGATAAGTTGCTCGACGAGCAAAAGCCCGTCACTGGTCTGAGGTTCAAGGGCAACGGATATGCTCAACTGAATACGAGACAAATCAACTTCCGGGCCCGTTCCAGTATCCAGTTTCGCTTTAAGGCCGAGAGGGATGCCAGCAATGGTCTGTTATTCTTCTATGGACGCGACAATTACATGGCCATTCAGATGGTCAGAGGTGCCATCATTTTCCTCTACAAGCTGGGCGATGCTACTTTCACCTTGGGCAACCAGGATCGCTATAATGACAATCAATGGCATCATGTTAATGCCGAACGTGATGGTCGCAGTGGCGTCCTCAAGATAGACGACATTCTAATTTCCCAGAGGACAGAGACTCAAGCTGGCGATATGCAGCTACCCAAGCTGAAGCGCATGTACTTTGGCGGCTTTCCGGGACGAAGAAATCACACCGATTTGGTAGAACAGGACTTCGATGGATGCATCGATAATGTTGTCATATCGCATTACAATTTGGATCTGACGCAGAATGTAAATGCTACAGGTGTCGTTGAGGGCTGTGCCCCCAAATATTCCACAACATTGTCGTATCTTCCCGAAGAGTATGGTTTCCTACGCATTGCGAATATCTCCTCGCAGAACAATTTCTATGTGGTGCTACGGTTCAAGACGCTCCAGCCCAATGGCGTACTCTTCTATGCTGCCAATCATGGCCAGAGCGCAAACATTGGTCTTACTCTGGACGGCGGTTATCTCAAGCTGCACAGCATGGACAGCGAACTGACCATTGATAATCGGCAGTATAACGATGGCGAGGATCATGTGGTAACGGTTCAGCACAATGAAAACGAGCTGAGACTCTCCGTCGATGATGACGAAGATAAGCGGTATGAACAACCCAAATAATTAATACTTTTTGAATCTTGAACATATATTTATTTATCTTTTGCTTTTTGTATCAATTAGTATCGGATTTGTACAACCGCTGGAGATAGAGGGCGGTGATATATTCTTTGGGGGACTGCCCGATAACTTTATACCACCAAAGGGTGCAATCTCCAATTTGGCCTACTTTGTGGGTTGCATCAGCGATGTGACTGTCAACGGGGAGATTATCAACTTTGCGGATAGTGCTGAGAAAAAGGGAGGTAACATCAATGGTTGTACACAGGACAATTTAGGTATGTTGCAAACAAGATCAACTAAACGAGTCAAATATTACTATAAATTTTCCCATTTTTTTAATGTTTTATTAGCTTATGAGGCTGGCATGTTGCCCACATACTATCCAAGTGGAGCCAATGAGGTGGAGCCGCCTCCAAACATGCATATCCATACGAATGCAAAACCAACCACAACAACAACGACAACTACAACAAGCAGACCAACACCATCACTCAGAACAACAACACCAACAACTACAAGAACAACAACAACCACCACAAGTACAACAACGACCACTACAGAGTCGCCGGCATCAATGAAAGACTTGCTAGTAAAGCCACAGCCCAAATTAAATCTGCCCAGCCATCCCAGCTGCAAGCTGCCCATCAGTCCCAACTACGATGTTGACTTTATCGAGGCTGGCTATCGGTTCTATTCGCTGCAAGAGCAGTACTTGGTATTCAACAAACTGCCCGGTTTTATGAGCGAACAATACGATATGAGCATGTCTATCCGCACCAACTATCCAAATGGTATATTATTCTATGCCGCCAGCCAGGAGAGTAATGACTTCATAGCGGTCCATTTGCTGGACGGTCGTGTGCATCACCTGGTGAGAGTTGGTAACACCGTCCAGGCGAACATAACCAGCGAACAGGAATTGCTCGATGGCGAGTGGCATACGGTGCAGTTCGTGCGTACCAATAGCAGGATTAGCCTCAGCATTGACGGCATAGAGCAGGAGGGCTCTGTTGATCTGTACAGTGAACAGGATATCAGTCCGCCAAGCCTGATTACCTTCCCCGTTTATGTGGGCGGCATCACCAGATTTTTGGAAGTAGAACTTAAGAATCAATTCAATTTCGATAGCAATCCCTATTACAATGGCTGCATTAGAGACATCAAGGTCAATGGATTGGCGCTGGATGAAGCGCCTACGGAGCATCACGTTGTGCCATGTTCGGATCAAGTGGAAAGTGGCGTATTCTTCCATCAGGACAAGGGCTATGTGAAACTCTTTGACCGCTTCATGGTTGGCGCTGATGTTACCATCAGCTTTGACTTCCGGCCACGTGATCCGAATGGTTTACTCTTCTCGGTGCATGGCAAGAGCTCATATCTAATTCTGGAGCTGATCAACAACACGGTCACCTTCACAGTCAAGTCGGATGCGAAGAATACGGTAGTGACCAACTACACACTGCCGGATAATGCCAGCTATTGTGATGGCAAATGGCGCAATGTACTGGCCATTAAATCAAAGTTTGTCATCACCATTGCCGTTGACCATGTCAGCTCGCAGCCAGGGTTGGGCAACGATAGTTCAGCCATCACCAAAACTCATCGTCCATTGTTTATGGGCGGTCATCATGCGTTCAACAAGGCGCCGGGCATCAAGACCAGAAAGACCTTCAGTGGCTGCATGAAGAACGTTAAAATCAACAACAAGGATATATCCATAACGAAAAATCTAATTTATGGCGATATCTGGCAAGGTGTTTGCCCCTTAAACTAAAACTCAACTCTACACAAATGCCGTTGAACTCTGCATCTGATTACGGACACAAAGTGTGGAGAGATGACAACATCCAGAATTCGAAAGGACTACGAACGAACAAAATACGAACAATCTTTTCGACGGGCTGCCAAATTAGCTGGAAGTTCGATTAACTCAAGAACTTACAGTCAAACCGTTCGTCGTACATGAACATGTATATCCATTTATAAGTATACTCTTGTGACAATCTATTAAAATCAATATTAAATTTTCTTGTAATTTTGACAAAATATATCTTGTAACTTGCTTGCCTTAAATAAATATTAAATCATCTTGAAGAATACACATAAATTCTGTTTTTCTTTTTTGTGCAACCCACTAAAATAAAAAAACATAGCATTTCAGTTTGTTGATAATGTTATACATACATATTTATTTAGGTTTCTGATTAGTTTACACAACTCTCGTTGAGGAGAATTGGATGCACAAGCATCAGCATTTAGCAGAGAGACAATAGAATTATGCAATAGTTCAAGTTTTAGTTGATCGTAATACTTGAATGATAGATAGTTATTCCATAGTTCTATTGAGACTCCATAATGTGCATTGGATAGTTTACATCTTTTTCTTATTGTGTAAAGGATTCGTTATTTTCTATACATACATTATTTCCGAATACATATCTACATTTCTTGTAAAATTGTAAAATTCCGATTGAAGTTTTCCAAGAAATTAAATTTTTTTTTTTTAAATATGAATAGGAATATATATATAGGTGTGTCTACGAAATATTTCTATTCAGTATTGCCGATGTGCTTCTATGCATGTGTGTGTGTGTGTGCGAAACATATTTATTGTAAACAAATAGGCATTTTTTTAAAACAATTAAAAATATTTCCAATGTTCTTGTTAATCAGATTTGATTGTTTCTTCCAAACATTTTTCAATAGTAATGGAGTAAAACGAAATCAAATCCTAGCTGGTATTATTAATAAATATATTCATATTTTCTATGTATTGTGTGTAGTTTTTGCTTTTCTGATAAATTTATTATATAGTTTTTTTCATTTAATTATTTGTTTACTGCTTAAACGCTAATCACTAAGATCACCCGAGAGAGATACAAACGCACGCGAACGCGACCGAAATTCCGCGATGAATTCGGTTTAAGGTACAACGAAATCACGATTTATTTATTTTTTATTGAGTTTTAGTTTTGCTTTTGCTTTCAGTTATTTGGAGTTATCAGTTATGTGTTTGATTCCATGTTTATTGGGGACTCGGGGGCGAAAGTCCCGTATTGTTAGTTTTATATATATGTATATATTGTATTTAGTTTAACCGCGACGCGAACGAACGACCCGAATTTACATTATTATCACACGTTCCCCCATTGTTTTGTTTTCGAAATTAAATAAAAATACAAACTCTGCTTAACAGAAGTCTGCATATAATTAATACTATTACTTAAATTTACTTTGTTTTTCTGAGTTGATTTGTGTTGTTTGGTTTTTTTTATACTTTTTATTTTTAGTTTTTTGATCCGCGACAATTTCAAAGACTTTTGTTTTCCATTTAGTAGTACACTTTACACCTAATCGTTAAAAATTTGTTCTGTACAAAAATTATAAGGTAACGCTAGCCAGATGTAACGCTGAAACGATTCTATACAAATTATAGCAAGTTTGCAAAAAAAAATATATATATATATGTAATTAAATATGCTCCTATACAAAAATTATATAATACTTTTAAAAGTGAATCAGTCAATGGGTTGCTTGGATTATGTTTTTGTTTTTCTTTTTTGTTTAACATTTCTTAAGGATCGCACAAAATAAATATCATATTCAACGGAATTCTAATCTCATGTTCTTTGTTTAACAAAAACCAACTAAACAACAATAAATAAAAAAAAAAAGGAAATCATCTAAATTGCGTAGTATATAAATATCAAGTCGTATACATTATAAGTAAATTTGTATCAGTAACAGTTGCACTATTATTATTTATCAGTTTTTTATTTGTTTTATAACCCGACGATATACGATACGATACGAGATACGAGCGAGCGAACGAACGAGCGACGATAATACGCGAACGCGAAACCGTTAGGACCCGAAACGCGACGATTAATTTTTTGTTTTGTTTTCCTTTTCTTTTTGTTATATAAAGTGTTGGGAATAGTTGTGAAATTCATTCGGTAAATGATGAATAATGCATGTATGCATGTATATGTTATTGAACGGAGTTTTTTATTTTTATAACATCAGTCTTTGTTGATATCAAATATTTTGTAACATTTATATTTCTTGCAGAAATTATTGTTTTTACTATTTTAGCACAAGTTTATTTTGATCTTCATTTCACAATTGGCCCAACCCCTTTTTTATTTTAGTTACCGATTACGATAGTTGCTTTGATTGACGTTATTTCATATTATATCATTATTTTTTTGTTTAATTTACGCGAGACGAAGCGCAATATCAATTGTTTGCTTAAATTGAAATTAGTTAGCGATAAGTAAACACAGTATATATCAGCATATTCAAGTGTTTTTATATAGATTGGATTGCGGTTTATATAGCTATAGCACTGGATCCGGTTTAAGTACAGCCGGAACTCTCATTTACGTAATTATAATTTGATACAATCTTTATAGAATTGTCTACTATTCAAACGGACTGACAAATCATATCCAAATCCAATAGAACTCTACTAGTTCATCTAATTTTTGCATTGCCTATATATCGATATATATTAATATATGTATACATATATGTATATATATATATATTGTATGTATATATCTGTTTGGGTTAAATGGATATATTTTAGGTAGTTATATATGTGTAGTTTTTAGATATTGTATTAGTTTGCTGCTTTTTTCTTCTCGTTTTGTGATTGACTTTATAAGTTGAAATTCCAGATAATAATGTAATTGTATTATTCGAACAGCATCGAATAAGCTTATTTAAACATTTGTCTGCTACTGTGCTTACACTAAGTTTAAAGACGATGACACGCTTACTCTCATACTTGAACATAATTGTCTAGTTAATTAGTTGCTTAGTTGTTGGGTGGTGAATATGGACTGTGCTACTGAAGCCAGTGCCACCTTAGATGTTGTACATGGTAACCAAGCGTTCAGCCAAAGTTGGCGGGAATTGATCAACAAATCGACGCCAATTCTCCTCACCGACTTGTGTCTTGAAGCCGTGCAGAATCTGTAATAATTTCAAATTACATTTGTTAGCGATAAACAAAACTTATGAGCAATAATAAGCGCCACACCTTTTGTATCATTTGATGCAGATCTTGTGGCGGAGTCACCCATGAGGCTATCGCATCGCAGAAGAATATAAAGTCAGGCACTACACCAGCTGGATTAACGGTTATCATGTGGCACATGCCACGGAAGGCCGAGTCCTTTTCGTCATTATCTCGTATGTGACGCAGCGATGTGCACCTGTGTTTCAGATATAGCATACAAGAAATGCATTAGCGATAACATTTATTAACTGAGCATGCCACAGGCAAACACTCAAATCGAAGCAAAACAAAAGAAAAGAGATAGAAAAACAAATGAAGAACAGCACAAAAGAAATTTTGAATATTACAAATGGAAAATTACTGTTGTGTGTCTTTTGAATACATATCTTTCTTTTTTTGTTTTGTTTAAGCTTAATTTAAGTTGTTTCAGTTGGAGTTGGAAGGGATAGTAAATGCAATCAGGATAAGATGTAATGGTGAAGTTAAGCAAGGAAAACTATATTTGATAAATGTGTTACACACCACTGTCGTACAAATTCGGGCAAATAAGGAGCCACTTCAACTGGGCACACATAACCTAGACGACCGATTGTTATTGCTAAAAGAACAGAAAAATATAAATAAATCAACTGAATAAATTATATTACATTTGTTGTTTGGTTTGGTTTTGGTTTGTTTGTTTCGAATTGATTGATTTTGATTGAAACGTTTTCTATTCAATCGATTAATGGCATATACAACAATAAATTTGAACATACATCAATATTGACAATATAATTAGTATATATGTGTATATATTAGTATTTATGCAATATGCTTTTGTTGTTGTTGTTATTATTATTTTGGTTTTTGTTGCAATTGGCGACAATGCGTCACATGCATCATTAAATGAAACCAGAAGCAAATGTTTAGACTGTCGTAAATAGCTTGCGCACATACATTGTGTACATAAATATATGTACAGACACAAACACACACATATATATATACATATATATATATATATATATATATATATATATATATATACATAAACACATACATAAAACTATATATATATAGAATATCTGCATATACATTGCATACAGTTTATGTAATTTGCTTAGCATCCGATTATATTAATGTGTACGCACCTGTATTCTCCAGCAGAGTCTTAGGCGTATTCGGGCGATTGATGATGATGAAGAGATCGGTTAGTACAAGGTGTATGTACTGTTTGGTTTCCTCACCTGCAGATAATGTAAACAATGTGTTTATAAATAAATGCTCAAGTATTTTTATGTACGTGTCTAAGAACTAATAAAATTCATAAACACATACAAATTAAAACCGGCCGAGAAAAGAATCCCTTACTCACCCAATTTCATGCATATTTCACCAATAGCCCACGTTGCGTTGTTGCACACCGAAATAAAATCGGGATTTAAATTTTGACCCAATATAGGAAAGAATTCGGCCATAAACGGATGCACATGTGGAAAACAGGCCTTGGTCAAATCACCGAGCAGTGCAAATGAAGATTGACGCACCTAGAACAAGGACAGTATATTAGCAATGCATATATATTATTTGATCTGAGTATAAACTCACTTCTGGCAGAACATCTTGCATGCACTGGTAAAGCAGATGCATGATACTGCTATTGGCTACCAGGGTCTCAATGTGCCTGTCCAGACCCTCGGCCAGGCCAGACAGCAGATCCAAGGCCACAATCATGCGTTCCTTATCGGGATGATCGAAGGTGTGATTCTGCTTGCAGAGCTGCAAAAATGCAAATGTAAGTTTACCATATTTTAAGTGATGATTTAAGGCTTGCTTATTGGCCGTACCATTTCCTGATTGATTGTTTGTTCAATTAGCGATATGCATCGCCTGTAGACCGGATCGCAATAGGGTAGAAAGCCCGATTGCAGCGCAGTTGCAATGCTGGACAAGCATTCGAGCAATGGAAACAGATCCTTGTCATCGTCCTTAAGCAAATTCCATTTGGCAATTAGTGGCGGCATCAATATATCAATATATTGTGGCTTATTCAGATGATGACCAACAGAGTCAGCCAAAGTGCCAACAGCATCGTACAAGATCAATAAATTCTTATGCTGATATTTGGAGAAGGCGAAAACAAGAGTTTTCAGTATATACTCCAGATAGGGCACCAGTTCGGTGCATGCTTCCTCCTCGAGTGTGGCAAATGCCGAACAGGCTGCCTCCTGCACGCGTTTATTGGAATCCAAAATGCGCTTCAGCAGCTCTTCCATCAGCGGCTTTAGATACTGATCATGAGGCTGATTGACCACCCAATTGGCGTAACGACCAACAGTCCAACAGGTGATAGAACGCACCAGCGCCTTCTTGTCGGACAAGCAGCTAATCAGATACGGTATCAATTCGGGCAGATGCTGAATCATGCCCGTCATGCAGCCCTCGGCAATGGCGCCCAAGGCAAGCACGCCGCTCTCTTTGATAACCCAGTCCTGATGAAACAGAGTATCCTTGAGTATGGGCAGCACAATGGGCAGACAATCCTCGCGGAATACGTTTGCCAGTACATCAAGGGCGGCGGCGCTGCATTTTCGCAAATTCCATTCAGATAGTGAACTATCATCGTCTAGGCCATCATCAAATTCATCATCATCATCCTCGCCGCCGGCCGCCTGACTGGCCTCACCACTTTTTATAGTGTGTGTGCGTGATTTGTGAAAGCGCGGACGTATATCCTCTTCGCGATCCGGCACCATATCATCCTCCTCCACATTGCCCTTGAGCAGTATAATATCGATCTCCGAGTATCTCATTCCACGCACCAGCACCGGTGCCAGCTGAGCCAAGTAGGGCGCAAGCACATCCTTGCAAATACTCTGCTCCGCCAGCGACAGCCAAAACTCGGATGCCTCGAGGGCCACGCCCTCATCAGAATCCTGTGTGCGCAGCAGCATATACTGAGCGTGGAAAAATATACAAGAGTTGTTATAAATAAATATATACATATATATATCTATAAAGTTAATTACCTCAATAATCTGCGACATGTGTGGCAGCAGCCTGTCCATTCGCACCTCGAGCAGCATGACTAGACCGTGGCAGACATTCTTGCGAACCTCGTGATCCTCGTCTGATGACAGATTGAACAGATTCTCGATGAATGTATCAATGTGCACCATCAGCGCCTGAGATCGGTTGATAATGAACTGATTTATGCATGCAATCGCATGCGAACGTATCTTGGGATTGGTATGCTTGAAGTACTGCAAAAATTTGGGTATCATAACGTTCAACGGCCTGTTGAGTGCCGCCGAATCCAAAATCTCAGCGGAATCCTCGCAAATCTTTTGCAGCGCACTGAACGCACCCTCGCACACATTATAATCCTGGTTATCGAGCATGTCGCACAGGGATGGCAACAACTGCGGCCAGTTCTGCAGGCCACCATTGCTAGCTATTGTGGTGATCAGAATGCCGACTGTGGCACGTATCAGTGCCGATTCATCGCCCACTGCTTGCAGGCACTCGTGTTTTATATACTCGACAATCTCCGGTTGCAAATTACTGCCGTGCATACGTATATTATTCTTGAGAATTAAGCCGCTCAACGAGCGCGTGGGTTCATCTTCTGATTTCAATTTTGTCAGCACATAAATTAAATAATTGTTGAAGTCTGGATATCGATTGAATTCCTCCAATTTCTATTCACAATATAAATCAAGTTATTTAAAAATTGATTCATTTAATTTGTTCGATTGTTATTTACCATTTGCACAGCCACTTGGGTCGCTGTGTCCGGTGATTGAGATTCCTTTAAGATCCCAATGATCTGCTGTAGACCTTCAGCCTGAGGTTCCCACGTCATTTCGATGCCGTTTATTAAGTGAGATGCTGCCGATACGTTTGTGTGTGTGCAAATTAATTAGTAAAACCATCTAAGCCAAAACCCAAATCCAAATCCAACCCCAATCTAAGCGAGTTGAACGCCCTCTCAAAGGGTAGTGCGAGGAACTTTGTCCGAGGCCATCTCTTCACACATACATACACTCACATATACAGACTTACACTCACACACACACACACTCATACACAAACACACACGCAGTTATACAGAGAGTGTGAAGAAAAAAACACACACATAATGTAATAACTACTACTTGAGAATTGTCGTCGCAGCCGCCATGTTCTTTGTGCGTATTAGACACACTTGCGCTTGACCTTTTCTTAGCGCTAAAGCTCTAATTTGAACTTACCTTCAATAATGTTGGATGTGAATTAAAACTAATTTTCTGGGTACACTTGATAAACCCCGTAATTTTCTCTTTTTTCACTTTTCTGCCAGATGAAATTTTTTGTGGTGTTTCAGTGTGACCAACTGAGTGACTGAACGGCCACCAGTCACAATGCCATCGATAACATAGTAGTGCTGTAAATCGCTTAAATCTATTGAGAATGAAATGTTATAGTCACAGTGACTACTCTACTAAGTAAATAACTATAGTTTGCCTACAGATTTATTTTTATTTGTGCCATAGAATAGTAACAAAACCTATAGCTTTTAATGTTTTGCGATAGTTAGATATTTTGGAAAAATATTATAATATATAATAATTTGGCGCTGTTAAAAAGATGTTTACTGTTATGCTAATAGCAGTTTCGTGCCATGTTAACTAACATAATGTGATTGCTTAACATAATATATTCACTATTTGTTTGGGTTTGAGGCCAGACAGACATACCCATTAAATTTAAACAAAGGACCACGTTTCAGGACATTCATCCCGAGGTCAACAAGCAAACAGCAGCAGCTTCATCCAGACACTCAAGTGAAAGTTTTTGTGCTAGTCGCATTTCAAGAGCAGTTGCGACCAGACATGAACAAGCGCAACAACGTGAGCGACGCCGCACACAAAGGAACAATTAAAGCATAATCAAATAAAAAAATCAACTTTATTTCAGATTCGGCTGCCGCCGGAGGTGAATCGGCTGCTGTATGTGCGTAATTTGCCATATAAGATCACATCGGATGAAATGTACGATATATTTGGCAAATTTGGTGCCATACGCCAAATCCGCGTGTAAGTGTTATAATAAAATACTCTTATAATCAAATACTCTAATTGATAATTAATCATTTTCAATTATTATTGACAGTGGCAATACGCCGGAGACACGCGGCACTGCATTCGTTGTCTACGAGGACATTTTCGATGCGAAAAACGCCTGCGACCATTTATCCGGCTTTAATGTGTGCAACCGCTATCTTGTCGTCCTTTATTACCAATCCAACAAAGCCTTTAAGCGTGTGGATGTGGACAAGAAACAGGAGGAGCTGAACAACATCAAGTCCAAGTACAATTTAAAAACACCGGAGGCACCTTAGAAGAAAGTCGTTTGTCGTCGCCAGTTCATGTCGAACTTTCCTTCCTTCTGCACATCCAGCAAATTTTTACAACTTTTTATCAAAATGCTCAAAAAACGGCGTAAAAATTTGTATATCTTTTTACAATTTTGCTACCAATCTACTTGTAGTTTTTGAAAGAATTTCCATCATTTTTATTTCAATATCAACATCAAGCATCATCGATCATCACCACGTATCACACACAAACGTTTGGCACTTCGGGAAACTTGTTCAGCTCAAAGTTCCAAACTGTTCGCAAACCATAACAAAAAGAAACACATACTCATCAAAAATAACAAGCAAGTAAAAACAACAAAAAAAAAATGGTAAAATTCAACACTTGTTTGCTTGGGGGATTTATAAATTTAAATTATTTATTTATTACTAGGTAGTTAAATATTAACCAACAATAACATTTTCGGAAGCGGATTGCTACATTTGTGCTCTCTGTCTCTCTTTCAGATGGACAAAGAATTGCGTTCGCTTTCATCTTCTGATGGATTCATTGTCTTTTCAGCAGCTGCTGCGGCTGCCGCCTTGTACTGTTCGTAGGTGTTTTGTTGCTTCTCGATGACACGTTGCTTGGCCAATTCCTGTAGTTCCTCCTTGGCGGCTTCGGCGATTTTCAGACGCAACGCTTCAACGGAGCGCCGTTTCTCACATTTCTGCAGCTCCTTTTGCCGGAATTTCTCAGTTATTTGTTTTGGCGGTTTCACTGGCTTCGGCGGTTTCTCCTCGTGCACCTTCTGGTGGCGTATTAGCGCCGCCTCCTGTCGGAAATGTGTGCCACATGTCTTGCAGGCATACGGCTTTTCACCAGTGTGAATCCATTCATGCTGCTTCAAGGATTGCGAGTTGGCAAATCGTCGCGCACAGAAACGACACTCGAAATCCTTGACCTTCTCGTGGACGCTCTTGTAATGACGCTTCATGTTGCCCAAATTGTTGAAACCCTGATTACACCCAGGACAAAAGTGCATGCCCTCCTTTTCCACAAAGTTGCCTGGCGTTGGCACATTTGAGGGCACCAGGACGGCGGGAATGGGATTGACAACGGTGCCGGCCAGCTGCGCAATATCAACGCGTTCCACACGTCGCGGATCACGCGGTATGGTGGCCACAGACTCAGCACACACCTTTAAAAGCTGATCCGCCGCATTGGCATCGGCATTGACAGTCTGGCAATCAGCTGGTGACTGCAGCTGTTCCGCAGCAGCCAAGCTTGAGCCACTAATTGTCACTTGCCGCTGGCGATAAGTTTCAATTGCGCGCTCCACACTCTTCTCGTGTATCTTCAAATGCTTGGTTAAGCTCTCCGAGTAGAGGAATTTCTTGCCGCACACCTTGCACTCGCATCGCTTCTCGCCGGTGTGCGTCATCTCGTGGATCTTGCAGGCGTGCGACTTGCCAAAAGTCTTCCCACAATATTGGCACGCATAGTTTCGAACCTTTTCGTGCACGATCTTCACATGATTGTCGAGCGCTCGCTTGGTGTGTGTGGCATGCTCACAGATGTGGCACTTGAACATCTTCTCCTGTGTGTGGGTGAGAATATGCTTGCTCCACTCCTGGCGTGTGGTTTTCCCCACACCACAATAGGGACACACATAGTTTTTGATGCCCGCGTGCCGCAGCAGATGGTTCTTGAGGGCGCTGTTTATGTGAAAGCCCTTGCCACATATGTTACACGGATAGGGCAGCTGCTCACCCGTATGCTTGTACATGTGCTTCTTAAGCGCAACTGGACACCGGAACTGCATGCCGCACTCGGTGCACGGCTGCTCTGTGCGTGGCACAGTCACCCGCGACATATTGTGCACCTTCTTCAGATGAATTGTCAGCAGTCGCATGCGAGGAAAGAGCAACTTGCAACCGGCAACTGTGCAGGGTATTTCAGCGGCACTCATCGTGTGCGCATAGTCGCCGTGCAGACGCAGTGCAGCCGCAGTGGTGAAGCCCTTCTTGCAACTAATCACATTACACTGAAACGGCAACAGTTCGTTGTGGTGCTTCATGTGTTCGTCGTAGTTGAGCTGCTTCTTAAATTTCTGCTGACATATTTGGCAGGTGATAATGCGATGTAGATGACGCTCCGAGGCGGGGATACGCTTTCGCTTTCGTTTCGCCTTTGAAGTTGTTTCGGAATCTGATCCGCTGTCTTGATCCAACAAACGTTGTGCCAATGGCACATCATCATCGCTGAGACTCCACTCCGATGAGGTGGAGGAGGAGAATGTGGAGTAGGCACTAAAATGTTTGCTAGTCTCGGTTACCTCTTTAACTTCTTTGTCAACGTGCTCCAGCATTTTAAAAACATCCTCTTCGTTATCAATTAGTTCAAGTTTGTGGCTTATCAGTGGATCATAATCAGTGCTCGGTGGCTCGTCCTTGCTCAGCAGTTCAGCTTCGTTGCTGGCCAACGGCAGTGGCTCGAATATATCAATTGGATTGACATCGGTGACGAGTTTATTGGCCACCATTTGCTTGAACCGCTGAGCCGAGGCTACGCATAGCTTTTGGAAATCATGAAGGTCGTCCAATCTGTCATAGCAGCTGGTACAGAGTTTGCTGGGGTAGCCATCTCGGGCATCCAGAAATAAGGAAGTACAAACTGTGAATTTCTTGGCGAGATCTGGCAATAGAAACAGGTCATGTACTATACCGCTCTCGATATATTCCAGGCAAACTCGACATATTGAATTAACAGAGTACGGTGTGATCGTGCTCATTCCAGTATACCAGAAATACAAAGCGCCAAGCTCAAAAACAGTTTCCAATTCGATTTACAAAGTATTCGAAGCATTAATAGTGATGTGTTAACAAATACAGACTCAATCGTGGCTATCGTAGTAGATGCATTCACAAAAGAGGGCTGCCAACTATCGATTACTAAAACATCGCAAATCGTTTCCAAATATTACCAAAAAACAACAAATCAAGTAATCAAAGAGACAAACTAAGAATCAATTCGTTATTTGTATATAATCCGAATGATTTTTGCCATTTTTGTTATTTTAATTAGCAAAATTAACTATTGCCTGGGATATATGCTTTCATATCAAATTATACACTTGCCACCACTAATGTGCGGCAGAAACATCGATAATTTCTACAGACCTAATTGAGTAGCTGCTTGAGTAACCGATACTTGTACTCGTTCTAGTTGGCTGACGAGTATACCAATTTTTTTCGTGTCAATATTATTTTTTTTTGTTGCTGGAAAACAAGTGAAAATCAAGAACTTTGTGAACATTTTGAAATACATCAATTGCACCAAGCACGATGGACGTGGCGCGGACATACTCCATACATACGCTGTGTCGCATTTGCCTAAATCTCTTGCAAAACGATGCTGCCTACGACCTGTATCTGGTCCCAGGTCTGGCCAAAAAACTTTGTCTCTGCACCTCTCTGTCTGTGGAGCAGAACGATGGCTTTCCCAAGAACCTGTGCACCAATTGCTACACCCGGCTCAACGATATGCACGATTTCCAAAAACTGTGCGTGGACTCTGTACAAAAGTTTCAGGATATGGTTACCAGCAACGCCTTCACATGCCAATCGAATTTTGACGTACTGGATCCATGTGTGGCGACGCACGATCTACCCAACGATGATGAGGACCACATTAATTTTGATCCACTGTTGAATCACAAAATGGAGCTAATCGAGAACGAAGAGGATGTCTTCAAGATGCTCGAGAACTGCGACAAGGAGGCCGAGGAGGTGGAAAAGGAAGAGAAAAGAGAGATTAAACAGCCTCATATTATAAGCATGTTCAACGAGGACTCATCTTCTATTGAGAGCGGTAACGACAACGACAAGGACGTAGACTTCGAACCAAACAGCAGCGATGACGACATTCCTTTGGCGCAGCGCATGCGAGGCAGTGCTAAGACCACCAGAACCGTCAAGTCTAAGCCTAGAAAGAAGAAGCCTGCTATTGCTGTTGGAGGTGGCGACGGTGATGACGATGATGATGATGATTTCACTACCTCTTCGGATGACGACTCTGACGACGATGATGGCGAGACTGATCCCGACGGAAGACGGCGTGGCTCTAAGGATAAGCCAAAACGCAAACGCATTCCAGCTGCCGAACGACACCTGCATCGCATCATCGACTGTCACATTTGCCATCAGAAATTCAAGAAGGCAATCCGTTACGAAGAGCATATGAAGTACCACAACGATCTGTTGCCCTTCCAGTGCAAGGTGGAGGCCTGCAAGAAGGGCTTCACCACTGCCAACGGACTGCGCATCCACGTCGATCACGCCCATACCGAACTCTCCGAGGTGCATACCTGCAGTGCCGAAGGCTGCGGTAAGACATTCCCACGTGTGCGCCTGCTTACCTTCCACATGAAGAAGGTGCATAACATTTCCAAGTCGGCGGCACCATTGCGCGACTTCCCCTGCACCGAGTGCAACACTGTATTCCGTTGTCCGACGGCGCTCAAGAAGCACATGTACAAGCACACCGGCGAGGAGCTGCCATATCCATGCAACATTTGTGGCAAACGCTTTGTCATCAACAGCGCACTCAGGGATCATCTTATGCGCCACGCAGGCATCAAAAATCACGTTTGCCCCTACTGTGGAGTGGGTAAAACGACTCGGCAGGAGTGGAACGCCCACATACTGACGCACACCAAGGAAAAGAAGTTCAAGTGCCGCCAGTGCGATCATGCCTCCCACAACAAACAGGCTCTGTCCAATCACGTGAAGGTGGTGCACATGAAGATCAAGAACTTTGCCTGCCAGTACTGCGGTAAGACCTTTGGCAAATCGCATGCGTGCAAGGTGCACGAGAGGACGCATACGGGCGAGAAGTGCTGCGAGTGCAAGATCTGTGGCAAGATCTTCCTTTGCGAGAAGAGTTTAACCAAGCATTTGAAAACGCACGAGAAGCGCGATCTGCCAGTGGATACCCATCGACCGCTCAACATTCCGCTGTCTGGTGTCCAAATACCCCCCCACATGCAGGACGATGGCATGATGCCTCCAAATATGGCCGACGATTTGCTGAAGGCGTGTGGCGGCGGGCCCGCAACAACAGCAATAGCAGCCGCAGCAGCTAAGCCGAAAAATTCACGACGCGTCCAGCGTGTTGATATATCGCAACTGGCGGGCACCTCTGTCAATCCCATACCATCGGTATCGGTGCCCTCGTGGTCGCCGCAAGTAAACTTCACAAAGAAGGAAGGTCAGCACATTTGCCCCGGCTGTGGACGTGGTTTTAATAATATTGGCAACATGAAGCTCCACTACAAGATCATACACGAAAAGGTGAAGGACTTTGCTTGTCGCTTCTGCCCGAAGCGCTTCTCGAAAGCACAAATCTTGCGGCATCACGAGTGGATTCACACCGGCGAGAAGCCGTTCGAGTGCAAGATATGCGGCAAACATTTCCGCCAGGAGACGGCGCTGAAGAAGCACATTAAGACGCACGACAAGCCCAACAGGCGCAACTATCCCGAAAAGGTTCAAGAACCGCAGCCCACGTTCCACAAAATCGAACCACGTGAAATTGATCGTGAGCCAAGAAACTATGATCAGTATCAGGACCCGGCCGCAGAGCGTGCTGCTGCCACAGCCGAATTGCTTGCCCATCAGATTGAGGAGAATGAGGCGAAGCGCAAGGCAGACATCGAACGACGAAAGATTCAAGAAGCCGCTTGCGAGCAACTAAACAAACTGCAACAGCAGCAAGAGATTGAGAAGGCAACCACATCCTATGATGGCTACTATGCACAAAAGGCTCAAGCTGAGGGCCTCAGTGTGGACGCACTGAAAATAGATCATGTGTAGAAGATTATCGCAGCGGTGAGGATGAGACACTTACGAAGCCCAGCAATATTTTATGTGTAGCTATAATTTTTTACAGCTCCCAAGCGTCAGTCTTTAAGAACCTCGAATTGCTCCACAATTGCGTATTGTGACATGAACACACAGTAACTCAATGTATTTTACCAGAAACATTAATTTTACCGTAAACTTATATACTTATGAATGCATGTGTATGTACATACCATACATACGTACATTTATTTGTTGTCTATGTACTACATAGCATCTACTGCTTAATTAGAATAACGAAATTCATATTACATATGTCAAAAGTATTTTGTTTTATTTGAATGTAAACCATAATTACTAAATGGGCCCAAAAAAAAGATCGCCGTTACATCATCGAGTTAATATACGATACAAACATATACGTAGCATGCATACATTAATTAGCATTAAGTATAAAGAGATCTCTGAGGCTATCCAGTGTCATATTATCTAGATCCCAGTGCGAAGATAATGTTGATTTATCATCAGCTGACTTTATAAGTTTCATTATGTTCTCCTCGATTGTACCATTTACAATGAAACGATGCACTGTTGTGGGTCTTAAAAAACAAAAACAGAGATTAGCTCTAAGTTGTATATCTCCAACGTTTACTTACTTTGTCTGGCCGAAACGATGAACACGTCCAATTGCCTGGAGTTCCTCACCTGGCGTTAGAATTGGTTCTATTAGAAAAACATGGGTAGCCTCGATTAAATTCAGGCCCTTGGCGCCCCTCGCCAAAGGCAACAGCAAGCAAGTAACGTTGAGTGCAGAATCCTATTGAGAATAAAGATCGTAAATATCAATAACAACATAATCCCATAGGGCTTTCGCCAAATACCGACCTTAAACTCATCAATATCACGATTTGTAAATTTACTGCGGTGCTCGATACCATTATGTCTCAGAGCAATGGCTACATAGTTTAATATGGTTGCCCATTGTGAAAAGATTAATACTTTTTCCTGATCATTGCCAGATTTAATTTTCAGCACCAACTCGACAATGTATGCAATTTTTGTGGAGAAATCACCGATGACTGTGGAACTGTTGGCACCTTTGCGGACGTAATAATACAGCCTAGAAATATATTCAATTTTTATAAGAAATCCGCATTATTTCTTTATGACTCAACTTACTGTGGCGAATATTGCCGACACATTGGACACTTTGATGTGCCTTCACGACCCAATTGCTTTTTCATTTTCTCCAGACATTGTTGGCACAGAAAGTGACCACAAGACATCATCACATACTTGAAAGAGAATAACAGAGTTAATTCAAATGCAAATTCGATAAGTTGAGGCGTAAATTACGCGCTCATCATCCTGAGTTTGGCAAATGGGACAGGGCGTGTCATCGACATCCTCCTTTAAATGCTTCAGATATTTGAGACGACAGAAAAAACGTGTAAAATTCAGCTGTGCCTCTTGAATATTTGCCAAATTGAATTGCGTTTGTTCGTCCAATTGGCAGTGCAATATGCGAAAATTGGATTGCTCCTCAGGGTTATCAGTGAGCAACATTCGCATCTTACACATGTCCAGCTCATCGAACGCTTTGATCATATATTCCGCTTCAATCCAGTATTTTATCTGTGCCTTAACCAAGCTCTGCATGACATCCAGTATTTCCAACTTATTTTTGCATTCCGTTTTCCACTCGCTGAATTCGGGTTTGGAGCGCAGAAATGTGAAAACCACTGCACAAAAATTGATATACAAAATAATAAGCAACATATAACTATTCTAATTTCCTAACCTCTGATTAAAATGATTTCGAGGCTGGGATTCTCGTCACCATCCGTCATGGCGCCTTCTTTGTCAAGTTGCTTGGCAAACAGCAGGCACTCAAACTCATTAATAATATCATTAATTTTGCACAAGCGACAATGATTTTTTATCTTTTTCTCAGTTCTTGTTGGTTTATCAATTGGATTTTCATCCTGTAAAGCGATTTGCAGTTAAGTAATAATTCAAAATTGTATAATAATCTTTAGAAATTTACCAAAATATAAATCAAATGGCAATCGGAGACGTCTTTAACAAAACTGATAGCTTTCTTAGTTAAGTTAAGTCCTTGTTCTACAGCACCACTGGCCTGAAGCAGAATGTCCTTCAGGAAATCAAATTCTTTGACTAGACGATTGTGTACCTTCTGCAAACTATCGTGCCACGTGTGCATTAGGTAAAGGACGCCCGACATGGAGTTCAAATTCTGCAACTTCTCCGCAGAAATGTTTTTTCTTATGAGATCGTCCACAATCTTGTTCCAAATTGCATTGTGCAGTGAATCGCTTATGTTGATTAGAGTGGCAAATAAATCTATTATACTAGAATCAAATTGCTGCGTCAATTTGTCCAGCTCTTCCAGCTTCAATTCATAGGCATTTTGAGCTGATTGCAATACAGATGTCTTGTCATCCAAATATTTACGCTCTAGGGTGTTCAGTTTCAAACGAAGAGTGGAGAGTTCCTCGTCATCCAACTGCTCCGTGTCTGATGCCAGTTCAGAAGCCTGCATTAAGTTGTGCAATGTATGTATTTGCAGCAAGCTGTCCACGCTGTATAAAAGTATTAAATTTTAGATAAAGTCGACAGCGGATTAGGTGTTTTGGTTACTCACGATATGTGCTCCTCATTGTAGTCGTTGACGAGTTTCAGCACCTGCTTATAACTCTGAATTGCCTGGCTGTATTTCTTGCGAATGAAATGTATGGCAGCGATGCCATTGTAGGATGAGGCCCATGTACGAATCTCACGCTTGCACTGCATTTCAGTGTTGGACTTAAGATGCGCCCACAAATCCTGTGGATTCAAATACTTTGTGGTGGACTCTTTTTTGTTAAGAACAACTGGAATCGAACACGTTTTCCGTATACGCAGAAATGGCTGCAATATTATCCTTAAAAGTTTAGGTGAAATTGATGCCAAACAGGAGCTGTTGCTCGCCGGATTGTGTTTCGTGTGTTTCGCAACTGCAGCCAAAAAGAGTTCAGTGCATTTGCAATGCTCATCGCGATAATAGAGAGACTCAACATTGCTCAGCTGTAGACGATGCACCAGTTCCATCTGTGGCGGTATACCCAGCTCGTGCTCCACTTTGGATTTACATGTACGCCACATGCTGTGCTGCAGCAGTTCCAGCAACGGATCAGCCTTGTGGTTGAGCAGGAAAGAATTGGTCACCGTTTGCCAGGCATCCCATGGCTGACAAGCCTCGCTGAAGCCGACGAATTTTAAAAGCGGCGCCAGATCATCAATAGTACGCTGTATGGGTGTGCCAGTGACTGCCCAGCGATTGATTGCGGGCAGGCTACGCACCATTTCCGCTGCCTGCGATGTGCCGCTCTCAACCATTTGGGCCTCGTCCAGGCAGACGCGCCACCAATTGACCATCAGTAATGGTGAACTGGACCGCATATAACGCTGCTCATAGCGCATCTTACGATCCGTTGAGTTTATCGATGTATGATGAATCTCGCGGGTTAGGATGGAGTAATCGATCAGCACAATATCGTATTGGGCCAATTGCATTGGGCTATACCAGACGCCAGTGTGCAGGCCGGGATAGAGTAACACCTTTAGCGATGAGCTGATGTGCTTGCTGATTTCTTGGTACCATTGCATCTTGATGGCATTGGGCGACACAATAATGGTTGCGCCCGATTCTATCAGCTTGAAACAGTCCTGCTTCCATTCTTTCCAGCAGTTGGGGCAGATATAAACCGAGGTGTCATCCACTACACACATCTGGTGCTGGTACAGTCGACAACGCGTACACTGAATACTCTCGCACAGCTTCCTTTCATGCGCACAAATGCAATGGACTTTGCGACTTGTGGTACACCTCCGCTTGAGCGGCAAATTGCCTTCCACATCCTCCAATAAGTTGAGCCAGTATTCGTTGTTCACATTGGTTCTAGGATGTAGCAGCAAGGTAGCTAGCAGCTCGACAGTCTTACCCAGGCCCATCTCATCCGCCAGAATGCCGCCCGGCGGCAACACGTATCGGGGCAGTGTATTTTCGTATGCATAGAATTGCAGGCAGTATTTGTGCTTGAACAATCGATGCTGGCCGTCGACAGTCGTGAGTACTATATAACTGGCGGGAAATTCATTAGAAAGGCGCTCTCGATTCAGCATCCAGCTAACAGTACGTTTCTGATATTGCCTGAGCTGCGACTTAAAAGTGCTCGGCAGGGATAAGCTTGATGGCAGTGATTCATCACTTTGCTGCTCCTGATGCTTGCTGTACAACGCATTGTATAGTTGCGTTGTTACATAGCTCTTTAGCTCGCGCTGTCGCTGATGTTGCTCTTTGACCACCTCAAACTCCAAGGTGGGCGTGTAAGTGCAAAATAGAATTGGCAGTATTTTAGCAGCAAGTTCCATGTCCAATGCATTGGCTGAGTATGCACCGGCAGCTTGCTTTTGAAGCAGTACGAGCGTTGAATGTCCATCCTGCGATTGAAGCGCTTGAAAGCAAAGTTTTCTGGTGCGCACACCCTCGTCTGCAAATAGTTTATGAATGCTTTTACTGAATGCAATAACAGATAAAATTACTCACAGCTCGCGATAATATTGATTAGGACATTTGCATTTGCCGTCAAACATCGTTTTATTCGCCATTGTTTCTTGTTGTGATTAAACAGCAAATCCTGATGGATATTTTCTGTATTATCCAAATATTCATCTGCCAACTCACAAATTATGAGTTCGTTCACATTTATATCCATTTGCGATTTGTTGTTCAGCGCGTACGTCCAGCATTTAAATCTCACAGACAAGCGTCAGTCAACCAGTACAAACGCTTGTAGGGATGTGAACTAAAACTGCAGCGGGTACTCATGTACTCGGTATTCAAGTACTCGGTTCAGTAACGGTTACTCAACACTACATTTCGTACTCAGTTTCGCCTGGGTAATAAAAGCAATCGAAAGGATAAATTGGGTTTAAATTGCTCACAAAAAAATGAATGAGGGTCGGCAAAGCTCCATACACGCAATATGCCGCACTTGCTTGTCAAAAGTGCAACATGTTGGAGCATACGATTTGTTTGTGGTTCCAGGACTTGCCAAGAAACTGTGTGTCTGCACTTCACTCTCCGTGCAGCAGCACGATGGCTTCCCGAGGAACCTTTGCCCCAGTTGCTACACCCGGCTAAACGACTTACATGATTTCCAACAGAGATGCATGGACTCTGTACAAAAGCTGAAGGACTTGCTAGCTAGCAATTACTTTAGAATCCACACTGGCGAAGTTGACAGTTTTGATGTGCTAAGTGTGGTGGCGCCACAGGATGCTGATGTGCCTGTCGAGGAAGATGATAATATCAACTTTGATCCGCTACTTAATACCAAAATTGAAATAATTGAGAATGAGGAGGATGTATTTAAAATGCTAGAAGATGTCGACAAAGAAGCGGAGCGAGTGGATATGGAAATGGAGTCCTCCAGTGGCAGCGAAAATGGAAACTATGATACTGAAGCGAATAACAGCGACTCCGACGACACCTTACCTCTATCCAGATTACGAAGTACTACAACAGAAGCTAATGCAAATGACGATGATCATAATGCCAACGATATAACCACGGTTAAATCAAAGAGCAAGCGGATTGCAACCGCCGAACGTGAGCTGCGTCGTCTAATCGATTGTCACATTTGCCACCAGAAGTTCAAGAAAGAAATTCGCTACGAGGAGCACATGAAGCATCACAATGACCTATTGCCATTCCAGTGCACTGTGGAAACCTGCAGGAAGGGTTTCACAACTGCCGCAGGTCTGCGACATCATGTGGATCATGCCCATTCGGAACTCTGCGAACTGCACGCCTGCACCGTGGAAGGATGTGACAAAGCATTTCCCCGCACTCGAATGCTCACACATCACCTGAAAAAGGTCCACAAAATTGCCAAGCCTGAGATTCGTGATCATCCGTGCACAGAATGTGACAAAGTGTTCCGTTGCCCAACAGCTCTGAAAAAACACATGTATAAGCACACTGGCGAGGAACTGCCGATTTCCTGTAACATCTGCAACAAGCGCTTCCACATAAACAGCGATCTCAGAGATCATCTCCTGCGTCATGCCGGTGTAAAGAATCATGTGTGCCCCTACTGCGGCGTCGGTAAAACCACTCGCCAGGAGTGGAACAAACACATACTGACACACACCAAGGAAAAGCAGTTCCAATGTCGCCAGTGCGATCATGCTTCCCACAACAAACAAGCTCTGGCCAATCACGTGAAGGTGGTGCACATGAAGATCAAGAACTTTGCGTGCCAGTATTGTGGCAAGACCTTTGGCAAATCACATGCGTGCAAGATCCATGAGAGACTTCACACGGGCGAAAATTGCTGCGAGTGCAAGATCTGTGGCAAGATCTTCCTTTTCGAGAAGAGATTAACCAAGCATTTGCAGATCCACGAGAAACGTGATATACCATCTCCTGCAACCAGTGTTAAGCCACAGGACGACGAGAGTCCGCCAAATGTGGGCCAGCAGTCAACTGAGCTGAAGGATGCGAAGCCCATGACAGCAGTCCCCAAGCCAAAGAATTCGCATCGAGTTGAACGTGTGGATATATCGCAACTGGCTGGCACTTCAGTAAATCCAATATCATCGGTATTGGTGCCCTCGTGGTCGCCGCAAGTGAACTTCACAAAGAAGGAAGGCCAGCACATTTGTCCCGGCTGTGGACGTGGCTTCAATCACATTGGCAATATGAAACTGCACTATAAGGTGATACACGAAAAGATCAAGGATTTCGCTTGTCGCTTCTGCCCCAAGCGCTTTGGCAAGGCTCAGTATCTTCGACATCATGAATACACGCATACTGGTGAGAGGCCGTACGGCTGTAAGATATGCGATAAGCATTTTAGCCATGGGTCATCGCTTAGGAAGCATATGATTTCACACAACAGACCGCCAAAGGCCCCAAAGGCACTAAAGGTGCCGCCCAAGACAAAGGCGGAACAGCAGAGGCTAAAAATTGAGCTGAACAAGCGTCCGCCAAGAAACTATGAACAGTACCAGGATCCAGCTGCAGAACGGGCTGCAGCCACCGCTGAGTTGCTTGCCAAGCAGCTCGAAGAGAGCGAATCCAAACGAAAGGCTGAGGCCAAGGCTCGGACTATTCAAGAGGCCGCCTGCGAGCAGCTTCAGAAACTGCAGAAGGAGCAGCTGATCGAAAAGATATCCTGTGATAGCTTTCAAGTACAAAGGTCTGAGACCGGCATAAGCGTGGATGCACTCAAAGCTGAGAATATATAAACTTTCCAGATGCCAAAACATTCATGGCGAATTATATTTAAATTGTTCAATTTTTGGTTACAGTTTCTTTTTATTTGTATTTAAAGTTCTAATTATTTAACATATGCATTTAATGTACACTTATTGTTTTATTCTTAATGTTATGTAAATACTCTATTATTTTTTTAAATAATTATTAATGCATCTGAAAATTTATTTACTCATTTGTAAACCTGGATTACCAGACGAATCATCTTTTGTAGTACAATACCAAAGAATACTGTAATTAAAACAATAAACAAATGATTCGCAAATATTATAAATAAAGAAAATGGAGAGCAATAATTATAAGGTAATTTAAATGTTAAATTAATATTAATTGGTTTCCCCTTAAACCAACTAGAAATATCGGCTGTTCCGCGAACAGAGAAGACGCAAGTAACCGGTACCGAAAGTATTAGTTACTTTTATGCACGCGTACATAGTTTTCCTCATCGGAATGCGCTCGAGATTTTTATAAACTCACAAATTTACCTGAATACTAAAAAGGAAACAAAATGAATGAGGGGAGTGAATACTCCATTCACTCAATATGCCGAATCTGCTTAAATCACCTTCGAAATGATCCGGCGTACGACCTGTTTCTCGTTCCGGGTCTGGCCAAAAAACTGTGTGTGTGTACTTCACTCTCAGTGGAACAGCACGATGGCTTCCCGAAAAACCTTTGCACCAATTGCTACACCAAGCTGAACGACCTGCACGGATTCCAGAAACTGTGCGTGGACTCTGTACAAAAGTTTCAGGAAATGGTCGCTAGCAATTATTTCGTACCCGTTGCTGGTGATATTGATAAAGTCGATATACTGGCTGGGCTGCCGGTCGATGGGGAAGCGGATGACGATAACATCAACTTTGATCCGCTTCTGAATACCAAGATAGAAATTGTGGAGACTGAGGAGGACGTTATTAAAATGCTAGATGACGTCGACAAGGAAGCAGAGGAGGTTGAGAAGGAAGTGGATAGGGCAAAGGATATATCCAGTGATAGTGACAACGACAATGATGATGACAATAGAGACGTTGACTTTCAAGTGAATAGTAGCGACTCTGACGACATCGTACCCTTGTCCCGCTTACGTAGTTCAACCAGAGCAAAAACGACAAAGGCCAAAACGAATCATGCGGATGACGATGAATATGATTCCTCTAGCTTTGAATGGGCTGAGGATAAAGAGGATGATTTGGATAAACCCAAGCCGAAGCCAAGACGAAAACGCGTTCAAGTTGCTTCGGCGCCCCTCGATGGACTGGTTGACTGTCACATTTGTCAGGAAAAATTCAAGAGCACCAAACTCTACGAGGAACACATGAAACATCACAACGATCAATTGCCATTCCAGTGCTCTGTTGAAGACTGCAAGAAGGGTTTCACTACGGCTGGTGGTCTACGCCTTCATATGGACCACGCTCATTCAGAATTCTCTGAAGTGCACGCCTGCACTGCTGAGGGATGTGATAAGACTTTTCCTCGATCTGTCTTACTCACGTTCCATATGAAAAAGGTGCACAACATTATCAAGACACCGTCGCGGAATCATCCGTGCACGGAATGCGACAAAGTCTTCCGTTGTTCAACAGCACTCAAGAAGCACATGTATAAACACACTGGCGAAGAGAAGCCAATCTCCTGTAACATCTGCAACAAACGCTTCCACATAAACAGCGATCTGAGAGATCATCTTTTGCGCCATGCCGGTGTAAAGAATCATGTGTGCCCCTATTGCGGCGTCGGTAAAACCACTCGCCAGGAGTGGAACAAACACATACTGACACACACCAAGGAAAAGCAGTTCCAATGTCGCCAGTGCGATCATGCTTCCCACAACAAACAAGCTCTGGCCAATCACGTCAAGGTGGTTCATATGAAGATTAAGGACTTCGCCTGTCAGTATTGCGGCAAAAAGTTCAGCATGTCGTATTCGTGCAAAGTTCACGAGAGACTCCACACGGGCGAAAACTGCACCAAGTGCAAGATCTGTGGCAAGGTGTTCCTTTTCGAGAAGGGATTGACCAAACATTTAAAGACCCATGAGAAGCGCGATAAAACACGGTCTGCTTCTGCGACTGCAGTCAAACCGAAGGACGATGGAGTCGCGCAAGGCACAGAAAACGCTATCCAAGAATTGACTCAGCCAGTGGATGGGAAACTCATTCCAGAAGTTTCCACCAAGCCGAAAACATCAAATAGAGTTGAGCGTGTAGATATATCGCAGCTAGCAGGCACCTCCGTCAATCCAATATCATCAGTATCGGTTCCCTCCTGGTCGCCGCAAGTCAACTTCACAAAGAAGGAAGGCCAGCACATTTGTCCAGGATGTGGTCGTGGCTTCAACCACATCGGCAATATGAAGCTCCACTACAAGATAATACACGAGAAGGTGAAGGACTTTGCCTGTCGATTTTGTCCGAAACGTTTTTCGAAGGCACACATATTAAAACATCATGAATGGGTTCACACTGGCGAGAAACCGTACGAGTGCAAGGTTTGCGGCAAACATTTCCGGCAGGAGTCAAGTCGGAAAAACCATTTGAGAAGAGTGCACGAGAATGCGAAACCTGCAAAGGAGCCGAAACCACCAAAGACTGTTCTTAGGCCAACCGGACCACACGTCTTGCTCAACAAAAAACACGTCCTAAAGAATTTTGATGAGTACCAGGATCCTGCTGCAGAGCAAGCCGCTGCAACAGCTGCATTGATTGCCCAACAGCAGGAAGAGAATGAAGCGAAGCGAAGGGCTGAAGAAGAAACTCGCAAGATTCAGGAGGCTGCATGTGAACAACTTCAAAGGCTGCAGAAGGAGCAACTTATCGAGAAGATATCCATTAACAGCTTTCAAGTAAAAATATCCGAATCGGGTGTCACTGTGGATGACCTCAAAGTAGATCCTACACAGAAAGAATAATACAGTTCAAAATGAAAACCATTTAATATTAATAATATGTCCTATATACATGCATTTATTTTCATTCATTAGTAGTTTTAGAAATTGTTTTTTAGTTTTACTTTCAAAGTTTCGAACACTTCAAAATATTTGTTTTTATTATTACTTGAGAGACTATAATTTTGTGAATTAATTAAACTCTTTTTTATTGTCATAAAGTTTTGTACATTTATTCTTGCTACGAACACAATATAAAAACAAAAATAATAATATAGACGATTAATAAAATTATTCACTTCTCAAATGAGAGTTGAATTTGATATAAATGTTCGAATATTATAGTTATTAAACGAGTTAATAACTATCGGAATAATTTTTAAATCGCGAAAGTAACTAGTATTCGCGATTACCCGATAAGTAACCGATAGACAAAGTACTCGTTACTTTTATGGACGCGTATACATAGTTTTTCTCATCGGGCTGCGCTTGAGATTTTTATAAACTCACAATTTTACCTGAATATTAAAAAGGAAACAAAATGAATGAGGGGAGTGAATACTCCATTCACTCAATATGCCGAATCTGCTTAAATCACCTTCGAAATGATCCGGCGTACGACCTGTTTCTCGTTCCGGGTCTGGCCAAAAAACTGTGTGTGTGTACTTCACTCTCAGTGGAACAGCACGATGGCTTCCCGAAAAACCTTTGCACCAATTGCTACACCAAGCTGAACGACCTGCACGGATTCCAGAAACTATGCGTGGACTCTGTACAAAAGTTTCAGGAAATGGTCGCTAGCAATTATTTCGTACCCGTTGCTGGTGATATTGATAAAGTCGATATGCTGACTGGGGCGCCGGTCGATGGGGAAGCGGATGACGATAACATCAACTTTGATCCGCTTCTGAATACCAAGATAGAAATTGTGGAGACTGAGGAGGATGTTTTTAAAATGCTAGATGATGTCGACAAGGAAGCAGAGGAGGTTGAGAAGGAAGTAGAGAGGGAGGTAGAGAGGGCAAAGGATGTATCCAGTGATAGTGACAACGACAATGATAATGATAATGATGACAATAGGGACGTTGACTTTCAAGTGAATAGTAGCGATTCTGACGACGCCGTACCCTTGTCCCGCTTACGTAGTTCAACCAGAGCAAAAACGACAAAGGCCAAAACGAATCATGCGGATGATGATGAAGATGATTCCTCTAGCTTTGAATGGGCTGAGGATAAAGAGGATGATTTGGATAAACCCAAGCCGAAGCCAAGACGAAAACGCGTTCAAGTTGCTTCGGCGCCCCTCGATGGACTGGTTGACTGTCACATTTGTCAGGAAAAATTCAAGAGCACCAAACTCTACGAGGAACACATGAAACATCACAACGATCAATTGCCATTCCAGTGCTCTGTTGAAGACTGCAGGAAGGGTTTCACTACGGCTGGTGGTCTACGCCTTCATATGGACCACGCTCATTCAGAATTCTCTGAAGTGCACGCCTGCACTGCTGAGGGATGTGATAAGACTTTTCCTCGATCTGTCTTACTCACGTTCCATATGAAAAAGGTGCACAACATTATCAAGACACCGTCGCGGAATCATCCGTGCACGGAATGCGACAAAGTCTTCCGTTGTTCAACAGCACTCAAGAAGCACATGTATAAACACACTGGCGAAGAGAAGCCAATCTCCTGTAACATCTGTAACAAACGTTTTCACATAAACAGCGATCTCAGAGATCATCTTTTGCGCCATGCCGGCGTGAAGAACTATGTGTGTCCGTATTGCGGCGTGGGCAAAACTACTCGTCAGGAATGGAACAAACACATACTGACCCACACCAAGGAAAAACAGTTCCAGTGTCTCCAGTGCGATCATGCCTCGCATAACAAACAGGCTCTGGCCAATCATGTCAAGGTGGTTCATATGAAGATTAAGGACTTCGCCTGTCAGTATTGCGGTAAAACGTTTGGCAAGTCGTATTCGTGCAAAGTTCACGAGAGACTCCACACGGGCGAAAACTGCAGCAAGTGCAAGATCTGTGGCAAGGTGTTCCTTTTCGAGAAGGGATTGACCAAACATTTAAAGACCCATGAGAAGCGCGATAAAACACGCTCTGCTTCTGCGACTGCAGTCAAACCGAAGGGCGATGGAGTCGCGCAAGGCACAGAAAACGCTATCCAAGAATTGACTCAGCCAGTGGATGGGAAACTCATTCCAGAAGTTTCCACCAAGCCGAAAACATCAAATAGAGTTGAGCGTGTAGATATATCGCAGCTAGCAGGCACCTCCGTCAATCCAATATCATCAGTATCGGTTCCCTCTTGGTCGCCGCAAGTCAACTTCACAAAGAAGGAAGGCCAGCATATTTGTCCAGGATGTGGACGTGGTTTTAATCACATTGGCAATATGAAGCTCCACTACAAGATAATACACGAGAAGGTGAAGGACTTTGCCTGTCGATTTTGTCCGAAACGTTTTTCGAAGGCGCAAATTTTGAAACATCATGAATGGGTTCACACTGGCGAGAAACCGTATGAGTGCAAGGTTTGCGGCAAACACTTCCGGCAGGAGTCAGTTATGAAGAACCATTTGAGAAGAGTGCACGAGAATGCGAAACCTGCAAAGGAGCCGAAACCACCAAAGACTGTTCTTAGGCCAACCGGACCACACGTCTTGCTCAACAAAAAACACGTCCTAAAGAATTTTGATGAGTACCAGGATCCTGCTGCAGAGCAAGCCGCTGCAACAGCTGCATTGATTGCCCAACAGCAGGAAGAGAATGAAGCGAAGCGAAGGGCTGAAGAAGAAACTCGCAAGATTCAGGAGGCTGCATGTGAACAACTTCAAAGGCTGCAGAAGGAGCAACTTATCGAGAAGATATCCATTAACAGCTTTCAAGTTAAAATATCCGAATCGGGTGTCACTGTGGATGACCTCAAAGTAGATCCTACACAGAAAGAATAATACAGTTCAAAATGAAAACCATTTAATATTAATAATATGTACTATATACATGCATTTATTTTCATTCATTAGTAGTTTTAGAAATTGTTTTTTAGTTTTACTTTCAAAGTTTCGAACACTTCAAAATATTTGTTTTTATTATTACTTGAGAGACTATAATTTTGTGCATTAATTAAACTCTTTTTTATTATCATAAAGTTTTGTACATTTATTCTTGCTACGAATACAATATAAAAACAAAAATAATAATATAGACGATTAATAAAATTGTTCACTTCTGAAATGAGAGTTGAATTCGATATAAATGTTCGAATATTTTAGTTATTAAACGAGTTAATAACTATCGGAATAATTTTTAAATCGCGAAAGTAACTAGTATTCGCGATTACCCGATAAGTAACCGATAGACAAAGTACTCGTTACTTTTATGGACGCGTATACATAGTTTTTCTCGTCGGGCTGCGCTTGAGATTTTTATAAACTCACAAATTTACCTGAATATTAAAAAGGAAACAAAATGAATGAGGGGAGTGAATACTCCATTCACTCAATATGCCGAATCTGCTTAAATCACCTTCGAAATGATCCGGCGTACGACCTGTTTCTCGTTCCGGGTCTGGCCAAAAAACTGTGTGTGTGTACTTCACTCTCAGTGGAACAGCACGATGGCTTCCCGAAAAACCTTTGCACCAATTGCTACACCAAGCTGAACGACCTGCACGGATTCCAGAAACTGTGCGTGGACTCTGTACAAAAGTTTCAGGAAATGGTCGCTAGCAATTATTTTACACCTGTTATTGCCGATATTAATCAAATTGACAATGTCGACATACTGCACGTTCCAGCGCACGATGGGGATATGGAAGAGGATCGCATCAACTTTGATCCGCTGCTAAATACGAAAATTGAGATAATTGAAAATGAAGAAGAGGTTTTCAAAATGCTGGAAGATGTGGACAAAGAAGCGGAGGAGGTAGAAAAAGAGAAGGAGTCATCTAGTGATACTGAACACGATAATGATGATGATGTTGACTTTGAAGCGAATAGCAGTGAATCTGACGACGCCATGCCCCTGTCGCGTTTACGAAGCACTACCAGAGCGTCAAAGACAAAGGCTAAGAAGAGCACTGCGGATGATTTTGACGATGAATCTTCCAGCTCTGATTCGGATGACGATGACAATGATGATGATGATGACGACGATAAACCCAGAACGAAACCAAAACGCAAACGCATTCCGGCTGCTGAGAGACACTTGCATCGCCTCATCGATTGTCACATTTGCCACCAAAAATTCAAGAAGGCAATTCGCTACGAGGAGCACATGAAGCATCACAACGATCTATTGCCATTCCAGTGCACTGTGGAAACCTGCAGGAAGGGTTTCACTACGGCTGGTGGTCTGCGCCTTCATATGGACCACGCCCATTCAGAATTCTCTGAAGTGCACGCCTGCACGTTTGAGGGATGTGACAAGACCTTCCCTCGATCTGTCTTACTCACGTTCCATATGAAAAAGGTGCACAAAGTGGCAAAGGCTGACACCCGTAATCATCCGTGCACGGAACGAAAAAGTCTTCCGTTGTCCAACGGCGCTTAAGAAACACATGTATAAGCACACTGGCGAGGAGCTGCCTTTTGCATGCGAGATCTGTGGCAAACGGTTCCACATCCATAGTGTGCTTAGAGACCATCTCTTGCGCCATGCCGGTGTAAAGAATCATGTGTGCCCCTATTGCGGCGTCGGTAAAACCACTCGCCAGGAGTGGAACAAACACATATTGACCCACACCAAGGAAAAACAGTTCCAGTGTCGCCAGTGCGATCATGCTTCCCACAACAAACAGGCTTTGTCCAATCACGTCAAGGTGGTTCATATGAAGATCAAGAACTTTGCGTGTCAGTATTGTGGCAAGACCTTTGGCAAATCGCATGCATGCAAGATCCATGAGAGACTTCACACGGGCGAAAACTGCTGCGAGTGCAAGATCTGTGGCAAGATCTTCCTTTTCGAGAAAAGATTAACCAAGCATTTGCAGATCCATGAGAAACGTGAAACAGCTCCGCCTTCAACCGTTGTTAAGCCGCAAGAGGAGGGAGACGCTCAAAACACGCAGAATGTGAACCAGGACTTGACTGAGCCAGTGGATGTTAAGCCCGTGCCAATAATTCCTCCTAAACCGAAAAATTCGCATCGAGTTGAGCGTGTTGATATATCGCAGCTAGCAGGCACTTCTGTCAATCCAATATCATCAGTATCGGTGCCATCCTGGGCGCCACAAGTGAACTTCACAAAGAAGGAAGGCCAGCACATTTGTCCAGGATGTGGTCGTGGCTTCAACCACATCGGCAATATGAAACTTCACTACAAGATAATACACGAAAAGGTGAAGGACTTTGCCTGTCGCTATTGTCCAAAGCGCTTTGCCAAAGCGCAGTACCTTCGCAATCATGAATATATCCATACGGGCGAGAAGCCGTTCGAATGTAAGATTTGTGGCAAGCATTTCCGTCAAGAGCAGGTATTGAAGACGCATTTGAAGGTGCATGATAAGCCGCCGAAGCCTCCCAAAGCCAAAAAGCCCCCAAAGCCATCTGTTAGCAAAGCAAAGGGATTGAAGGTTGAGCTAAACAAAAAACAACCAAAGATTTTTGATGAGTTCCAGGATCCCGCTGCGGAACGTGCCGCCGCAACTGCTGCATTGCTGGCACAACAGATGGAGGAGAATGAAGCGAAGCGCAAGGCAGAGGAGGAGACGCGCAAGATTCAAGAGGCTGCATGCGAGCAGCTCAACAGACTTCAAAAGCAGGTGCAGAGTGAGAAGGGCTCCTATGACAGCTACTATGGACAAAAAGCGGAGGCTGATGGTACTAACCTGGATGCTCTCAAATTAGATCATGTGTAAATCGAAACGGTGAGAATTAGAGTTTACACTCGGTAAAAAAGAATCAGCCTAAAATTTAGAAAACCGCCCTGAAAACTAGAAAGATGTTCTGGTTTTTAGAAATAATTTTTAAATATACGAAAGAAAATTTCTTAAAATTAGAAAGGCTCCTTTTATTTTTTAGAAATGTTTTCTATTGTTAAGAAATGAATTTCTAAAAAGTAGAAATGAATGATGAGTTAAGCTAATCTAAGAATTCTGTGGACACATATATGTTTGAAAACGTTTTTTTAAAACTTTTAGATAAATCGTCCCTGGAATTTAGAAAGGAACTCCCTTGAGTTTTAGAAATAGAAAACCTTGTGTTTTTGACAAATGCTTTCTGAATAATAAGAAAGTATGGCGATTTTCTAAAATTCAAGGCTATTTTTTTCTGAGTGTAGTAAGTTTGAGCAATTTTATATGTTAGTTATACATTTTACAGCTGTCCCAGTCGTTTTAAGATATCTAATGAACTATGCGAATCCCTCGAATGGCCTCACATGTATAACTTAATCCGCCTAATCATTTTACTTATGTATTAAACAATTAATTAAGAAGTGCGTGTTGTATTACATACTTACCCTTAAATTCACTAAATACTTTAACATTTAGTAGCTTAACGGATATAAATAATTGTTAAATATATATTCTGAGGAGGAATCTATTGCTTGTCTTCGCTCCAACCCCAAAGCCGAATGATTAAATGGGAATCTACTGATGAACTGAAGAATTGAGTCTTCCTATGGATACCCTGATTACCATCCCGAACCCGAACTGTGGAAATCTCTAGAATCTGCATTAAAACCACGTAAACCATACTTTCAAAACTTTCAAGTTATCAAGTTAAGCACCATTAAAATGACAACATGGTTATTATGATTATTGCTTAAGGAAATATACATACTCGTATATAAATATGAAAATATGTTTTTATTCTGGATACCAAAAGTTAAAATTCCTTTAAAAAAAAGTGCTAGGTACGGATAAAATATTCCCATTGCCATAACTTTGTCGAAATTGATCAGATTTTCAAAAGCCAGCACTTTCTGATAATCGTTTGACCTATAATTAATACATAATATAGTTAAAGTTGGGAAAAATTTATGTTGAAATTATGCCCTCAAAATATTTAAATTGCCATATGTCAAAGGTTAACCGATTTGAAGACTTGAGAATTTCACAGTGCTCTGAAAATGTACAGATTAAACTCACAACATACGAGTATTATTATGTTACTATAATTATAATATATACATTAAATACATATTTTTTGAGGTGAGTGGCATACATAAGTAAAAATATCGATATATTCCGATAAAAACAATTATGGACTATGAAACTCGCGTATTGCTCTGATGCACATAGTATTTGTATATCGCATAGTTTTATATAATTTACTTTAGACCACATAATATAAGTGAGAGCATTTATCTAATCCATGTACGCATCTGGTTAACTCTGATTCACAAAGATGTTGGTTAACTGCCATTATATCGCTATAATATCGTATTTGTTAGAGACAAGAGTTGGAACCTCTTAACAGCTGTTAATTTAAAGTTGGATTAAATTTGTTCTTATTTGCCGTATTTTACCAAAACTTTACGTCACCTACAACCAAATTGTAACTGAAATCGTTTTTTTCACCAACTTCTACGAAGTTACTCAATTAGAAATTAATTTCAAAACACAAACGGAAATAATTATTGTACTCTGCTAATAACATGCTGATAAGATGTTAAGTTAACAGACAACAACAGCAACGACATCTACAAATTATTTTTTTCTGACGCGTTATTTTTTTCCAGCGCAGTTAAAAATTAAGAAGAACCACAGCGAAAATGAATGAGAGGAGTGGATACTCCATACACACAATATGTCGCATCTGCTTGAACCACTTGCAAAACGATCCGGCCTACGACCTGTTCCTGGTACCTGGTCTGGCCAAGAAATTGTGTGTGTGCACTTCACTCTCCGTGGAGCAGCACGATGGCTTCCCAATGCATCTGTGCACCAATTGCTACACTCGGCTGAGCGACTTACACGACTTCCAGAAGCTGTGCGTGGACTCTGTGCAGAGGTTCCAGGAAATGGTCGCCAACAATTTCGACATAGCAACAACAGCTGCACAGACTAACCAACAAATCGACAACTTTGACATGCTGCATGTGGGGACGACACAGGATGCTGACTTGAATGTCGAGGAGGAGGATCGTATTAACTATGATCCGCTCCTCAATCACAAAATGGAGATTATCGAAAACGAGGAGGATGTATTTAAAATGCTGGAGCATGTCGACAAAGAGGCCGAGGAGGCGGAGAACGAAGTCAAACAGGACGTGGAAGACCAGTCAGCCATTATCCAAATGTTCGGCGACGATTCCTCAATCGAGAGCAGTAACGACAACGATGACACGGTCTTTGAGCCCAACAGCAGTGATGGCGACGACGATATGCCTCTGGCGCAGCGTCTACGCGGCAATCCAAAAACAGCAGGTAGCAGTAGATCGAGTGGCAGGAAAGTGTCAGCGAATGCTGAACTTGAGGAGGAGTTTAGTTCAGCATCGGGCGAAGATGGGCCCAAGTCAAGGATAAAACGCAAGCGTATTCCGGCTGCTGAGCGGCACTTGCATCGCATCATCGACTGCCACATCTGCCATCAGAAGTTCAAGAAGGCAATTCGTTACGAGGAGCACATGAAGCACCACAACGATCTGTTGCCCTTCCAGTGCAAAGTGGAGTCCTGTCGCAAAGGCTTCACAACGGCCGGTGGACTCCGATTGCATGTGGATCACGCGCATACGGAACTGTCCGAGGTGCATTCGTGCAGTGTGGACGGATGCGGCAAGACATTTCCTCGCATTCGCCTGCTCACTTTCCACATGAAGAAGGTGCACAACATCTCCAAGGCGGCGGCGCCGCCAAGGGACTATCCGTGCACGGAGTGCGAGAAGGTGTTCCGCTGTCCCATGGCGCTGAAGAAGCACATGTACAAGCACGATGGCAAGGAGCTACCATTCCCGTGCAACATATGCGGCAAACGATTCGTGATCAACAGTGCTCTCAAGGATCATCTGATGCGGCATGCGGGCATCAAGAACTATGTGTGCCCGTATTGTGGTGTGGGCAAAACGACGCGGCAGGAGTGGAACACACACATCCTGACGCACACCCAGGAGAAGAAGTTCAAGTGCCACATATGCGAGCATGCCTCGCACAACAAACAGAGTCTGGCCAATCACATCAAGATTGTGCACGAGAAGATCAAGAACTATGCGTGCCAATACTGTGGCAAGACCTTTGGCAAATCACACGCTTGCAAGATCCATGAAATGACGCACACAGGAGAGAAGCGGTGCGAGTGCAAGGTCTGTGGCAAGAAATTCCTCTATCCAAAGAGCCTCACGAAGCATTTAAAGACGCATGAGAAGCGTGTCTTGCGCGCCATTGAAACGTATCGTCAGCGCCAGGTGGAGCTTGGCGAGGGGGCGACGGCCAGTGGTGAGCCAGTGGCAGACTTTGTGGCAGAAACTGCGGTCGTTGGCGCACCCACGGTCTCTGTGGCTGATGGTGTTGACGTCATCATATCCCAAAATGCAGCCGATGAGCTGCTGAAAGTGTGCGCCGAGTCGGTGGCAACCATACCCAGAGATCCGCGTCGTGTGCAGCGTGTGGACATCGCTCAGCTGGCTGGCACCTCTGTCAATCCGATACCATCAGTGTCTGTGCCCTCGTGGTCTCCGCAGGAGAACTTCACGAAGAAGGAGGGCAAGCACATCTGTCCCGGCTGCGGGCAGGGCTTTAATAACATTGGCAACATGAAGCGCCACTACAAGATCATCCACGAGAAAGTCAAGGATTTCGCGTGCCGTTTCTGTCCCAAGCGATTTGCAAAGGCGCAAACGCTGCGCCATCACGAATGGATACACACGGGCGAGAAGCCTTTCGAGTGTAAGACATGTGGCACTCATTTCCGCCAGGAGACGGCGCTGAAGCGTCATCAGCGAACGCACGAGAATCGCCCACCCGTCATATCGTCCAAGTTCTATGCGGCACGCGAGGAACTCGAGGAACAGGAGCGCACAAAACGCGAAGCGAGACGCAAGGCCGAGGCGAAACGCAAGGAAATTGCGGAGGCAGCCAAGGAGCAGCTCTCATCGCTGCACAAGATCGAGGCAACGGACAAGAACCTGCACTCGTACGATGAGTACCAGGAAGCTGCCGCTGAGCGTGCAGCGGCCTCAGCTGAATTGCAGGCTCAGCAGTTCGAGGAGAACGAGGTGAAGCGCCGGGCGGACACGGAACGGCGCAAAATCCAGGAGGCCGCCTACGAGCAGCTGCAGAAGCTGCAACAGCAGCAGGAGATCGAGAAGGCGCAAAGCTCCTACGATGGCTACTATGCCCAAAAGGCAAACGCCGAGGGAGCCAACCTCGACGACCTCAAGATCGATCATGTGTGAGGGGAAGCAGAATCATATGGATCAATTGCTTGATACGATTTTGAAAATCGAATCAAAAATTTTAGTTTTACATTGGGCAAGAAATGATTAAAGTATGTAACGTTTTCAAAAAGCAATATATTAGAATTCCTAGTCTTAAGCAGACTTCGATTGAAGTATATTATAATTTTCTAATATAGATATTGAGTATGTACGTTATTCAAAGTAGCTTCTAGTTTTATGGCCTATTCTTATTGATTTCTTTTAAGTTTTGCCTATAAATCTTTAAGGCTAGCCAGTGAATTACGTTCTATGTCTCAGATAATTTTGACTGTATATTAAGGCCGATTTGATAAGCTTCATTATATTCTGCTCGATTGTGCCATTTACAAATTTAACGCTGCACTCTTGTAAGTCTTAATGTGATAAAGATAACAGTAACGAAAATCATTGTTTAAGTTGTATTTCTACACGGATAGTTTAGTTCCTTGGAGCAAATTTTAAAACTCATCTATAAATTCCGTTGGATTGTTTACTTTTTATCTATGATATGAAATGCAAGCGAAAAATATTTGCGATATGTGAATAAAAAGAAAGTTAGAAATATATGTGTGCATATAAATAAAAGCTACACTTTTGCAGATTAATTTGATATTAGAAAATATGTTTATATAGGTAGTTAATGTTTGCTTAATTCGTAATAAATCAAAATGTTATTTTGTATGGTATTTTTTCCCTTTGTCATTTTTGCGATAGCCACTTACGGTCACACTGTAAACAATAATAAATAAATAATAAGCGTGTGCCTGTGAAAACTAAGAGAAAACAAAAAACTGATTTGTCCCTACACACGCAAACACACATTATATATATATATATATATATATATATAGATATAGATGAACGCCGTAATTGCGCTATGCCACTTCTGCGAAGCGCATGGTCCTTGCGCCATCTTCTGCACGCAAACGCTGCGCGACACAAAAGTGGAGGATCTCGTGAATGTGGAGCAGCAGCAGCAGCAGGGCCAGAAAACCTGCTCCGCCTGCAATTATACGCTGGGGCGCAATAACAGCAGTGCCATTTACAGCAAAGACACGGAAAGTGGCGCCACATTTGTTAGCACCAAGGTTGCCGCCTTGCCCGAGGTGGCCAATCTGGTGAAGCAGGCAGCAGTGCGCAGCCTCAGCTGTGAGATAAACACTAATGCCAAGGACGGCGACGGTGGCTTCGTCTTCTTTGGCGACTCCGCTCGCGGTCACATTCTCAGCCACACGTTTCGCGTGAACGATTTGCAGGCACGCGGATACTATCAGCTCTTCTCGATTATTGTGTTAATGAAGGACAAGTATTTTCTGCTTAATACCAAACCCTTTCTGGCCGAGCACTTGAGGAAGGTGTCCGCCGAGCTGCAGGCGGGCGCACAGCGGACCAAGGCAGCCGAGGAGCTCAACTATTCAGCGCGACAGAGGCGTTTGTCTGGCGCACAGTTCCTGATGCCGACGCCACGCTCCCTGCTGGAGCTGACGGGCGAGGAGCATGTATTCGCCCAGCTGCATTCACATTTCGCCTGGATACTGTTGGCGGGATCGCGATTCCTTACGGAGCACGTCACATTCGGCAATCTGCCGTGGCTGCCACCGCAAAGCAGCACTCGCCCACCGGCACAGCGTTTAACCTACAATAGCTCCACGTTGCCCATGATACAGATGTACGAGGAGACGATCGATGATCCCGAACAGGAGGAGTTCTTCTCGCTGCGACACATCAAGACTGTCGTTCGCAAGGAGGACTTTGCCACCGTTTGCTATTGTGCTCTGACCGGCGTCAAGATCATCGTGCGTGGCGCCCCGGAGCGCACGTTCCGTTTCATGGTGTGCCTGAAGAAACTGCTGCCGGAGCCAATGCATAATCTGATGCGCATAGATGCACAACATCAGCACTCAATTAGCTCCGAGTACAAGATCATATCGGTGTCCAACGATATTGCCGTGCCTATTGCGAGCAGCTCCGTCTTCCGCATCGATTTCCTCGACAAGCATGTCAATGGCAACGATATCGTCTCCGTCAAGTGGCCCGGCGAACTGCCCAGAAAAAGTATATTAAATATATTCATTCCATAATTAGAAAAGATATTGATTCTGCCGTGTGCAGTTCCAGATCTCATGGTCAAGCTGCAGAAGGCCGTGCAGGCAGTCGATGAGAAGACCTTCACCGAGCTGGTGCTCAACAAGCAGACCAAGGTGCTAATCGAGGAGTGGAAAAAGTACATCCGAATCCCATATTCAAGCATAGACTGCCCCATTTCATCCATTTCTTTTTGTCGTTCGCAGCAAAGTGATTTGTCTGAATCATGCAAAGTCGGGCAGCGTGCAGGCCAAGCTGAAGAAGGTGCTAGGAGTGCAGCCGCAGGATCAGCCCATTGTCAATTACTGGAGCACACACTTGCACTAGGCAAGGAGTGATGGGGGTTGTATTATATTGTTTATAGAAATGTTTGTTTCACTTCTTGAAATAAAAATTCTTTATTGCCAAAAGGGTCTGCTCCCTTTCAACTATCCTCTCGTTTGACAAATCAATATCTTAACCAAAAAGCGACGTCTACCGTTTCCACAAGATGTTGTTGTCGTTTACTTCTTGTAACCGCAGCTGGAACGACGACCACGAGCACGCTCGAACTTGCGTCCCTTGGATCGGACATAGGGGCGGGTGTGCGAGTGGGGCACACCAGGAGCCTTGCCGAAGTGCTTGCAGGCAGTGCGAGCGGTGCGTCTGCCCTGGAGCAGCAGGGTGCTCTTGCCGGTGGGCGAGCGCAGGGCCAACTGATCGAAGGTAAGAACTTCGCCGCCAGCCTTTAGGATGCGCTCGCGAGCCGTCTGGGTGACATGGAGGGCGCACAGGGAGAGCTTGGGCACGACGAGGAGGCGGGCATCGTCGGTGACAGTGCCAACGACAACAACGGTCGACTCTTGCTGATTGGCCGCCTTGAAGAAGCGAGCGATGCGTTGCAGCGACATTGGTGGCCGATTGGTTTTGCTCATAAACAAACGCTTCAAGACGATGCGATTGAACTTCTTGTTCGTGCGACGTTGCAGGAAACGGTACAACTGCAAAAGTCAATTAAGAATGTTAATCACACTTCTTCTCACATTGATTACACTTGCGTATTATTCACCTTGACGAGCAAGCGCAGGTAAACATCCTGAGATTTGGGTTCGGTTCTGCGAACCTTGCGATCGTACTTGTGGTTTATATCAATACCCTGCAAGTATATTTGAAATATTATTACCAACTGCTCAATTTGTCTGCGTTAGGTCATGTTTTACAAAGAACATTCAATATTTTTCACAAACATTTAAGATGTTTACAAATTTATTTTTTGCTTTTAATATTTCTTGCGTCGTACCATTTCGGCGACCGGAAAAAGAAAGAGGCGAGCAGTGACAGTTAGTGATGGCCAAACTATCGATATATCGTATAAATATGTAATTTTCACTCGATTTTTAAAACATTGTAACTAATTTGACTCAAATGAGCTGTGCACATGTACTTAACATATTGTTCGGAATTTTTGATGTCGTTTTAGTATTTCTTGCAACTGTCGCCGGGTTTAGTTGATTTTACACGATAATCATGGACAATCGATTGGGAAAATAACCGATAGTATAAAGCTTGCATTGCCAGCGACACAGGGCTGCACAAGTCTAGTGGCAACGCTTACAGCAGTAAAATAATGGCAGCGGTGAATTTACGTAAAGGCTTTATTTGTGTGCCTAAAAATGTGAGTAAAACTATAAATGTCAGAATAGGATAACACTTGATATTAAATAATCCTGCCACCTCCAGTTCGTGGCTCACCTTCAGAGATGCTATGCCTCCTCGAAGCAGACAAATATCAACACACTGGCAGCCGTTGGAGATTCGATCGCTGCCAAAGGGTAATTATTAATTATCTTATTTTCAATTAACAACTATAATATGCCATGTCTTTACAGGTTCCTGCGTCCAAATAAGCCATACGCGCCCACTAGCAATGCAGCTGAACGCGTTCGTTCCGTGGCTGCCAAGCTGCACATGACGAGCGACGGAGATCAGCGAAAATTAACCGACTTGGGAGAAAAGTTCAAATTTCTGAGCGCATGCTTTGAGGAACTGCAGCATGGTGTTCCAAATTCGCAGGTGCATGAGTTGGCCACCGTTGCCGATGTCATTGCGTTCTATGAGCAGGCGGTGGACACCACTGTGCCTCTGGATGCACTGAAGCGCATCGATCTGCCCGAGAATCTGCACATACAATATGAATATTTGCGATTCCATCCGGAAACTGATACCAAATTCAATGGCCAAACCGCTTTTCCCAAGAGTTCAACGCTTGTCACCGGTCTCAAGTATCGTCGCAAATATGGGGGACATGAGGTCAAGCAATCCTGGCCCTAGTTATATTTTATTTCTGATTAATAAAGTTAAAGCTAAAGTTATATTTTCTACAAGTATTGCCAGACGGTATCCACTAAATCCGAGTTGTAGAGGCTCGCCAGGGCTTTCAAGACCCGCGCATCGTGCAGCATCTCCATGAGTCGCTTATCTGCCTTGGCTGCCTCGAACGTGGGATACATCAGCTCGCAGCTGAACTCGGTCACCGCTGGCTTATTCATAATATCGAGGATCTTCTTTTGAAGCTCGATTTCTGGATCGGGCGTCTGAAGCATTGCCAACTCATTGAATTCGCCCAGCTCCAGCTTGAGCTGCTGCTCCCGCTGCTTCTCCAGATACTTGATAATGCACTCGTACTGCAATCCAGTCAGTTGACGATTGCTCGCCAGCATTTCGATTAATTGCTGCATGGACTCGGGATGTCTGTTGCCCTGTTTGGCGTGCAGCTGGGATGCGGTGACCGCGTCACGTTGCTTCTTCAGCCGAAAGTCGGTGGCAATCAATGTGATTGCCTCCTCCCGCGGCATATTGCGATGCTCGGCTTGCACGCCATTCAAAATGTGGATTGTGATGCTATTTAGGGCCGCATGCTGTGGCGTAACCAGCACTGCGTAGAGGCAGCCGCGAGCCGAAATGTTGCTCAGCACATGTCCCAGCATGACATCCTCATTCGGATACAGTACATCCACCCGCATGCCAACCTTCCGCAGTCGATCCTCAATATACTCCGCATATTTGCTGTGAATGTAACAAAAGATTAGCTACTAAGATTCCTGGCAAACAAGAGACAATACAGACGTATTCAAACGATTCAGGACGATGATCTCACAATCGTTGATGGGCACAACAGTCGCTGCATCGGCGGCAGACATAACAATGCCTCCTTGGATAGACATTGGAACGACTCCTGGATTATGCATTGCATTCGAATTGAGTTTCTTGGCATTGACTGCCTTTGCCTTGATGCTCGCATTGCGCGCTGTGAGCGCATTCGATTTGAATGTGGATTTATTTAGTGCGGACGCACATTTGTTGGCCACTTCTTCATTTTCGAATTGCACAAAACCAAAATTCTTTTTCACCAACGAGCCCAAAACTTTTCCATACGGATGACAAATACTCTCGAGCTCTTCGCACGTACAAGTCGGCAGATTGCCAACGAAAATGCGATTCTTTACCAAGTTGGGATCCCGGGCAATATTGTAGCCAAGTGCGCTAGGATCGGGAAGAGCGGCCATTTCCTCTCAACAATGTGCAAATTTATTTCCTTCAAAATAAACAATAATGCTGCAGCAATTTATTTGAGGTGATTCTAGATACTGTATACTGGTATCAATACTAGATATCGATGAGGCGATGAATCGATATGCATTTAGCGCGTTATCGATTAGTTCGACCGTTAAAAAACTAAGGAGGATCGCAGGATCGTCAACTACTAACAAAAATTAACTTTATTGCAGCGAATTTTGTACAAAATTGTTGAAATTGTGCAAATATGAAATGAAATATGATTTAGGCGTGGATCAAAAAACCAGCGTCGCCATGTGGAATGTGCTCATTTTCGTGTTCCAGCTCAGGCTTCTTCTTTGGCACATAGGGATTATGCTCTGGATCGGCATTCAAGCTGAGCGTAAGTGAATTTTTATTATATTATACTCTATTGTCTTTTCTAATCTTTGCGTTAACTTACTGATACAGGCTGGTGGCCTCCTCGCACTTTACATTGTACCACCAATCGCAGGCGAATTCCTTCTGATTGAATATGGTTCCGTTGGTGCAAAGGAACGATGCACCCTGGTGTCCCTCACGTCCGTCGTGGCACACATGATACGCCTGGCAGCCCGTCTCCACATTGGCATACATGCCCGGCACGGCGGGCACATCATGGCAACTGAAATGTGTGTGTGGCACTTCATGGTAAATCGGATAGTCAACACCAGCGACACCTGGTATTTTGTTCAGATCTTGTTTATCCTCGTGTCGGCGTTCATGATGCTCCGCTTGCGGTGGATTGAACAGATGTCCAAATTTCTGCATCAGTGAGTAAGTAAATATATATCAAACGTTGCGAATTACATAAGCTAAGCCTCGTATGGCGGCTAACCGGTTCCACAGACTCCGACGCCGACTCCAACTACGACCAAGTGGCGTCCGCTCATTATTAGCAAACAATTAAGCATGTGCAAGTGTGTGTATGTATAGATTTGTGCGAGTGTGTGATCGTGTATATGTGCCTCAATTGCATGTTACAATTTTTGGGTCAAAAGTGAACGTCGAGCACTCGCACTCGCTCTCCTCGTCATCGTCATCGTCGTCACAGACCACGATTTTCAAAACAAATCAATTGGATGAGGAGAAGTGTGTGCTTCTCTCTCCATGTATTGATTTTATTGACTAATTAGTGCTCATCATGTCTTCATTAATAGCTGCTGCTGCTGCTGACCACGCTAAATTGCTGTAACAATAATTTGTTCGGACTCGGACAAACCTGCACTTCAATAGCCAGCGTTGCCTCAAACATCAACAGCCCTAACAGCAGCATCATCGTCATTAGTTGCTTGGACATCTTTTGTTATTGATAGAGGATCTGGTTTTTGGCTGTTTGTGGGTTGATTTCTGGGATTGGCTCAACCGTCTGCGTTCAGTTTGAAAATCGCACTGAAATGCAGTTTTCCAAAGCGGCATCCACTTGAGGCAAGCTTTCAAGGGTATTGCGACTAACGTCTAACGGTAAGCGTGGTTCGTGGTTGGTAAGAGGTGGTTGCTGATTCGGTTTTGGCCACTCGGCTGCGTCTCGTGCGCTGGGCAACTTTCGATTTCATTTGGAAGCTGTCTTTTTAAGCTTTTGCTTTTGCTTTTGCCCGAACATTGTATTAAAGCGTATTCGGACCACCTAATTATTTCAGGCCCATTGCATTGTTAACGAAACGGCAAGTAAAATGATGATAAGTTTAAGTATCTTATGCATATGTAAGCACGTATTGCATGTGCTTATATACGCGTTTAACTCTTATGGGAAAGCATAATACAATTCACTTTATTTTGTAAGCAAACAATTTATTAGGCTTAGCAAATTTTAGGCTTAATTGCAGCGTTACTTAAATTACAATATATAGTTATTATGTGCGATATGATTGGCTGTAATCGTAAAGACGAAAAAGTGTTTAAGATTGATTAAGATTAGCTTTTGCTGTTGTTGTTGTTGTTGAACTTAACATTGAATATGCAAGTTGTAAATAGTTTTTCGGCTCACTCGGATTGTTTATTTTTGTACTAAACTTTAGCCTATGAAATATATGAATGAGCATTTCTAACTTAAGTAAACTAATACAACTTCTTTGCGGCTGGATTCAAATCGAGTTTGTCAAGCAAATCATTAAATTCACTAAAGAGCTGCAAAACATGGTTAAATAAAAACAATCAGATTTATGATTATCATAGTCGAATAGTAATGGGGCTTACGTGAATTTTGCCATAGCTGTCCACATAGGTCTTGCTGCCACCGGAGGTTTTCTTAAAGGCCGGCAACGCTGGGCCATGCAAGAGATTCACATTTTGATAAGATTGCGCCTTTGATGAACTGGAGGCATGACTCTTGCCTACTATAGGCGTCAGTTCCAGAAAATTGGGCACTGCAATAGCCATAGCATAGATACAAGCACAGATACATGCATGCATGCATTAATAAATGTTAGGTGCAGCCAGGCGTAAATAGCGTGAACTCACTTTTCTTGGGCTGGAATTTCACCTGATTGAGCAACGGATTGTGCAGCTGCAGTTGCCGGTACGTGGGCAATGCATGCTTTGGCGGCACCAACACATACGGACGACCCAATGCCTGCGGATACAGATATGTCGTCTCCACGGTGGGCACCTGTCGATAGTGGTAGCGACCTTCTCGCGGCGTATAACGACCATCCGAGCTGAGCGCAATATGATAAACGGTGCGCATCGGCTTGCCATAATATTGATAGACCTGCAAATTAAACATAATAAATCTTTTTAAATGTCGATCTTCACAGTTGAAAAAAATCCATAATTATGTATGGCAAATTAAACATAATAAATCTTTTTAAATGTCGATCTTCGCAGTTGTTATGTATGGTATGCATAAATATAAATACCTGAGGATTGCGTTGCTCGGGCACAATTCCATCCGGCACAGAGATACCCTCCTTTTGCAGACGGTTAAGAAACAGTCGATCAGTTTCAAAGGCCGTATCGGGTATCTTGCCACCCGCATGCGGCAGCACTTGCTCCCGATAGATTTGACGTTTCTTTAATTAGTTTTTGCTTATCTTTATTTATGGCCATTTTATGAGATAATTGTATGGTAGCTTACACACCTTGTGATTGTGTTCCGCATTTAACGGCTCGGTGCCAAAGACTACGCAGCTCAGGCTTAACAGCCCAATTAACTGATAAACATATGGCGACGACATTTTGAACGAACTTGATTTTCGATTTATTTTTGTTGTGCACTTTAAATAGAATTTCTGCTAAAGGTCAAGTTGATCGACTTGACACAACTCTAGTTCTCAGCAAACAAGTGTCAGCAGCTCGGTACACAAATCCACATTTCAAACATTTTATTTTATACAAAATTGCAGCACACACACACACACACATGCGCCAGCACGCTCTTGCCGAAAATGAATGACGAGCTGAAAAACAGCTTAAGAATTGAACTGATTGACTATCGTCAAAGTCAAAGATCTTCCAGCCGTTGCGAGTAGGAACTGCGTTATGCGGTGGCGTTGTGGCCGCGTCGACGGTGCCAAACATAATGAATGCAAATGCACAAAGCGCTCTGATCTGTGGCGGGTGCCCGCTCCCTGCCAGGTGCCCTCTGCTTTGTATATCTGCTGCTGGTACTGCTTCTGCTTCTGCTGCTGCTGCTGCTGCTGCTGCTGCTGCTGCTGCTACTTTTGCTGTTGCTGCCGACGACGACAGCAACATTCAGCTAGTTGCGATCATCACGTGGTGACTTGGCACGACAATCATCATCATTTTGTTGCTGCCACAATCTGAAGATTGCCCAAAAACACAAAATAGTAAGAGTGATTTAACTGCAGGATATCCATTACAAGGCTATAAACTATTGCATTCTTGAGTAAATAATACATTAAATATACACATTCAAAATTGGCTTCTGATAGCCACTCTACGCTAACTCTGTGTTTTTAAATAAACATAAAATATTTTAGCATTCAACATAAATCTTCTGAGCTTCAAAAGGTTATTTTCAATTACCAGGAAATAATCACAGATTTTTGTTTATGTTATTGCCTGTAGCAAGTTGATTATCCCTGAAGATCCATTATATCGAACAGGGTATAAAAACTTTGCAAACTTAGTGAACGATTTGCAGACATTTCCTAAGGCATTTTACTTCAAAGCTCGACAACCAAATTAGTTGCCATTTAATATTTTGCGCTTCATTTGTTTGGGCATAAGTAGCATAAAAACAAGATTAAAAAAAAAACAAAAAACAAACCATACACATATTTTGACCAAAGTAATTAATTAATCTTGTTGTTAAACTGACCAAGTTGTTGGCACTGATTGTGAACTGAGTTGTTGGGGCCAAATGGATGCGCTACTTCACTTGAAACTTTCAATATTTTGCTATGCTTTATTATAATGGTTTTTTATTTTATTTATTTTATTTGTAATTTTTTGGCTAGGGCAATTTTGGATTCAATCGTTTTGTATATTTTTTCCCCCCTTTTGAAAGTGAATGTTATTGTTTTTGGATGCTTTGTTTTGGTGTACACTTGGGTTTTTGTTGCTGATTGCGCTTCAGCTTTAGTCTTTTTCATAATGTTTATAAATTTATTTATTGTTTTTGTTGTCATAATAAATATTTGTATTAGTTGTTGTGCCTCTTGGCAGACACTTTTGAGTTGAAGCCTTTTTATTGTTTTTTCTTTCATATTTAGCTTTGTTAGAAAATTGATGCTCGATGGGGTTGTTTGGACCTTGAAAGACTTGTGAAAGTGAAATGAATAATTGTCTGAGGCAAGTAAGGTGCTTCAGCTTCAGCTTCAGCTTTGGGCCAGTAAGGCACGTTCACGTTCCTATGATCTGTATTCATAACTCTAACAAATGCCATATTTGATTGCATTACATTCATAAATTCCCACGCTGTTGCATTTAAAATTCCAATTGCATATCATACAGAAATGACAGCCCATAGACTATCAATTGATGTGCGCCAAAAGTGTACCAAACGTTGGTGAAAGTTGGTTTCTATGCGATAGTCTCTTGATAAGAATGGGCCACAAAAGAGCCGAAAATTGTTTGAAATGCCAGACACAACTGTGAAAAAGGCAACTCTTGTAGGCAATTGTAATTATCGCAGTTACACAATGAACATGAATGGTATTACATTACCAATTACAAGAGCGGTAACCCGAACCACAAAAGCCGAGCAGCTTCTGGTTGCCACAACTGACCTTGGCGCCCTCAAATGAAATCAAGATGCACCGCATCCCATTGACTATTATACATTTATTATTTTAAATCGCAGTCAACCTTGGCAACAGCAACAGCATCAGCAACAACAACAATAATAACAATTGGTAGCAAGTCATCTTGCGGTTCAAAGTATTGTTCGGTCTCTCAAGCTTGTTGTGGCTTGTCACGCGCTAATTGGTTGATGCAGAGGGTTAGGGTTTCCTGGAGGGTGCCACAGCAATCGATTACAAATTGTTGCTGCGAGCTTTGAGTCAAGGATTTCCTAGACATTCCCACGTCTGCACAAAAACCAAAAACACTAAAAAGCCTTTCAAAACTGTCGCAAATAAAACAACAACAAAATGGCAAACCGTTTATTTCGACTCGATCGCCAGACATAGCGCCATTTGGTTTGACAGAGTGTTCCGACAATGGCCTCAAGAGCATCGCATCGCAACACATTGACGCGGAGGTTACCTGAATTGGCTTGGCCCATAGGCAGGTTCAATTGCCTGCTTTGACCGTCTCTAATTGAATTCGCAATCAGGCATTGTGTGGCACCCACTGATCGCACAACTGTTCAACACCAATCTCAGCAAGCAAGCAGCACAACCAAGTGTGTGTCTGTGTGTGTTTGTGTGCAGTTACTGCCAATTAACAAGAGTTTTGATTAATATCTTTTCAGTTTATTGAATGGAAAAAAACCTGATCTTTTGCGCCACGTGCTGCCGCCTACCCAGGAGCTTAAACACACAAAATGCTCAGATATTGATCAATTATGGTATTCGAGTAATCAGTTAATTGCAAGGCTATGGCAGCAAATTGGTCAGAAGACATCTCACCTCCACCTTGGTTCTTTAAGTTTAGGTTATTTTGTCAATTATGATGATTAGATCAATTCTTAATGAACCCTAAGTCACGGCTACTTAATTCATTTTATAAGAAATAAAACAAATTGTTTCTTATATTTAAATATCTGTTTTTATATTGTGATAATTTTCCAAAATTTTCTTTTATGTTTGCTTGTTGTTTGAAATTTAAACACTGTTCAAAAAGTAAACAATTATATCAATCTTAACTCTTTTCGATACGTAATATGTATGGACAAGTTTCAATTCTAAATACTTTTACAGTTCAACATATTATTGCAACAGCTTTACATACCGAGTATATACACTCTATACATATGAATATCGTATATACATATACATATATATATAGTCTATCTCAATTTCATCTAGCTGAACAATTGACAGATCTTACGATCTAAAAGACTTAATATAAAAGTTAACTTTTCGGTTTACAGTTAAATCGGTTTCATTGCTCTTTAGTGCACAAAAATTTAAATGCAACAACTGCGTTTAATTCATTTCAATTCGAGGTTCTTATGTTCCTTATTTATTCTACAGTACTAAGCATAAATAATGAATAATACAATACATATTTTTCATAATTTTTGCTTAGTTTTTTATATTTTAAAGATAAATTAAAAATACAATTGTAAAGCAATAACTAAAGTCATGTTTTCATTAACAATATCGCGTGATAGAATATTTCTTGATTTTCTATTTATTTCAATTTATAATTTGGGGAAATGAAACTACTTAGTTATGTATAAAAAAATATATATTTGAGTAACTCAACGACGAAATGGCCAAAAAAAACTCGGCAAATCTATATATACAAAAATAAAATGATTTTTTTTTATTATGCCTAACAGGGACTTTAGGAACCTACAGGAACTGAAGACGCTAAAAACAATTCGTTGCACACAAGCAAAAATATTAAAGGGTTGCAATTTTGTTATTCTTGTGTAATACTATTTTAGAACAGAGGAACGGGAAAATAAACAAAAATCATGCAAACGGGCTGGGGGAGGGAGTGCTATAAAAGTCTTTTTAGTTTGTACTAAAATAATTTAAAATTCAATTGAATCACTGATTTTAATATATACTAGACGATTTGATGCTAACTATTTGAATGTGGTACTAAAATGTACTGCACAATTCATTTCAATTATGGTATGGTATTCTTTTTATATAATTGCAATTTGCATGCATACTAAAAAAGTGCTAAAGCGGACAATTGGTGCTGTGTATGCCATATGGAGAGGCACTTAAATATAAGTAGTAAACCTTTGGTACTACTTTAGCATCGAATTTAAAACTGTACAATATGTGGGCACAGTTTTACATCTAACAATAGTTAGATTCCAATAGGAAACAAAAAAACGGAGCTACATTCAGTATGGCCCCTGCAGCGCTACAATCTATGCTAAAAAGTATATCGTTTATCAAATGTACACATTGAGTGTATATAACAAATATATATCCCTTGGTATAGCACTGTTTGTATTACGGCTCTTTTCCTTTGGGTAACATTCCAATCTCACGAGCCAGATTGGAGGATTACCCAAAGAAGCCCACTTATTGGGCCTCCGATGGTCCGCTGTATACTTTCATGATATCCCTGACGGCAGACACAGAGCCGAAAAAGAGTGCGCCAAAGCCACATAAGACGATGACAACGTTCTTCCACACAATCCAATTGCCGGGACCGAAGCCGCTGTCCCAGTGCACGATGAGTTCAATGATGACCTAATTCAATAAGATTACAGATCAGTCAAGTGATTACAAATTTTGGGTCTTAGAGCACTTACCGGAAAGATCAAACCGAGTATGGAGAAGCAGAAGGCACCGATCAGACCCATAAATGGCGCAATAGTTGGCACTGAAATGGCCAACACCACAGCAGCAGTTACCAGAACGGTGCTACAAATGTAAATCTCTCTTAGTTGAGGAGCCACTTGAAATATTGTTTTCGGGTTAATTTACCGCAGCACATAGTTGACGAGAATGGGACGTTTGGTGCACTTATCCTTGATGCCATCCCAGACAATCTCCAGGCACACGTAAAACTGTAGTCCAAATGTACAGTAGACAGCCAATGCGATCAAGATCTTCACAGCCTGAGCAGGCCACTCTTCGATGGGCAGATTCAATGTGATACTCTCTTCAGTGAGTGTGCCATAGCGCATATAACCAAGGAATCCGAGAAGCATATAGATCATGGTAACACCCGACATGCCCTTGCTGAGCACACCGCAAATGCCAAGGAAATTCTGTGGCGTCTTCATGTTATTCTCCAGTGGCATTACGACACCGATTGCCTCCATGGCAAATATGGTTATGGAGAAGAATGCGGGCAGCGTAGACAGCTCGAATAATGAACGTTTCTCAATTGGCGGCAGATCCTGGACCAGATAGTAGAATGTAATGCCCAAACCGAGACCCATGAAAACATTGGCCACCATCGAGACGGGCGCCAGATACTTCAGATTTGGCACCCAGGCGATCAAGATCAATGGAATAAGCATTATGCAGATGAGGACGCGTGACTCGAGTTTACAACCCATCCAATGGCCCAGCACTTGCTCGAAATTCTTGGCCACAATCACCGTGTAGACGGAGCAAGTGCCAAAGTATGTGAGGAACAGGCCAAACAATATGGAGAACTTAGCAACTGGCGCCAAGCCGCGCAAAGGTTTCGGACCCTTCTGGAATGCAGCCTCGGCGATTTCAGCAAATGTCATTTTGGTGCGACGCGTCTTGTAGTACAGCTTGTGACCGCATTTGACCTGCAAGAAAATGCATTTCATTGAGCCAAATTATTGCAAATTTGAAGTTGATCTTTAGCTTACCAGCACGTAACTGCAGTGCGTGCAAATAAAGGCGGTAAAGATGGTGGCAAAAATGCCCATAACAAGTCCGGAAGACATAAAGGCAAATGGCATTCCCAGAATGCCAGTACCCAAAGAGGCCTTCAGCAAATGCGTTAACGTTTCATTATCTCTGTACAAAAACACACACATAAAATCACATTGGAGAAAATTAATTGTTGCACGTTTCCATTGACTTTCTACTGATGCACTTACGTAGTGGGATGCTCAATATCGCGCGATGTAAACGGATCGAAGTCACCGTTAGCCAAGCCCTGCTCGGTATCTGCTTTCCTCGGCTGTATCGTGGGTCTGCAAATGATAAACATAAAACATTTAAGAAAACTATTGGCAAATTCTACTTTAATAAGTTTAATGCTTGGCACCTCAGCTCAACATGAGCGAGCTCTCTGTCAGTCTTTGCCATGGTCTCAACTAGTTTGAACACAGTTCAGTCCAACAACTAAAAGCCATCAGCGAATGCACCATTTTCTTATATGCCGTACGTGGCAGCCATGGGTGAAATTCTTTGGCTGTGGAATTGCTGCATCTGCAATTATAGTCAGTCGTTTGGCCGACGATTAACAAGACAACAGACAACAGCAACAACAAGACGATAATACACCAAATTTGGCCAAAGCGAGAGCCAATTGTGATTGGCCAGTTTTGTTCGCTGAACGAAGCCTGACTGTAAGCCGTCGTTGGATTGCATCAGCCATTCAAATTGTGTTGCATACTTTTAGCCAAAACATTTTAAGATGGCCAAACGAATGACTTGTTGCATTCAATGAATTATACTATATTTGATGATTGTCCATATTACTTTCATTATCCATATACTATCAAAATCCAGATAAGAGCGATAGCAATGCGTCCAATTTGTTTGATAAGCATATACTTGTATACACATAAATGCAATAATATGTGCAAACTGCATGTGAATTACGTACTACGTAATATATATATATATAACCACGTGCATATCAGTTACGTATTTCCTAGAAACCGCAACCAGTGGAAATATATTTTAGTTGCTTTTGTTTGCTTTAATTAGAATTTGTATTTGTATTTGTATTAGTAAATGTTAAAAGTATTTCTTATCGCAAGGCCGTGTCCCCCCTAACTCAATGAGAGCTTTGCAAATATTGTTCAGTTCATGTTGGTTAAGTACAGTTCTAATCATTAGTCGATGTAAAACACACGTCAGAATATAGTTTCAAAACAGTTTGATTTTGTTTTTATATTTTTTGTGCTGTTCCGCTCACAGCTCCGCGCTAATTATGTTAATGAATGCAAATTATTGTTGCCAGCCAGCTACAGATTGTGATTATACAATTTCCCCCCTTTAGTTTTGGACGTGGGTTGCGATCCCGATTGTCATTGAAATATTGCTTTTATTTACTTTGAACGGCTGCATAATATTTGTATAAAGATAAATGCATTCAGCTTTTCCCACACAAAGCAAAAATATGAAACGTCAACAGTTTTGAAAAGATCTTGAACTTGCACACTTCGACAAATGTATGCCATTATATACATATATATTCACTCAGATCTGTATAGAGTAGATTGCGTTTTTGTGCTGAGGGCTTTTTCATTAGGTAACTATTGCGTGATTAGACGGCGCAAATTTAAGATGCAATTTATATATCTCTGCCTATGTATTACGAACAAATTATAATTTAATCTTTTTACTATTGCAATTAACTGCTGCTTTCGAGCTATATACATGGCAACACACACACACAAAGTCAAGTCAAGTGGCATTATTCGACACTTTGTGTGCATGTGCGACAATTACCAGTTTAATTTGTTATTTATTTATGAATTAAATTTATATGTTAGTATATGTCATGGATTTAGATACGGCGGCTGTACATACTTGCTGGATCCGTCGCCGGGCAGAAATTGTTCCATTTCGTGTGGCGCATGTTTGGCGCCGCCATCCTGCAATCAAAATTGATTAGTACAACAATTAATTGTGAAAAAAGAGACTCTTCAAATAAAATACGTACTATAATGTTGACCATTTTGTGTGTGGGTGTGTGTGAGATGCTATTTGGTTTTTACCGCTAAATTTCGCACAGTGCAGAGTCTGGAAATAGAAGAAGAAGATGCAAATATCAGTTACAGTAAATGTATCACAGTTAGTGTAAGAATTAATATCATTTGCTTGATTGAATCAGCAGACTTTTGTCTGATTCGAGTCGGTTCCGGGCTGATTGAATTTCAGTCGGATATTGACTTTAATTTGCAATATATATATATATATATGTACATAAATATATATATTTATGAGCTCAATTGCCTTTTAATTGAAACGTGCGCGGCACATTCAATTTGCGTGTTAAAGGCATTTCGCTTCATTTAAAAATATTGTCTCTTTCGGGGATTCGCATGTAAGTTCATTTGCGTCTTCAAAATTGGCCGAGCATTTAAGAACAGAAAATTTCTGGTTTTAATAAAGATTTTGGTAATTCATTTTCAGAGTGTAGATTCACGCATTATCAATGAACTCTCTAGCTTACTGTCCCATTCAAATTATTATTTTGGCAATGTCATCATGAATCTGACAATGACAAAATTAAATGAAATATTCTTCGGGCAGTGTCATGATGATAATAATTATGATAATTCAGTGCTGATTTGTTGTTTACCCGCTGTCGATCTATTATTAATTTGTTAAGTCCCAGAACATGTGTAAAAATTCACATTCACCACAGGTGGGTTTCTCACACGGAAGTTGTGTGGGTTTGGGTGCACCAACAATGTGTGGTGCTGTCAATTTGTGAGTCATATCTTGGCTTCCCACGTTGGCTGCCAGTTGACAACTAACACATTGCTGTCCTTGCCCAAATTGTTGAAACGAGAGCAAATAGTTCGTGCACATAAATATAGAGCACTTTATAATATAATATCAGAATGAGTAATATATTCACTGGCAAGAGAAATGTGCCTTTTGCGCAAAATAAATTTTGGCAATCGTAGACACATTTTTGAACTCAAGACAAGTTTCGGCTCAAGTGTGGGTTTAACATTTTGGGTCTCGTTAACTTCACGTTTTGTGGCAAGCAATGCAAAAAGTTCAGCGAACTTGTGAAAATTGCGGCAAACAATGCAAAAAGTTCAGCGAACTTGTAAACTTTGCTTTCATTCGAATTCTTTTGAAGCCGCAATGGCATTTCTCACATGTCATCAAAAATGATATCCAAAATCATCGTAAAATCACTTTATTGAATCGAATGTGTCTCGAGCACATAAGAATGATGACTTTGTCAGCTACTAGATTTATTATGAACATATAGTTTTTATGATTACAAGATGGCAATATGACGCTAGATAAGATATAATCATCGGTTTTTGGTATTGTCTGTTAGCATAGAGCGCACACAATGTTTGTATTTATTTACCAAGATTATACATACAAAGAGAACCTTCACCTAGTGGCGCATTTTATTTATAGTGGTATTTGCCGGTATCTCATCTGGCCGAAATATCGGAGCCGGTAAAAACCGGTTTCGATACACACCAGTGCCAACAACCCCCACATACACTACCAAATTTTGGTTGCGTGTGTAAAGCGAATTGATCAATGACAAAATAATAGATATTTATAAAGGGAACCTTGAGTTCTTGAGTTCACCGTTCTTATTGTTGTTGGTTTCGTTAGAAATTGCCAAGAAGAAAACCGAATTGGTTTCATCATCTTAATTAAATGCTTACACATTTTGGGGTGTGTATTTTATCTATGACACAAAGTCAGTCGGTTTCAATTGGCGCCACATAGAAACATACACGCAGAAAAAAATCGCCCTGAATTTTAGAAATTCAAGAAGTATATTTATAAAAACCATGGTTTTTATTTTCTTAGTTCCAGGGTGTTATTTCATACTTTTTTGTATTATTGTATTATTAATAATATTTTAAGAATTCACTTATACAAGACAAGAACTAAACTTTATTGTAAAATTTTTTGTATTTATATTTTTATTTTCAGAATTTTCATGGTTATTTTTATCTGACTGTGGAATTGTAACGCGAAGAATGTTCTTTGGAGGCTGTATAAATTCACATTAATATAATAATATAATTGTCTAGTCTGCAAATTGATTCAATTACAAAACACATTGATTTTTAAACAAATTGCTCACAAGACAGTACAGAAATAACAATTTATTTTCAAAATCTCGAGCAAGACAACCTTGAAAATGAAATTTTGACAAAGGCTGAAGCATTTTAGAATATATATAAACATATATTAAATATCTTGAAAAGTATACAACGCCAAATATTTCAGATTATGCACACATAGATACTACACATATGTAGCCAAAGTAAAAACGCGTTCTGGTAGAACCATTTGAACTGCAAGCATGCAACATGTTTCATTGAGCATCTCATCTTAATGACGACTCTTGTGCCTACGTCCCCGAATGCAAGTGTTGTCAACTCGAGCGTATCTCTCTCGCTCTCAACTATTCAGCGCAGCATCCTGCAATCTCTGCTCTCATTCAGTATCTCTGTCTGCCCATTAAATGACCTGAACCACTCGGTCAGGAGCGAAAGAAGAACATGTGTTCCAATTTTAGAATTCAAATTTGTGTTAGTAAATTGTGATGACGCATTCAATATTTAAGATATTTTTGCCTTTGAAATTTCTGCGAATATTTCGTCATTCTTTTCTTGTACAAATATTTTTTATCTTATGTTTGCTTAGAACTATTTGCTGATACGTGGTTCTTGAGAGAGTATGGAAATACCTTGTAGGTGTTAGTTTTTATCACAGTCTACAACAAAAAAAGAATGTTTATAGTAAGTTTCAAATTCTGGCGATGTCGTCGGAAGTTTAGAACAAACAGTTTCTTTATTAGAGTATATTGTTTCTCATATAATGTTTACTTTTAAAGCTAAATAACTAACACTTTTCCTCCATTTCAGATTGATGGAGTACGGTGTACTATACGGATTTCGATTTACGTATTTCTGGTAGCCTAATTAATTAGGTATTCATAATCAAACAGCCCGTCAATGACGTCTGCTAGTTATCGCTTGAGACTTAATTAGCTGAGGCTAATTAGCTCTTAAAACTACTATCATCATCAGAAGCGACTGCTCAAAAATATATATAAATAAAAGACGCCTAGTCAATTTTGTACTTACTTACATTGTTGTCAACATTCCATTTAGCATACGGAAAACTGGTACAATTAAAAGTTATATTGGTTTACGTCAGAGCGTCCGCACTCCGTAATAGTAATAAAGTAAGCTAATTTTATGGTCAATTTTATTTATGCTATATTTAAAAAAAATTAAAAAAAAAACAATTACTCAGTTGGCCTATGCTTTTCCAATATCAGCGAACTGTTTGAAGTTTATAATGGTGATTGATTAAACAAAATGTTGATAAATGTTGATAAAACAAAAAAAGCATCTGAGGTGTGCCGCAATTACGCGTAACGGAAATTGAGGACTAAAAATAAATTTATTTGCAAAAGGAAGGTAGAACAGCCCCATAACGTTGCCACTACCGCAAATTAAGGTGAGAGAAAGACATAACAGAAACAACAACAACGATAACTGTACACAATACCTAAGCAATTTAGTATTGTCCGCTATTAGAATTAAGCTTTTTATGAGACCTGCGGATATTGCACAAGAGCCAACCAAAATTCGTTGACTGAAGTCCTACTTAGCACTAGGATATGAATAAAAGTCTTAATGGCATTTTGCTGTATATTAATAGATACTGCCACCGATTGTGGACTGTATAAGACAAGAAGCAGCTGCTGCCCACGCGCAACAGTTGCTGACGTTGACACCACGAATGCCGAACTGAACTGAGCTGAACTGAACATCATTTCTCGCTCTTTAACGTCACACCTTTACTGCGTCTTCGGTAAATTGGCTTTGCTCGCATGTAAAATTGCCGTATGTTAATTATCGCCGCGTAGAAATCAATAGAACAAGGCTACACTGAAAGTCTATTAGGAAAGCAAGCACATTCATACATACAATCATTCATTACAGCTGGTGTATACGATTTACCTGTGTGAACAGCATTGGCCCTACGACACTCAGGTAACAAAAAAAAAACTATGTGCCTTGACTCTCCCTTTAAAGTGCTCAATTACTCTTAAATTATAGAAGAGAGCTAAAAATAAAAAAACAGAAAAACTACACGAAACTGAAAAATAAGCGGGGAAATTAGAAAGCACGCACGTTTTTTTCAGCTGTGCTTCTGTTTCGAAAGCGATTTCATTCATGGAATACGATTATAATCAGTTATGTACATATGTAATCAAATCGGAAATGAGTGTCATGCAAAATGTCACTGCCACTGCCACTACAACAAAGGAAAATTCACATAAAGAGAGACAGAGAGAGACAACTTTATACGGTGTTCGCAAAGGCGACGTAACCGGTAACGATGCCAAACGGCAACGGCGTCGTCGTCGGCGTTTCGCTTACGTTGCACACGCGGTCGATTTTAAAGGCCTGTCAGAAATTGTCTGCTTATCTGGAGGGCTTAAAAAGAAGGTTAACAATTGCAGCAAAACAATTACAATACAACAATATTCAGCTCATTTTCGTGTGCAAAAAGACAAGCGTTAAGCTTTTGTCCAACACAACGACACGTTGAATAATTCAATAACCAACACTTTTGCGCTTTTTTCTTTTCAATTGCATATTCTGATCCTGCCTGCAATCAGGCAGACTGTACATGTTTTCATTTTCGACTGCATAACATATGCGTTCTCAGCACCAGCTGTACTATTATACTTTTATACAGTGCCTTCTATTTCTAGACTTTCTTATGTCTGTCTGGTACACAAAAAAACAAAAAAAATAATGTGTTGAGCACATTGTGGACATGTGTGTCTGCTTGTGTGTGTATTTATGTACTTACTTTATTCACTGTCGCGTTGCTGTTGTCTCCTTGAGTTATAACTTTCTTAAATATCGACACTAATGAAATTAGCACAAAGATTAACGACGTACTCTTTTTTTTTGGTAATAGTTTACTTTAATAATAAATTAAAAATAATATTTAGTGCCGCATGTTTCAAATGTTCATAGAAGGACCGCCAGCAATTCGGATTAACCAAAATGAGGTGGAGCTGGTCCGCTCCGCACACGAATCGAAATTCAACTGATACTTTGCACCGAAAAAGCTGTAGTTTTGAGCGAAAAATACTAAAACGCGAACGAATAGCAGACGTGCGCGGTACCTTCCCTCTCTTACTCTTTCTTATATTCTCTCATTCTCTCTCTCTTTCGCTCTCCCGTTCTTGCTCTCCCTCTCTCTCTCTCTTTCCCTATCTCTTTATCTCTTATACAATTGACTCTTAGATGCGTTGCAGGAGCAGCGTGAAAAGAGAGAGATTCTGAGAAATGCCTTCGCATTTGGCTGATGAAATATAGTTGAGGTCCTTGATAAGCATTGTAAATGCTTTTAAAGTTTCGCTTATGAGGAGTTATTGAAGATTGCATCATCATCATCATCATCATCAGTATATAAAGTTTAAACATCAAGCGTAAGCTAGACTTTAATTACTTAACTTATGATTGATTCTATGAACTGCAAGGTGCAAATAGTGTTTACATAAAAGGTGAGTCACGAATATTTCCAATGACCTTTAAGCGATGTGCCCCAACTCGTTTTTGGGGGAATTACATTTAACAACAAATTTGCGGGTGACCTCCATCGAAGAACAACATATCAACATCAAACTTGGAAGGTAGATTACTAGAAACCTCCTTTAAAAATTGTTGAAGAAACCAATTTCAGGCGATGTCACCCTGTACCTGTTATCAGCTGGCATTTCCACTAAGCATAAAATAGATACAGGCGACAAACACAAAACGAGATGGCAGATGTCCAAAGCGCTGTTGAGATTGGCGATTAATATTCATTAACAATAATAATTTTTACGTTTTATTATGATTATTTTATTGTTTGCTGTAAATAATAACAATATTATTATTATTATTTTATCTAAACAATATGAATATAATATTAATAAATTGTAATATTAAATATATAACAACAAAATATTTATTATTATGAAATAACAGAGCAGTCTGGTTGCTGCGAGAAAATTCGCAACGACGAAACCTACACACTCAGGAAAGCATGGTCGGCCAGGTACATATGCGAAGAACCAAGATACAGAAACAAATTGACGGCACGCGAGCCACAACCAGTGCTCTTCGCTCTGGTGTCGCTCGACGACTGAAATACAATGTTGGTCTGCTCACTGTTCTCGCAGCTTAGGCTCGAAGTCTGTCGGGTGCCAAAGTTTACACTCGGCCCACTACGTGCCGATTGCTCTGTTAGACGCCTCAACGTATTGTATGCTTAGTGGTATTACCTTGACACCAGAGTATTTTGCAGTCGGTTACGCGCAGCTGCAACGTTTTCACTTTTTTTTAGATGCCGTTTGCTTGAATAAAAAAAGAGTATAATCTTTAAATGACATTTTCCGGAATACAATTTCTTTACTTCAGTTTTTAGTCAATTATTTTCTTTATTATTTATTAGACTATCACCTCGTGTTCTTTTGTAGAATTTAAATTTGGCGGCTTTCATTGATGTTTCCGTTGACCAAAACGTATTTATAAATATTATAAATAAATACTGGAGATAAGATATTGAACTTATTAATTAATCAAAAATTAAGTGTTGTTAAGAGCTAAGAAAGCACTATTAAATTGAAGAATTAGATGGATTTGAAAATACAGGCGTCTGTTAAAATGTAAAATTTTATTCCAAAAATCAGCAAATCTTTTGTATACATTTTTTTGTTTGTTTAATTTTACGTACAATAAATAATTTAATTTAGTTTGATTATAAATTATATGAAACCACTTTCGTTGCTTCCGTTTGAAGTGTTAAACTAAAAACTACATATTTAATTTAAAATAAACTTAGACATTATACATTAGATTTCGAATCTGTCCGCTTAAAATCATACATTCATATTCAACAACTCTATGATCCTAATATGAGCTGGGGTTTCAAACATAAGATAAATTGCACAAGAAATTCTTACAGAATGGCATTTGTGATCTGTCTGTCTGTCTGTTGCATAGATATTATGAGTCTGGTACATAGTATAGAGTATTAGATGAGTGTTATGCGCGTGTGAAGCACTTTGACTGTGTCTGTAGTTTCATTGTGTTGGCCAGTTTGGAACTGTGTTTCAGTTACTATTGAGTTTATGTTTGCTTGATCTATTGTAATGTTTAGTTATGACTGAGATTATTGAGAGTAGTTTGTTAGCTATAGTTCTGATGCTATGTGTGTGTTGCATGTATATATGTGTGTGTGCGTGTGTGTCTGTCTGTGAGGTAAAAATTTCTTGCCAATGGACGTAGATACTTAAATATACATATATGGCAGGGCAGTGCTGCTTTTGCAGTGGGGCTCTTTTAAAGTTGCACTCGTATAACTTGTTTAGGTGGTCGTCTACACATATCCAAAAATTTGTTAAGTCGTTCTTCTTCTTCTCACACACGCGCTATGCATCCGAATTTGATTTGATAGTTGCTCTATTTGAAGCCACGCGCTCTATGGCTTCAAATAAATGAACCGTCAGTGCTCCTCCGGCGGGGTGCGAAACTCGGAGATCCAGTCGGTGACGCGCAATCGAAAGATTTCCGTTTTGGTCAGTATCCAATCGCGATATTGATGCGGTATATACTCCACCAGTTTGTCGGCAATGTCTGGATTCTTGAACATTATCATGTAGATGATCAGCACATTGATTATGAACAGGGCCAGAAAGGTCATTAGCGATGAGAAGGCAACGCCCGAAAAGACTCTAAGCCAGCATGCACTATTTGTTGTTGACTTCTTCTTTGAGTTGTGCTTTTGATTTGTCGATTTTGTGGCCACCGAATGCTGCTGCACAGGTTTGATTGTGAGCTCATTCTCTGCCACAGCTCCCGATTTCTTTGACTTTGTTTTGCGATTAGCTTTGTTCGATTTTAACTTGGAGCCCTCACTGCCATTGGCCCTTGTGCTCAGGTTGGAGCTGGAGCTGGCATCCCCGTCGCCAGCACCTGCCATTTGTGTTGAGCTTTGTTGGCGCTCCTGTGCCGCCAGACGTTCGCGTTCAATGTATTCGGAATTGAAGTTTGCACACACGTTGACCTGCAGCAAAAGCAAAGCAAAAAGGTCAGCAAATTTTAAACACAAAATGGCAAATGGGCACTTGACTCAAGTGGCACTTGGCTTACAGTATTCTTGGCCGCCTGTTGGCAGTCCTTCAGCGTTGAGCAGCGACCAACAATTCTGTCCCAGGCAGGCGTCAGAGGATTGCCCTTCAAGTCCAAATAGCGCAGGCGACGCAAGCGTGCAAAGCTAAGTGGTAAATTCTCCAAGCAGTTGTTGTACAAATCCAAATGACGCAGCTGCTCCAACTGACCAAAATCATCGGGCAGAAGGCGTATTTGATTCTTGCTCAGATCGAGTTTAACCAGCCGAGTGAGTACAGTAAAGTTGCGCTGTGCAAATAAAAAAATATATTTAATTCCAGTTGAACAATTAAACTTTTGCATAATTTGAACATACGCCGAGTGTGATCAGTCGATTGCTGGAGAGATCCAGGAAGGTAACTCGCTTGAACGAAGCCTGTGAAGGTTCAAAATAAACTGATGAGTTGAAATTTCAAACAGGAAGTTCGACAACCAAAAAAAGAAACCCCCGAAAAACGCAGAAGCGTAAATTACAATTTTTGGCAACTTGCTGCTGCCAGTGACCAAAAGAAGGGGTGGTAAATCACAAAAATCAACCCCCGAAGCTGTTTTGGGCCGAACACACACACACACACACAAACAAACATACGCACGCACACACACATGCATACATACACGCACACACATACGCACACTCACACAGGTAAACACATCTGCTTCATGCGGCGCTCTCAAATGTAAATGAAATGCAGCCAACGTCAGCGTTAATTGCAAGCCAGCCGGCAACAACAGTTGGATCAGTGTTAGCGGGAGCGAGATGGGGAATGACGGGCCAGAGTTTTGCCAGACGACAAGCGGCACTTTGTTTGCGCTTATTGCGGAGACCGTAGTTAAAAAATAAAAAGGGTCAGAGACACGGCACAGTGCGGTAATCATAATTAGCTGTGCATTAATATTATTGTATTTAAAATTTACTTACAATTTCACGCACGGGTATCTCAGTCAGTTCGGACAAGCTGAGATCGCAGCTTTCGTCCTCGACGCGCTCCTTTACATTGACCCGTACCTTATCGGCTCCTTTTGGCATTTTTGGATAGACGTGTGTGCGATTCTGAATTTCAATACTTAATTTTCAATAACAAATATGACACAATTTGGAATGGCGACCACTCACCCAAATTAAAAACCAAAACACAGCTGCACTCGCCAAAAGCCGCTGAGAGACTGCTGTTGCATGGTATCGAGTATATGAGGGTAATTTCTTGTCTTGCGCAGGTGCCATTGCGTGTTCATAGACGTTCATGACGTCACAAATTCACAAGCATTTCGCTTTAAGCCCTCACCCCTATTTTTAAAATTAGCCGATCATCTGGCAACGCCAAACATCCGGCAGCACACGCTCTGAATATAAAATGAGTGCAATTCTTTTAATTTTACATTTATTTTGTAAATATTTTCATTATAAAAAACTGCATATCGCAATCGGATGAACTGCAGTTTAGTCCTCCTCCTCTTCGGCAGCAGCAGCGCCTCCACCCAGATTCTTCTTCATGTTCTTCCTCTTGACGCGTCCAGGACGGCCACCGCCGAAGGGCGACTTCAGGGAGAAGTCGATGTGCTTCTGCGAATCCAGACGCACCACAAACGACGGGATGTTGACCACCTGCTTGCGCACACTGCACAAACGAAGGGAAACAATAATTTTACTTTATTAATAAACATGTTTTTTGGAGGCTGTATGAGATTGGATAGAGCAGTTTAAATTGTTCAGTGCAACTTACACAATGCAGGAATGCATTTTTTTATGGTCGTTGTGTTGATCAACAACTAGATATGACCAAAAGACGTTGAGAGCCGGTGCAAGTTTTTTTTTTAGCTTGTTCGACTCCCAAGTGGTCTTACTGAACATTTTTACATTTGATTTCGAGCCTGCCTGGGATGATGTCCAAGCTGGATGGATAATTACCGAATGTGACGCTGACGGATCAAGACACGTGCATGATGGATGGACTTGGCCAATCCCAGCTTGAACACCTGTGTCTGCAGACGACGCTCCAAGAAGTCCTCGATCTTCAGGCCCAGCACGTAATCGAGCTTCATGCGAGACTCGTCCAAGACACCAATGCGCACTAAGCGACGCAGCAGAGCATTTCCTGTAGAGGAAATTTATATATTAATATTATTCAGAGTAGATTGCATGGCCAGTGTTGGTTGTCTCTGATTCTCAGTGTGTATTGGTTAATGTCAATGTTTTTTTTTCAGACAAGAAGTGTCAGAATTATGTTTTTTAATACAGATCATCATGACAGATGGTATGCAATATGACTGTCGACTGTCAACTTACCCTGGAACAGACGCTTCTCGTCCTTCTCATCGAGAGTGAGCAGCTCACGGGCAGCTTTGCGGATCTTGGCCAGGGCGTATTTGACGCGCCACACTTCGCGCTTGTTGCGCAAACCGTATTCGCCAATAATCTTCAACTCCTGGTCGAGACGCGCCTTTTCATAAGGGCGACGAGGAGTCACATAAGTCTTCGAGAAGACCGAGGGTATGCGGCCGTTAACCATGATTCCAACAATTCAACCGAATGCTGCAAGAGAAACACGATTCTAGGTTAGATTTAAATCACTCATTATCAATTGCATCTGCCCACTTATGCATTAGTAAACTACGTTAAACGGTTGTTGCTTTAACAGTACACAACATATTACATATATTTCAATTAATTTCAACTATTTAATAATATATTTAAAGAACTACATCGCTATCCAGAAATTTTACGTACGTTCGGCTTCGTGTGTCACGCTGAAAGAAAGAGTGAGGCAAAATTAGAGATGATACTTTACCGCTTGAATGTAGCGAGTAGTCAATGTTAAGTGTGGAGCAAGTGCTGGTAGAATAGGAGTGAAACTGTTGGGAGTATTTGGCAGAGTGACAACTCTAGAACTCTGAGTGAAAGGCAAGCTGGTAACATGCTTTGCAGATGGTCAACATTAGTAATATACAAACAGAAAGCTCAACAAAATGTATTTAAATTCAAATTACAAATTTACCTCAATTCCCAAATGTAATCAAGAAGCAACTAATATTAAATTAGCTGCCAACCTGGCTGCATGCTTCAACAGATGGGCAACGCCAGTAAACTGTTAACAGATGGCGCTATAAAATGTAATCATACCGGCTAAAACATTTGACAAGTGGACAGCGTCATTAAAGTGCCAACAGATGGCGCCACCAATCACAGTCAAAGCAAATTCAAATTACAAAATTAAAAATAAGTACTCCACATATATGTTACCGAGCACTTACGGTTATTTGATCGATTGAATGCTTGTAGAGTACAGCGATTTAAAAATTCAGTTCAGTGCGATTAAAAGATTTAAATTCCATGGCCTTGTTGGAGGATGCAGCAAAGGATTCCAAATATCAACGCATGTTTCTCGATCATGTTTTTAATTCAATTGCACAATTTTGACCGCATTTAGCTGACATTTTGCTTTGTTTTTGTTCGAATAAAATGTTAATCTATAATAATTGTTAGTCGCTTATGAATATCGTTTATCTCTGATTCAGCACTGGCGTCATGTCATGTGTGACTCAAATAATGACTTCAATATAAATTCAATTCAATCAGTTCGTGTCACATAAAGTTTGATTTCTGCGCGCCAAACTTTCGATACCGATAGTTTCAGATAGATCATGTAATCGCCATTTGGCATCGGCAACTCGATCATGGAACCCTTCTTATACGACCATCCCTTGATGATGATATCATGCTGTCAAATATTAACACAACAGACACAGTTAACTACACAATTAACCGTTATTTAGACAATACTCACATTATAGGGACACGTGTGATTGAAATTCGAAACGGCCACGAAACTGTTGTGGAAGGAATGAAAAAATACATACGCCTTCGGATTGCGCATATAGTAGCAAAAGTCGAGACTCTGATTGAGCAGAAACGAACGATAGCCGTTCGTCTTCCTGAACAGCTCCACATTGAGAAAGATGTTGTCCACTGGCCGGCGATACAGTTTGCTGATCATACTGAACGAGGGAACTCCACGCAGCTTCATTTTCAGTTCGCATTGCTTGAACTCACAGTAGGTGGTATCGTAGCAGCGGCATGCCACATTCTTCAAGTTGTAGTGGCTTTTTTGGGCGATAACCGGAAGCAACGAACAATGTACAATGTACACAAGTGCTAAAGAATGCATGCTTTTGACGATTACAGGGCTAATGGCCAACTGATCGCCACAAGTCACTTTTCATTTGCCAAATGTGTGTGGGCAATTAAAATGCCATTACAATTATAATATATTTAGGTTATTTGCTTATCTGGCAAATATTGATGCTCATTGATTTTATTTTTTGTTACCTGTTTTGCATTAAGTTGAAAATAGCTCGAAACTTTAGTTAAAGCGAATTCCACTGACCACAAGTTTGTGTAGCGGCTGCCACCACAAGTGGCACAATGCAAACAGACATGCCACACGCATTGTAATGCATTTGTTTTATTGCCCCACAGACAGTAATATTATTGTTGTCTCACATCAGTAAGTGGCAAGTGGCAAGTGGCAAGTTTGCAGTTTCGCTGCGTGCACGCGAATCAACGAAACTTTTAATTAGACAAATTATAAGTTGAACACCCCGCTCGTTAAACTTCAACCGACTTCAACCAACTTTCATATTCATGATACGAAAATTGCAAGAAAATTTCACAATATTCATAATTGAAGACAAGATTACTACCTGTGGCAGCAACACGCGGCAAGCCAAGACATTATCCACAATTTGAAACTTTTGCCATTTGGGACAGACGCTCCTTAGCTTTGGTTAAATTATTAAATATTATTTGCCACTCGGCTGGGAATTCGTGTTAATTGTCGTTAAAGTTGATTGGCTCTTAACTGATTCACTTGGCCTTTGGCCAGCTGCCATGTTAATTATTGCATTTTTAGTTGGGCTTGAGTTGTGTTTGATTTCGAGCTGCAAATTCAGACGAGCATTTTTTTTTGTGGATTAAAAGCAAGACAAAGTGTGTTTGGAAACAGAGAAAAAATGAAAGAAAAACTTTATTTGAACAAAGGCAGCATGTGTGCATCGGGTCGTATGCGTGATGTGCCATAAATTATGACCCAAAAGAGTAGTGTGTGTGTGTGTGTGTGTGTGTGTGTTCATTTGCTTGACAGTTCATCTCAAGGACACGCTGTGCACGCTGACAGGCAAAAATAAATAGCCAGAGTAAGCAAATGGCACAAATGCCTGGCGACATCTTTGCCACCGCTTGAACCGGAAACGGATATACAATTTTAGTAATTTTCGTGAGTGACCAAAGCGAGCAGACGCAGGAAATTGCCAAAAATAAACCCCAGGCAGCAACAACGACAACAACAACAACAATAAGAACAACAACAATAAGAACAACAACAACTTAAGCCTTAACAGTTGCTCAGTGTTGCGTGCTGCTTTTCATCTGGCGTTTTGTATTTGTTTTTATTGGCGTGAAAAATGTAATAATGGATTTTCTTGCTCCATTGTCATGTGTGTGTGTGTGTGTGTGTGTAAGTGTGGGTAAGTTTAAGTCCTTGGAACTGGCCTAAGCACAGTGTCCTTGTCCTTACCATTGTTGTGTCTTCAAACCAAATTTTTTTTTCTGTTGCTCGACTTTATGCGCATTTTGTGCCTTATGCTTTGGGCCTCAACTGGCTTTTATTAGCCCAACTTGATGAAGTTATTTCGGTGCCCAGAATATGTTCTCCATTTGATGGTAGTTTATGGATAGACTGCCTCGTCCACAGTTCTTTTTAACCACCACGCTGGCTACAAAATGATGAGAAACTTGTGTGTAACAAAATGCTGCATAGTTTCAGGCGCAGATTTCACTCTGCCATTTTACTTTCACTTAATAGATATTTACGAGTACCGTTGCCATTTTGTGTGCAGCGTACCTGCAAGTCTAGAATGCGTTTACTGGCAGAGTTACGAGGCAAATGGGAAGAGAGGTAGAAACAGGTCAATTTGAATATCCTTTCAAAATGAGGAATACTTGCAAGATGTTTACTATACAGCCACTTACTTAATTTCTACTTTTCTCATCCCCGATATGTGGTTCTCGCTCTTTTATTGTCTGTTGTTAAGTTCTGTGCCTAAGTTCGTAGTCGGTAGAACTTTACAAGCAATTCCACTTATTGAAAGCACTCTGCCACAGGGCAAGCACTGTCCGATGATCCCGTTGCCAACCATTGGGTCTCACACTCGTGTCATTTTATTTGGTTTTACTGATACATGAATACGTCTGAGTGTGTCTGTCTGCCTGTCTGTCTGTTTGTCTGTCCACCCGTCTCCATGAAGCACCCACATAAACCGGATACAGTGCCATATTGCTTCTGACATAACATTTGGCAAGTGCTTTGATGGTGTTTTTCTTTTTTCTTCTTTTTTGTTTTCAATTATTTTTTCTCTTTTTTTTTGTCTATATTTTAGCGAAAGTCACTAAACAATTTTGCTGCCAATTTTCATGCCAAAAACTTTCAAACGTTTTGCATTTTTTGTTCGGGGTGTTGAAGTTGAGGGGCTGCGGGGGCGGGGCAGTGCACTCAAATATAAAATCGAATTTTTTGCAGTTGAGTGAATTGTTGTTGCAGCTTGGGGCAATGCGGAGCGGTTAGCAACCACTGCAATTTTTGATTTAGCAAATAAGTTTGCTTCTATTTTTTTGGGGGTGATTTCCCATCAATGATGCTGTTGCTATTGACTGATGTTGATTGGATTAGAATGTGGCACAAGCAGCAACAACAGCAGCAGCATAGAAGCGCATAAATATTTATAAATGTAAGCAGCTCAGCAGCAAGCGGAATCCATTGCTCTGCGGCTCAATTTGCTATCCTCTGATTGCTAGCCAAATAAATACAGTTTTTCTTTTATTCTTGTGTGCCCCTATCCCTGTCTCATGCCTCATATTCGCCCTCATCTGCCAGTTAGGTATATTAATTTGTTTGCTGCTTCTGCTGCTACTTCAGACCATCGCCCACACAAGCCTCCATTGTTATTCTCTGTGGCATTGCCACTTGTATATGCCCCTACCTCTGGCTGCCGCACACGTGCAACGTGCCGTGTCCTACGCCCCTTACTCCGGGCAGTCCCCTTTGTTGGTTGTCTGCCTCATTTTTGAGAGCCTGCTGATGCTGCTGCTGCTGCGTAAACAATTATACGCTTTCCATGCACAGAAAAAGCATTTTTCGGTCAGCGGGCATATTGTGACTTTGTCCAAGGCAGCAACTAAACAATATATATATATATATGTGTGTGTGTGTGTGATATATTTCTTTTCTATTGTTATTCAATGTGTGTGCGGGCATTTATCGCTTATATCCATGTCACGGGAGAGCAGCAAAAAAGAAGATGAGGAAAATTAGAACAATAAGTCGACTAGTTCCATGTATTTCAAGGGTATTTCACAGTCAAGCGTGATGCCCTGCATTTTTCTATATTTTTACATCTGACCAACCACTTAGAGCTCCTCCAGTGTGTGCTTGCTTACATGTATATATATATATATATATATGAGTGTGTGTGTGTGAGTGTGGCAGATGTGTGTGCTTAGACAAGCATGTTAATTGAGTTAGTTTTTCTCGCTTCCTTATAATGGGTACGTGTTGATGATTAATTATGCCAAAAATATAACAAAATATTTTTATTTGCTCAATAAAATCGTATAAACATTAATTTTGCAGCAGATGTAAGTATAATAAAATAAATAGCATACGAATTTAGTATACACTTTACTTCGCATATGTTGGTAACTATTTATGAGTGTTGGTACTACAACTAGAGACAATGGGACAGACACACAGAGAGAGAGAGGGAGTGGGAGAGAGGCAGATAGCTAAGCAACGACACACATATGAGGATATATATATATATTTATCTATATATATATATATCACATGGATATGAAGCACTTGACACAGGCAAACAAACATGACAGACACTTGCAACATGGTCGTGCCGCACAATAGATTGCTTCGCAAGGGCGTGGCTTCGGGGTTTAGCTGGCAAGTTGACAGTTGTGAGAAGTTTAGGGGCAAACACAATAAAGTAAAAGCACATCAGAAATTGATTTGACTTGACATACTACGAAATTGAATTGTTCTTCGCCGCTTGTATTTCACATGAGGGCTACTAGACATAAGTGGGCCATTAGAGCCGCAAACAACACACAGTAGTCGGAGTAGACTCTAAGATGTCTATTAAGCAGTACTGAGTACAAATCGAAAATGGATGTTTACTCATTGGACAAGCTTCGAGGCAATTGAAATCAATAACGAACTTATGCCCTTCAATTAACTATGTGCATAACATTTAAGTATAAAACTTTACAGGATTTATATTGAGTTGAATGCTTAACATAGCTCACTATCATTCTAGAGCTGTGCAGGGTATGCAATTAATCGAAATTCTTGGAAATTCTTCACGCATTAAAATTCGCATTAGGCGACAAATTTCAGTGCAAAATGGCTGTCGTTAAAACTAATTAAATGAATTTAATTGCATTTAAAGAGGCACGTGCAAATTGCAAGCATTTTTAATTGCCGCACACACGAAGCACCTCTAATTAGGAAAACAAAGAGTCAAGAAAAAGAAAGAAAGAAAGCGAAAATTAGAGGAGGGCAAAAAAACTCTGGATGGAATATGTAGCGATACACGTGACATGGCTAGCCAAAGAGGCCAAACAGGGGAAGGAAGCGCAAAGAAGTCACGCGGACCAAGTCAATAAAAAGTCGAAATGGCCATAAGAAATTGCCACCAAAGGAACTGAAAACTGGCAACTACCAACTGCCAACTGGCAACTGTGGCAGCAACTGTGGCAGCCACTGTGCCACAGGACACATTCCGACTTAATGTGCGTTAAAAGGCGAAGCGAAGGACAGGCACGGACCAAAGCAGCACAAACATTGTGAAATGGCTTTAAAAGGAATTATTTAAGCCAAAAGTTTTTGGTCAACTTGCGGCGGACGGGGGGTGTGGCGGCCACAAGGGTCAGCTCGAGATATTGTGAAATTAAATTCCAACT